GGGCTTACTGTCGGGGACCGGTGTGGAGAAGGCCGATGCTGCTGACGCTGTTGAGGCGGTTCTTGAGTGCCGCGAAGGCGGAGCTTTGGGGTAGGAGCATGAGGACGCCATAGAGGCATTTGTAGAGGTAGGGATATCGTTCGGGTTCGAGGAGCTGGAGACGCAGGTCTAAGGGTTCGGTTGAGGTTAGCTTGTTGGCCGGGAGGTATCTGGTGGATATTGGGAGGACTCACAGGTGAAGACGGGCGATTCTAGGAGCTGGACCAACTTGTCGATTTGAATCAACATATTCACAGTCATCTCGAGCTCCGCGCTATGTGATGTTAGTGGGTTGCACTGGCTTAATAATGGAGGGGAAATGGGTGCCTACAAGACTTGAAGTAGGTTGTATGCTTGCTCGTAAGCTTGCGCGAGTAGACATAGGGAGAAGGTAGAAACGGCATTGTGGCACCACGATCTGAACAGTGCTACGAAGAACATCTGTCCGTCCTGTGGACAATGTTAGCTTTCTTTCTTTGCTATCCAGATTGAGGGAGCCGTCACCTTTGCATCGAGATTCCTCAATCGCTTTCTTAGTTCTGAAAGCTCTGGTGCGGTTATCAAGTTGTTATTCAGATTCTGGACCATAATGCTGGCGAACTCGATGTCCTTTTGTCATGAGTTAATACAACTAACAGATGAAATCGTTGGAGAGACCCCACCTCTTCCTTTTCGAGGCAATCGGCCAGTGTCCGATAGATGCGCTCTGGGCTTAGATTCATGCACAGTTGTCGAATGATGAGGTTTCCGCGCACCTCAAGCAGATGTCTGTCTGTGGAGAAGAGCTGGAGAAGGTTCACCATGAAGGACTTGAAGTAGCTATCATCACTGTTTCTGGAAATCTGCGAGAGGAGCTGGAGGTCTTTCGTGACGACGGCTTCGGCCGGGTCGGACAGTGTCTTCAAGAGAGCCGGAAAAGTCCCATCATTGAATGCTATCACCTTCTTGGGTGCCTTTCGGTGCAACATTATGAGCCAGGAAAGCGCGCCTACTCGGGTTGCTTCGTTTTCGTTCAGAAACTGTAGGGTCAGGGAGTTGACAGCAGCGGCATAATCCAGGTCGGCGGGCGGTAGTGGGGTTGAAGAGCTGCTTCGGGGGGTTTGCTCGGCGGACGCCTCTGGCTGAGACAATTGCTTCTTGGATTCACTCGAGGGTGTCTCTGGAGCTTTACTGACCGGCGTTGACGACCTTCGCTCAACGCTTTCTTTGCTGTTCGAGTTGTACGTTTTGGCGGACGCCAACTGCCGGCTTTCTTCCGATGTATCTTCAGACAAAGTGACAATGTACTCCATCAGAGAGGTGTTGACCCGGTTTGCGGCCTGCCGCACTTGATCCGAGCCACTGGACATTGCCGGAAGCACCTGTGTCAGGAGACGAGGAACGAAAGGAAGAATATCTTCCGGGCTGATCTCGAAGAAGTTGTCGATCCAGCGTAGGGCAGTCAACTGCATCTCCTCCACTAAGACGTGTGATAAGTACCGGTCCATTACAATTGAGCGCAAGTCCTGGCTTACCGAAAGACGTATCAACGAAGCCAACGAGAATATCTAGTATCTTTGCATAATCAATCTGAACATCTTGTCCGGGAATCCAATCTCCATCGACGTGCAAGCCTTCCTCATCGGTGACAGACCCTGCCTCGGAATCTTCAATCGCGTTGTCAGTCACCTCAGATCCGACAGCTAGAGTCAGATCTGTAGTCGTCGTCACGCTCACACTGTCGCTTGTGGTCGACTGCCTGATATCGCTTCCTTGGCCTTTCCGACTGTCTTCGATGCCTTTCTTGAGTCGCGCGATTCGCTTGATTTCCGACAGAAACCGATCGAGAAGAGCTTGGGTGGCGACGTTGACATCTCTATTTGGGTCACCAAGGAACTTGATCAACCCCCCGAGGAATTCCGGTAGATAAGAGATCAACTCCAGATCCGGAATTGTATCCAACAGCGTCAGCCACGATACCAGGAATGTACGGGTAAATGCACTGATGACGTGGATTCGTTCTTTAAGCAAGGGTATGAATTTCGGTAGCGAGAAGGCAGTAGGAAGATCGACATCTTCTAGGCCTTCGGGATCTGTCACTTGCTTTTCGGTAAGTTGTAGGACGGAGACATGGGACGCAGCGGATTCGGACACGATGTCTTTGACGAGTCTATCGAGCAGTTCTGCACCATTTTTGACCGACAGCTCAGAATCCGAAGCTAGCTGGAGTGTGTAAGTTGTGAGACGAGAACAACAGAAACAGAAAGAGCAGGAATCCCTTACCTTGCTTAATGCATCGAATATTTCATTAAAGAAAAGTAAGATCTCTCCTTTCGCAACTTTGGCAATGTTGTACATGCTCTCGCAGGCATAATACCTGACGCGCGCATCCTGATCGGTAAAACAAGCAAGCACCGGCGGTACGATTTCCTTCAGATAAGGAGCAACACCTTCCTAGCATCCTAGAACTCAGCCCCTGCGCAACCGATTCAGTATGTCCTGGTGCACTCACGGATCCCAACGCTATGGACGCTGCCGCAAGCCCGATTAAGCCGCCGTTTCTCGCGTGGGGTTGATGGACGGCGTAGGCGTAGTCATGGCAGAGCTGGTCGACGATCTTCTGAATCTCCTCGTGTCCGCCCCTGAAAGCGGCCTCGCGGACCACCTTCTCGAGCCTGGGAATCGCATGTAAGTTAGCCAGCCGCCACCTTGCCTGACCGAACCTCTTATCGATAATGCGTACTCCAAGGCCCCCTGTTTCCTCCGGTCATAGAGCTTATCATTCAGCGAGCGCTGAATTGAGTGATCCATCGCTCAGACAAACATGGATATTGCTTGAGTCACACGCTCCGGGGGTAGTTTAGATGGTGGCTTTCATGGCGTGGAAGCGTTGTCTGGCTAGGCTGGGCGGTGAGGCGGCGGTTTTGACTCGAGCTCGCAGGGACCTGTAGCTATTCCCGATCATCGGCTATCGATGGCGGGCGTTGCAGGATAAACAAACAGACCCGTGCTTTTTCGAGATCGGACAGCACCTGTCCGATGAATTAGTCTGGTCGCTAGGTGGTTGCTGGGCTATCAAGGTGGGGAGGATTCCCAGCCAGATGCGTTGGCAACGTGGATGGTGACTTAGCGGACGCGCTGTGACGTAGGGTCAGCCGCGATGGCTTGAGTCTCGTCGGCTTCCCGCCCGATCGATGTGCATTGTTCTTCCCTAGTAGTGATGGCTACCCCCTTGCACGGCAGATCCCCGGTTTCCTTGAATATGATTCGATACTCAAAATATATTAACCATGATAAGTCTATGACGCCAGTGTGCCCTGACTTCTAGAATGAACCCCGGCGCATTTTCAAAATCCAACCCAATCAAAGATAACATACCCCGTACGCTTCCCAATACACAACAATCGTTCAAGATCAAGGACGCTCGCTCCAAATAGATACAAGTCATGAAGAGATCTAACATACCAGACCGTTATCAATGGCTGATATACTGAAACACGGCGGAGACATTGCGTTCTCCCGTCTCTTGACGGATCAGCAAGTCCTGGATCTTGCTGAGAGCCCCCTGCTCTCCGTCATTAACAAAATGATTCCAAGTACTGGTGTCACCGTACAACATGGCTGGCGCCTTGATGTATTGTGTCCCCTCCGGTCGGCATCGCTTGCATTTGAATGTGTCGTGCGTATCGCTCCGAGTTTCCGGCTTGAATTGGAATAGCTCACGGAGGGATTCCAGCGAGAAGTGTCGCTCAACATCCTCGGCTGAGTCCACCACGCATGAAGAAAGGGACTGTTTATGGGACTGGCGCTGAAAGATCTTCTCCTCAATCGAACCGGTCGCGATGAAGCGATACACAAAGCAATCCTTCTTCTGGCCATCACGCCAGACTCGCGCCAAAGCTTGCTGGTCGGCGGCTGGATTCCAATCTGGATCGAACAGGACCAGGCGGTTTGCGCCTATCAGATTCAGGCCGCAGCCACCAGCCTTACTGCTGAGCAGGAATACAAACTCGGCCCCGTCGGGGTCGTTGAATTTGTCGACCAGCTTCTGCCGTTTACCGACAGTCATGGTACCGTCCAGTCGCAGAGAGCCGTACCCTCGGGTTCTGCATAGCTTCTCGAAAAGGTCAAGAGTCTGAGTATAATTGCTAATCAAAACAATCTTGTCGTTGGTATCTTGACGGATGCGTGCTAGCATCCGATCCAAAACCATCATTTTTCCTGAATACCAAGACTTGATATCCCGGTCACGTCCTCTCCCTTCCGGCGGTACGTAGTCCTCTGGGAACGTATACTCGCAGCCTGGTAGATCAGTGGAGAGGTTGAGGAGGTCGGGATGATTGCAAAGCTTCTTCAAAAGGCCAATTGCTTTCAGGGGCTGACTTCCTTTGCCCCTAAGCAAGCTTTTGATTTCTGGACTCTGGATAAAGTGCTTGTAAAGACCCAATTGGAACTCGGACATGTTGCAGAAAACAACATGCTCGTATTTCACTGGCAAGTACTTGGACAAAATGTCGTTTGTCCGGCGAATGATGAACTTGTTCACTATACCAGAAAGCTCGGCAAGACGCTCATTACCTTTCTTGAGATCTTCTTCTGTTCCTGCGGCATCTCTTCCTCTAAGAATGGGTAGTTCGAACCTTTTTCGAAATTCGTTCTGTGATCCCAGTAGGTTCGGGTTTGCGAAATGAAGAAGAGCAAAATACTCTGAAAGATCGTTCTGAATGGGCGTGCCGGACAAGATCACCCGGCGCTGTACATTTAGGCTGTTGAGCGCTGTCCATGTCAAGCTTTCCTTATTCTTCAACCGATGACCTTCATCGCAGAGAAGTAGCCCGATAGGGCTATCTTTCAGGGTGTCAACATACAACCTAAGAGTTTCGTATGAGATGATGAGTACTGGTCTGACAATAGCTCGTCCTGAAGCGATTGCCCATTGCTTCATTTGAGCAATGAGTTCTGTCTTCGAGGCTTTACCGTCAACCGCAAAGGGTGTGATAGCGTCTTTACCCAACCATTTCACTGCAACTGTCAATAGGTGTATGAGCTGAACACCGGAGCCGACTAACCTAGTTCATTGGCCCAGTTTCCGACCAAACTTGACGGACAAGCGATAATGCACTTTTGTATAGTCGATTTTCCTGCTTCCGAAGATTGCTTGAGTAGCGTCCACATTAATGAGATGCATTGAAGCTACCGGCACCATTAGTCTTGTAGTTCGTGTCGCAGATTGTGCAGCGTACCGTCTTGCCCAGACCCATCCCATCTGCCATGATGCACCCATTGGCATTTTTATCAACCATGCCTGTTGTACAACGATAAAGGAACTAATCATAGCTGTATTAGTTGGTGATTTCAGGCGTGGTCCATTCAAAGGTTTTCTCACCTTTACACCCTCAACCTGATGCGGTCGCAGGACCTTGGCCAGCCGTGGATCAATTACAACCGGCACTTTTGGCCGGGCTTCAACCTCCTTCTTGAGCCCAAGAATATCCGCCAAGCTTTTATGCACCAGGGGCTCATCCAGCTTTGGCTTCTGTTCCTCTGTATCGCCCTTTGCCTCTTCATTCGTTCCAGGCTCCTCAACATCATCGACGGTTGGGTCATAAAGTACTATGGCAAACTCTCCGCTTGGATCGTGCAATGGCTTAACGATAAATGTGGCACCTTGTCTCATGCCAAGCGTGGGTGCTATCCTAGAGCCATTATAGCCGTCAGACGATTTATTGATCAAGGGGACCTTGAACCGCTGCTTGAATGTCGTGTCTTTATCCTTGACTTTGAAGACAGGAAACCTGTTCACATCTCTTGTTGCAAGCGCTAAGCGATCCTCATTTGTATAGGGCTTGACGCTGTTGTCATCCACAGTCCCGTCGGCCCCTGCGTAGTTCACCTTTCTACGCTTCCTCGCCGGTTTGTCTGATGCACGTGTAGCAGTCGCTAGTCCTGGGCACTTGAAGGGCTTCGACAGACGATCGGCGGAGTTTGTGGAAGAGCTGGCTGGCAGCGGCTTGGAGGGTGTTCCTACAGCATCTTCCTTTCCGGCTGGCCTTGGCCGGTACCTAGCTGTGTTAACGGAGATCGAGCAGAATGTGGAAACATCCAAACGAGAACTCACATTGTTATGGCCCTTATAAGTCGTGCTATCTGGTTTGGGAGGATCGGTTGGTGGTTGTCATCAATAATGGCCGGCCGTCCACGACGCGTGTTTGCCACAGCTTAGCGCGTCACCTGCACATGTTGGAAACACCAAAGTATCACGTAATCACGTGAATGAGGGGAGCCTCACCCCACCTGGATTGATGACACTTCGACTGACCTGCAATTTGTACCGTATTGGCCAATGAGAGTGCAGGATTTCTAGCGATTGACTGGGAGCTTGAGTTCAGCGGCATCGATGTCTTTGGTGGTTATTCTACAACTCGCTGGGCCCATAACCATGTCGTACCAGAGCGGCACTACCTTGAATCAGGTTGGAGGTGAGAATTCCTCAAACTGTAGTACTCGGTACTTAGTATCTCTGCGTGGAGGCATATGTAGCGTCTATCTGGCTACGGTAATATAGGGGAAGCCCCAGAAGTAGGATACTGGACGATATATGTATAGACGGCCACATATATATTAAGTCTTGGCATGAATAATGATGCAGCAGGGCTGCATGATAGACATTTGCTTTTCCTGCACCCGTGGTATAACTCAAAAGTTTCTTTCTTTCCAATATCAAGATGCTCTTGTTCGGAATACACCCTACCTAACAAATAGGACCCAATAGCAATATCTTCACATGTAATCCGAGGAGAGACTTTCTACCATCTCCCTTTTAGTATAGCGTCCGATGTGCCCCTCGAGGTGGGACCGTTTAGTCAATGTAATTCCTGCCCGTCGAATAATATGATAACCAAGTGGTGTCTACGACTATGTTCATAGCCTCATTGTCACCTTTGCTGCCGAATAGTCCATCGGCACTGGTCTCCGGTCCATGTCTTCCGATTTCTGGGCTGGCTACCTGAGCGGTGCCATTGGAATCATAATCGGGAATCCCCTTGATGTTATCAAAGTGCGATTGCAGGCGGGACGCACCCCAGAGGTCGTTGCATCAACCGCCCCCCAGCAACTGAGTCGCTTTGACAGCGCCACTTCCCTTGTTCGAGGTTCGCAGCTCCTGCAATTGAAAATATTGGATCTAGTGCTGATCAATCTATTAGGCGCCGCGGCACCAATTCTTGGATATGGGGCTCTCAATGCATTACTCTTTGTGGCTTATAACCGCTCATTGAAGTTCCTGGATAGCTCGATCATTGATCCCACAAATCCACAAGGTGTCCCTTTATACAAGATCTGGCTTGCCGGTGCTGCCGGTGGGGTGGCCAGCTGGACTGTGTCGTCTCCCACGGAGTTCATCAAATGTAGAGCGCAGCTTGACTCACGCCCGGGAGTGTCATCCTGGACGGTTGCAAAAGACATCGTCCGAACGCGCGGCTGGAGGGGCCTTTATTACGGAGGAGGGATCACCTGTGCCAGAGATGCAATTGGCTATGGGTTTTAGTATGGAAATCCCTTCCCCGGATCTTCCCCGCTGTTTCGTTGCGGCTCTTTACATGGTATTGACGTACGTCTTTGCAGTTTTTGGTCTTACGAATATTGCAAACGCCTTACGGCCTCTGATGATGATGTCACCAATATGTTGGCCATGAAAATCCTACTATGCGGTGGCATTGCTGGAATTGTGACATGGGCTTCCGTCTTTCCATTAGACATGGTGAAGACAAGACTGCAGGCGAGGACTATTGAATTGTCCCCTGAAAGTCGCCCATTGGTGCAACCATCAAGCAAGCCATACACCGCAAACTCCTTTCAGATCGCCAAGGAGGCCTATCTCAATGAAGGTCTCAAGGCCTTCTATCGTGGTCTTGGAGTTTGCAGTGTAAGGGCCTTTATAGTCAACGCCGTCCAGGTATGTCAATTCGAACCTACCAGCTTATATATTGCTAACGATGGAATAGTGGGCGGCATATGAGTGGCTTATGAAGTATTTGCAGAATCCATGAACATAGAATGTGAACATCTAGAGCATCTACGGAGTACGGAGCATTCCGCCAGAATATACGCATCTCGATGAAAGTGCTGTATTACTGCAGCTTGTAAATTAATTTCGCTCTAAAGGGGCCGTGTCCGATGAAGTGGGACCCAGCTATACGATGCTCCGAGAAACGGCAGTTTTGATCGTGTTACCGCAGAACGGAACCGGCGTACTCCGGAATCTCACACCCCCACTGGCGGTTTTCGGAACATGTGGTTTCACGTGTTATCCTGCGATTTTGGCCCTTCGCTGATTGGGTGACTTTTCGTCCGCGCGCAGCCAGTAATATCGTCCGTGAAACAACGACGGCAAATAGGCGTAGATGCGCGAAAATTTTGTCGAGCCCCTTGATAAGATACCCTGCCAGGAGAGCTCTCACAGACGATTTGGGGGCTATCCTGCTTCGCATTGACAGTCGGACGAGCACTGTAAAGGCCGATTTGACCTCAACGATGGGATCTAATCTTCCATTTCGACCACGGTCTCACGCGACCTCACGCCATTGTCTGTACCCAAGCCGATAGCAGCCTCAGCGGCCTTTTGTGTATGAGCTTCTTCGCGCAGGATGCGAAGTCTAGGTAAAACAACATGGGTCAGCATTCAGTTGGCCAGAAAGTATTTGCGCTCAGATGCGCGACAATATAGAGATTTTTGGCCACCAACCTTCTCTTGTGGTTCTTGCCCTTCCTGTGGCCGACCAGGTTGAATTCGCTTTCAAACCATTTCGAGCATTCGACGCAATAGTGCTTGCCTAGACCTGGCAGATCCTCCTCATCTTTGGTAGCTTTGTATTGCGAAAGGTGCTTGGAGGATTGGATATCAGCGCGGACCTGATCATAATCTCTGTCGGCCGTATCAGATCGTCAGCACACTATACAACTTTACGCAGCCCTTCTACCTGGGCCAGATCATTCACCAAGAATAAGCCTACATACCTGGTCCTGCGCTTGGTCTTGATTTTCCTAACAGCACCCATTTTGATATTGACGACGGCGGCCCAAAAAAACTGCCTGATGGTATTGCCAGTGAGCGTCGCAAAGTGAATTACCACCGATATACGGAATGAAACTAAGACTTTAGGCGGTGCAAGAGCGGGTCGCTTATCTCAAAAATTCCGCCTTTGTGTGCGTGAGAAGAATTTCCTGAAACACGTTGCTCATTATTGGTCAGAGTCAGCTGGGTCTTGGCGGCGGGCCGCGGGATTCCCATCGGTAGGCCTCGGCTCTGTCTCGGCTCTGTCAGCGCTTTTGGTTGCTTTTGGTTGCTTCCGTACGGCCATTTCCCCGGTGTCTGTAATTTATGACGTTGCCATGTTCCGGCACGTTGCTCCGGAAAGCATCGTCCAGTTGCGATTCAGGTGAAATAATACGCTAGCTGCGACCAGGTCTCCTTAGCAACACAACCAACCCAAGCGGTCTGGGATCCTGGAGGTCGGACGCGAGGATATCTGTCATATTATTCTGTCCCTTATGGGCGAGAAATTGGACTCTTTTAGGTTGCAAGATACCAAACAATTGGAGCTTTTCCCTAGCAGCAAGTAGTGACGTCGACGGAGTATCTATGATGTAGGTTCTAATCCAGGGCACATGATTGGGCTGCGTTCTCACATGCCCTGTGCACGCCGCCGCACAGGCTGGTCAAAAAATTACCATGTCCGAACGTTGGAGGTTTTACCTAGGTACGGCACTAGTTCGTGGGCATCCATGGGGTGCATGGGGGTGATATTACACAGTCGATCGGTCCAAAGTATGCTTGGGAGGTCACCTGGCGGCCGAAAGGCCACTGACAATGAGGCCTTTTCGAATCCAAGGGCAGCCTTACGTTGCCGGGCAAAGCCCATTATGGGTCCCGGAGTTGAAAGGGGAGGTCTGCAGGTCGAGCGGAAATTTCAGGTGTACGGTATACTTACTGTACGAAGGGGGTCCCACGGGTTGTCCAGCCACTTTCCTTCTCTCCGGTCGCAGCTACGCATGCGTACAGGTCGGTACTGTCAGGAGCGGTTACGGGTCCTCTTCTCCGGTTCAGTAAATCGCTCTGGTGGAAACAAGAATTCTTTCCCACTCAAGCTTCCTTTTTATCTACTCCATTTTCCCTTTCTTCCTTACTCTTTTCCTTTCCTTTCCCTTTCACACTCCACTCTACCTTTGCTGCTTCGACCTGTTGAAGCTAGCTCTTGCTGCTGTTTGGATTGACTCTCCTTGAATGTGTTTCGCATAGAGAGCTTCCATCATGATCACCACAAGGCTTGCGCGCATGGGTGCGCTGGTAAGTCCTCCTAGACACGTTGCCCTCTGGCCAGGAAGTCATCGCATCCCCCTCGGGAATGAGATGGCCCTAGCCAGTGTGCTTTCTAGCTCGAATGGGAAAACTAACCAGATACCCTCTTTAGGCCCCTAAGTCCCGCCTTGTAAGCGTTTACCCGCGGTCTCGTGCATGACCTCACCACGAGAGATGTGGAGAGGTCACAGATGGAAGCTTTGGAGATGCTAATAATTTGTGCAGATGCTCGGGGCTCGGGGCATGGCCACCGTTGTCGACTCTCCCCTCGACAAGAAGGTCGAGATGACCAACCTTGAGAAGGTGAGTGGTGAACTTCCCATTGTGTCTCGGCTAGCTTCGGGCGGGTGCGAGTGCCAGAATTGGGGATAGGATCCGCTAACAATGCTTGCACAGGGTAACTTCATCAACTACAAGTATGGCAACACTTGGATCCCTGAAATCAGTGCGCAATCGAGAGATTGCTCCTTTCAGGTCAATGAGCTGTCGGCTAACATGTCTACCAACTCTATAGGAAGATGTCCGAGAACCTCGACATCGTTCGTCGTCGTCTGAGCCGTCCTCTCACCTACGCCGAGAAGGTTCTGTACTCTCACCTTGACGACCCGCACGGCCAGGAGATCGAGCGTGGTACTTCCTACCTTAAGCTGCGCCCCGACCGTGTCGCTTGCCAGGATGCCACTGCCCAGATGGCCATCCTGCAGTTCATGTCCGCCGGCATGCCTTCCGTCGCTACCCCCACTACCGTCCACTGTGACCACTTGATTGAGGCCCAGGTTGGTGGTGAGAAGGATCTTGCTCGTGCCAACGACATCAACAAGGAGGTCTACGACTTCCTTGCCTCTGCTACTGCCAAGTACAACATCGGTTTCTGGAAGCCCGGTTCCGGTATTATCCACCAGATCGTCCTGGAGAACTACGCTTTCCCCGGTTGTCTGATGATCGGTACCGACTCTCACACTCCTAACGCTGGTGGTCTCGCCGCTGCTGCCATTGGTGTTGGTGGTGCCGATGCCGTCGATGTTATGGCTGGTCTGCCTTGGGAGCTGAAGGCCCCCAAGGTCATCGGTGTCAAGCTCACCGGTGAGATGTCCGGCTGGACTACTCCCAAGGGTAAGTTCCTTTCTCGTGTATTCCGGACAGAGTGGTTTTGCTAACGTTGAACCCCTAGATATCATCCTTAAGGTTGCTGGTCTCCTCACTGTTAAGGGTGGTACTGGTGCTATCATCGAGTACCACGGACCTGGTGTCAACTCCCTCTCTTGCACTGGTATGGCTACCATCTGTAACATGGGTGCTGAGATCGGTGCCACCACCTCCATGTTCCCCTTCAACGACCGCATGTACGACTACCTGAAGGCCACTAAGCGCCAGCACATCGGAAACTTCTCCCGCGATTACGCCAAGGAGCTTCGCGAGGATGAGGGTGCTGAGTACGACCAGCTGATCGAGATCAACCTGTCTGAGCTCGAGCCCCACATCAACGGTCCTTTCACCCCCGACTTGGCCACCCCCATCTCCAAGTTCAAGGAGGCTGTTGAGGCCAACAAGTGGCCCGAGGAGCTCAAGGTCGGTCTTATCGGCTCTTGCACCAACTCCTCCTACGAGGATATGTCCCGCGCTGCCTCCATCGCTCGTGACGCCCTCGACCACGGCCTCAAGTCCAAGTCTCTCTTCACCATCACCCCCGGTTCCGAGCAGATCCGTGCTACCATCGAGCGTGATGGTCAGCTCCAGACCCTCGAGGAGTACGGCGGTGTCATCCTTGCCAACGCCTGCGGTCCTTGCATTGGACAGTGGGATCGTAAGGACGTCAAGAAGGGCGACCCCAACTCCATCATCTCCTCCTACAACCGTAACTTCACTGGCCGTAACGACGCCAACCCTGCTACCCACGCTTTCGTCGCCTCCCCCGACCTTGTTGTCGCCATGACCGTTGCCGGTACCCTCAAGTTCAACCCCCTTACCGACACCCTGAAGGACAAGGATGGCAAGGACTTCAAGCTCAAGGCTCCTTCTGGTGAGGGTCTCCCTGCTCAGGGCTACGACCCCGGCCGCAACACCTACCAGGCTCCTCCCACCGACCGTGAGACCGTTTCCGTTGCCGTCTCTCCTACCAGTGACCGTCTGCAGGTCCTTGCTGGCTTCGAGAAGTGGGATGGAAAGGATGCTACTGGCATCCCTATCCTGATCAAGTGCCAGGGCAAGACCACCACCGATCACATCTCCATGGCTGGCCCGTGGTTGAAGTACCGTGGTCACCTTGACAACATCTCCAACAACATGCTGATTGGTGCTATCAACGCCGAGAACGGTGAGGCCAACAAGGTCAAGAACGCCTTCACTGGTGCCTACGATGCCGTCCCCGCTACTGCCCGTGACTACAAGGCTCGTGGCATCAAGTGGGTTGTCATCGGTGACTGGAACTACGGTGAGGGTTCTTCCCGTGAGCACGCCGCTCTGGAGCCCCGTCACCTTGGTGGTCTTGCCATCATCACTCGCAGCTTTGCCCGTATCGTAAGTTATCCTGAACTGACACGCTCATCGTGAACGTAAACTAACAGCCTGTCTTAGCACGAGACCAACCTGAAGAAGCAGGGTATGCTGCCCCTTACCTTCTCCGACCCCGCCGACTACGACAAGATCAAGCCCGAGGACACCGTCGACCTTCTCTGCACTGAGATCGAGGTTGGCAAGCCCATGACTCTCCGTGTCCACCCCAAGGACGGTGGTGCTGCTTTCGACGTCAAGCTCAGCCACACCTTCAACGAGTCCCAGATTGAGTGGTTCAAGGACGGATCCGCCCTTAACACCATGGCCCGCAAGGGTAACTAAATCTATGGCTGTTGCCAACATGCAAGACGTGGGCCTTGAGTCTCGACAAGTATAGGCTCGTCTGTAAATTATGATACCTGAAAGATCTGCTTGCGGGGCTCGGTCATTCTGCCCTCGCTCCGTGGCAGCTGCATATGGGACCTACGATGGGAAACCCCCGAGTTGTGTTCCGAAAAATCTAACGAATTGTTTCTGTTGCCGTCTGGGCTTGTTTTCTTTTGTACCCCTGTGATTTCCGGTGGACTACATGGATATATCTTTGTTTTGTTTTATATCATACACTGTATGTTAGGGATCGCATGCATACCACATTTCCTTCTGTTCCAATCTGGATTTATCCTGTAGAAGTCTACGAGTTGCCAATCTGGATCACGCTCAGGACTGGCTGAGCTGCCACTCCAGGGCAATGGCGTAATAGGCCTTTCAAATGTTGCCTTTGGCCGGTCTTGCTGTAAGGGCGACTTTCAAGCGTGCTGACATAAGGGCCTCTTGCTCTACCGAGGCCGAAACGGCTGTGCACCCCGCCTCGGACCGTGCTTCCTCTTATATAACCGATCCATGATAAGAAGGGTCAGTAGTCACATATTTGCTTCTTCCTCAGTTTTCCCTAGGGCTGTAAGAACTCAGTCGTGTGCTCTATTTTCACGTGACGAACGCAGCTGCTTCGATTGCCGTTCTAAAGTATCCAGTGATTCACCGAACGTTGTGATCTAGACCGACCATAGCATATCCCATTCAGGCTCGAACTGCCTTTCCTCCGCGTGTAATAATACTCTTGTGAGTTAATGCGTCCTATCTCCTGAACCGATTATACATCCCCTGCTTGCTATTGACCTACAGCAAAGCGCACTTATCTAAGGGTTCCAACGCAGTTCAACATGGCTGACACTTTTGAACTCCGCCAGCTGCCGACTAATCGCGGCAATACGCTGTTTATTCCAGAGGCATGGCTACCCAGCTAGTATCCCTGGCGGAGGTGGAGAGGCTAAGCGCTTCGGTCATACGGATATTGGGCGGAAATCCCGGCAAGGTGAGCCAAATTTGAGAAATGAACACAGTTATGATCATAATCTAAACCAAGACCCCCTTTTCTCTAGTTCACGCTGCAAGGTGTGTACGTACTTTGTCAAAAGCATTATTCTCTCTCTAATGTACCGCAGGCACAAATACGTATCTAATTGGCCGAGGACATCAACGCATCCTCATTGACTCTGGCCAGGGGGAACCTTCTTGGGCAGCCCGGCTCAAGGCCCTCTTGGCAGAGGAGAACGCAACTGTGCACCAGGCCCTTCTTACGCACTGGCATCCAGACCATGTGAAAGGCATTCCTGACCTCTTGAAGATATGCCCAGAGGCAGTCATCTACAAGAACGATCCAGACCTAGGGCAAGAGAGCATTGAAGATGGCCAGGTATTCAGTGTTGAGGGGGCAACGCTGAGAGCGTACCATACCCCGGGACATACTGTCGACCATATGATGTTTGTTCTTGAGGAAGAAGATGCCGTCTTTACCGGCGATAGTAAGTCATTGGCTAACTCCACTTTGAGTTCCGTGTCTAACTAAATCTTGTCAGATGTCCTGGGTCACGGCACGAGTGTCTTTGAGGATCTCAAAACGTATCTGTCCAGTCTGCAGAGAATGCAGCACCGCGTCTCGGGCCGTGGCTATCCCGGCCACGGGGCGGTGATCGAGAACGCGACGGCAAAGATCACAGAGTATATCAAGCACCGGCAACAGCGGGAGGATGAGGTGGTTCGGGTTCTTCGATACAATCACCTCGACGTCGCAGATGATGAATCATCCCCGGAGCGCAAGCAATCCTGGACACCACTGGAGCTGGTCAAGGTGATTTACAAGGATGTGCCGGAAAGCCTTCATCTGCCTGCGTCCCATGGAGTGCAGCTTGTGTTGAATAAACTGGAGGACGAGGGTCGGGTAAGCCAGGATGGGAGTGGGAAATGGAGTTTGGAGAGTGGGCGATCTGCGCTTTGAGGGGCTATCACGAGACTAAACTGTCTCTTGTGCTCAGTGGAAAAGGTATAACAAGGCTATCATCATATATCAATGAATCTTCTGTTGTTCAAGCTTCGATACCAGGGTATCCGCCTCCAACGCGGGAAGACACCTGGGCTGTACAATGAATGGCCTATCAGTGATCGCCAGGCAATATAGTCACCAATAGCGATGAATACGAAATCAAACATTATATAACTTCCGGGTTGACACCGGTCTCTTCGACCTACTCTTCTTAAGCATCCTCCTCTAATCTTCAGTGCCATCCTTTGTGTCCGTATGATCATCAACAGGCCACCCTTCCCTAATACTAAGAAAGACACCTCAACCCCCCTGCGATACAAACCTTCCAATGCTACTACATGAATATACTAGAACAACCAACCCTGAAACCAGCGATTACAACAAAAGCATATTCAGTCATAATTCCAATGAATGCATCGAAGAATGTCTTCTAGTCGATATGGTTCAACGCGAGAATCTTCCGGATAAAGCCCACTGGTATCTAAAGCGACGACACCATCCATCTTAGATACGGGCATAGAGACCTATAGAAAACGCAATAGACAGACAACGGGATGCAATAGGATTTGGTCGAGCTCTTACTTCAAAATCATGTTCTGACATTTGGCAGTCTTCTTCGAGTTACAGATAGGGTGGCCTCTCAGGCTTCCATTTCGCGAATTGAGACTTTTTCTTGCGTCTTTGTGTCAATTGCGTTTCAGTATATGATGGGTCAGTTATGGACGGGGATGAGGATAGCAACGTCCGTAGGCAGAAGGTTCTACCATATCATGTGATCTATTTGTCTTTGTCACTGTTTCTACCTTCCATCTTCTTGGCCATGTGATTAGCTTTTACCAGAATTGTCAAGGGTATATATATCCTTGAATCATTCTAAGCCCCCATGTATGCCTCGGAGTCCATTTTCCGGATCTGCATAAACAGAGGATATGGCGGGACTGCAATAAAGCCCTAAGAGGATTCGGATTATATTTCCAGATGGGGTGCGCGAGATACGGCTCTTTAGCGTATGGCAGGCTGCTCTGGGGTCAGGCGTGCTAGACTAGTCAGAAAGATCATCTGTGAACACACTGAGAGCTGTCGTAGATCGCCATCAGTCCTCCATGGATAGGGCCAGTAGGTCTCGTTGATGGGACCACATGCCCCGAGCATGCTCTCACAAACCAATCAATGCAAAGATCCAGTATCCATTCTTGGGTTGCCATGGCTCTGGTAATACGAAAGGAAATAAATCAGTCCTGCAGACGAGCGCTCCGCACTCATGATAGATCACGGCTTTGACGCGGAGTCCAGACTCTTCGATATCCGCGGGGCATTTCGGAACCGGTTTGGGACGCCTCGGGCAGCAACCAGGAAAACAGGCTGAAATGGATGGCGAGAAGCCTACCGGCTCGTGTTTATTCTTGGAGAGATCAACTTGCCATGCAGATGACTGCCTGGACGCCACCCGGCAGGTTGGACCAACTGAGTCAGGACAGATTCTATAGTTAACAGCCGCGAGGGATATGTTGAAGGTAACATTATTACGCCGTCGCGCCGTCATCAGGCCATATGCACGAGAAGCGACCGGTGCCACCAGCATCCTGGTCCTGAAACGAGTGGACGTAAGGTACCCAGTGGGTGAGAGGGACGAGCATGCCAACCATGGCGAGTGTGTGCATCATCGACGGGCGGGGGTTTGGGCAACGGTGAGTGGCTGGAAGGCCTCCCGCATTCATTATCCCCAAGAGACTCTGACTTCATCGCCCGCCCCTCCCCGGAACTAATCTCGTCCCGACCAACGCCTTCCCCTTCGGCAGCATTTCATCCTTCCCGTCTCCTTCCTGCGGAGAAAGCAACGTGCCTCGTGAAAAGCAACATCGCCAGCAGTTTCGGCCGCGCACGCAAAGAGTGTGAATCCTCTCTGTCGATGAACTTGCTAGTGAGGAGCTCTAGGTGGACTCCGGCACTACTGCTTGCTTCTGGTTCTTCTTGTGCCCAAACCTGGGTCAGTTGGTCCGCGCACCGGGCCTTCAAGTGAGGTCACTCCTCCGATTCTTCCCCGCCGCCTTGGGGCATCTTTCTCTAGCACTGCTGCTCGAGCTCTGGCTCTCAAAAGCTCCAGACGTGGCCATCCGTGCTTTTTTCCTTTTAACCCACAGGCGGTCCCCCCTTTGCCCGTGCCCCCAGCCGCTTTATCTGGTGCTTGGGCTCACTGGTTTTCATTCAATTCTCGATCTCTCGTTCTGACGGCAATTGTCGTGCCCGTCTTCTACCCGTCTTCTACCCGTTTCCTTTGCACCGTTGCTCACTAAAAACAAATTAATCATAATTCTGATAGTACCCTGCAGCCTAAGTTCCGTGCCCCGCCCCGGACTGTTTGTGACTTGGTGCCCTTGATCTGTGATAATCTCCTCCTTTGTATCGATCAGACCAGTTCATTGGTCGCCTCTCGGTCTAACCCCATTTGCACATACATTGTCTCGCTCGGTGCCCCGCGTCCCCGACACTGACAGGATGCCTTCCCTGGAGTCCCCCACCCAGAATGAGGCCCGGCTGCTCCTCGTTTCCAATCGCCTGCCAATTACCATCAAGCGGTCGGACGATGGCCGATATGACTTTTCCATGTCGTCCGGCGGCCTGGTCAGTGGCCTGAGCGGTTTGTCGAAATCCACCACCTTCCAATGGTACGGCTGGCCCGGCTTGGAGGTCCCGGAGGCGGAGATTCCGGTTGTGAAGCAGCGCTTGAAGCAAGAGTACAATGCTGTGCCGGTCTTCATCGACGATGAACTGGCAGATCGCCACTATAATGGTTTCTCTAGTCAGTATCCGAGCCTGTTCCATATTGACCAGACAGGAGGGCAACTCTCATATCTCGTCGCCAAAATGCTTGCTTGCTAACGGATATGACCCTGCCTAGATTCTATTCTCTGGCCCCTTTTCCATTACCATCCCGGCGAGATCACTTTTGATGAGTCCGCCTGGGAGGCATACAAAGATGCCAACCGCCTCTTCGCCAAAGCCGTGGCAAAGGAGGTCAAGGATGGTGACTTGATCTGGGTTCACGATTATCACTTGATGCTCCTTCCCGAGATGCTGCGAGAGGAGATTGGCAACAGTAAGGAAAATGTGAAGATTGGTTTTTTCCTCCACACTCCCTTTCCCAGTAGCGAGATCTACAGAATTCTTCCGGTGCGGAACGAGCTGTTGCTTGGTGTCCTTCACTGCGACTTGATCGGATTCCATACGTACGACTACACCAGACACTTCTTGAGTGCTTGTTCGCGACTACTGTATGTCTTAAACCCATGGTCCTCCTCTTTATGGCTGTGCCGATGCTAACACTATGGACTTGCAGGGGCCTGACAACCACCCCTAATGGCATCGAATTCCAGGGCAAGATCATTGCCTGTGGCGCTTTCCCCATCGGTATTGATCCCGAGAAGTTCGAAGAGGGACTGAAGAAGGAAAAGGTTCAGAAACGGATTGCGATGCTGGAGCAGAAATTCCAAGGTGTGAAGCTGATGGTGGGCGTTGACCGCCTCGATTACATCAAGGGGGTCCCTCAGAAGTTGCATGCCCTCGAGGTGTTCCTCAGTGATCATCCAGAGTGGGTTGGCAAAGTTGTCCTGGTGCAGGTTGCAGTTCCCAGTCGGCAAGATGTGGAGGAGTATCAGAACCTGAGGGCCGTTGTGAATGAACTTGTGGGCCGGATCAATGGCAAATTTGGTAGGTTTTGCGGCACTGGTGAACGGTATTTTGTCACTGACTGCTGGGTAGGCACTGTTGAGTTTATGCCAATCCATTTCCTGCATAAGTCGGTCAATTTCGACGAGCTGATTGCTCTGTATGCGGTTTCCGATGCTTGCATCGTTTCCTCGACCCGTGACGGAATGAACCTTGTTGCTTATGAGTACATCGCCACTCAGAAGAAGCGCAATGGTGTCTTGGTACTCTCGGAGTTCGCCGGTGCCGCTCAGAGCCTTAACGGCAGTATTATCATCAACCCATGGAATACCGAAGAGTTGGCGGGAGCCTATCAGGAAGCCGTGACCATGAGCGACGAGCAGAGAGCCCTCAACTTTTCCAAGCTGGATAAATACGTTAACAAATATACAAGGTGCGATCATGTCTGGAATTGAAGAGCATTGGAACTAATATCTCGTGTAGTGCATTCTGGGGACAGTCCTTTGTGACAGAACTGACCCGCATTTCAGAGCATTCAGCGGAGAAGTTCCACGCCAAAAAGGCTTCTTTCAGCTCAAACTCTGAGAACGGGGAACATGCAAACGGCGTGGAAACTCCAGCTGAGGAACAAGTGGCGCAGTGAGCTTGGCGACGCTGCTTGCTATGAATTCTTTTCGACCAATGATCAATTTAAAATGGGAATGCGTGAATGAATGGCTTAAGACGTTTATTTTACTGGTATACGAGCACACGGCGTGGCGAAGTATGGTTTTTTCCAGCAGATTTATATTTCGGCTTTCGTATGGAATGTTACAAGAGTGACCACAGAGTCCCAATTTCTATGGTGTGGTTAGGCGTGAGGCATGAGGTATCTGGTTTTGTGTGTATATGGGAGCATTATCTAGATCCTCGGCATTGGCCTCTCAACTCTGTGTTGGGGGCGTCAGTGTTTGACGAGGGCTCGGACCATCATTGAGTCGGTGTCTATTTGATATCAAATTACCTATTACAATCCAATCACATTCAAGAACTGTGCCGTCTACACGGACTATATTATGTACAGACGAGGATCGAGAGGCCCCGAAGGCGCGTGGAGAATGGGTGCAAACCATGCAAACACACCTGAGATTTCAGAAATTCTCGGCGAACTCGTCCGCGGCCGCGATGCTCTCCGGCCTAGAAAGTAGCCTTGCAGCAATCCCACCGTGGTCGACCGGTCAATCGCTACTGAATTGCTATCTCGCTGAGCGGATAGACTTTTCTCTTCTTCTGCAACGTCCCCTAGGTCGACAATCCGCGTCACTTCCCGTGCCCGACCAACCGCGAAGCTCCCGTCCAACCGGACAGAATTGGCCGTGCTTCATTCATCTTCACATCTTCAACGCCATCTCTACGACTAGGAAACTTCAAGTCCTCACGCACATCACCAAAATGCGTCCTACCAACCTCCTCCGGGCCCTGCAGCCCCTCCGCACCAGCCTGATCCGATCCACCCCCTCCACCACCACCACACCCTCTCTCTACCACACCGTCCAGCGGACCCTCACGACGACTACCCCCCGACTCAACGAGTCCCAACCCCAGCAACCCGAATCCACCACCACCACCCCCTCTCCTCCCACCGAGACTCCCACCGACACCCCAACCGCACCCACCACCGTGCCCCCCTCCCTACGCAGCTACCCCTACAAAACCAAAACCGGCACCGTGATCTCGGTCGGCCGCATGGACCGCACGGTGCGGGTCAGCCACCGCCACACGATCTGGGACAAGCACATCCAGAAACCGTACCCGAAGATCACGACGTTCCTGGTGTCGGATCCCCGGAACTCGCTGCGCGAGGGCGACGTGATTGAGTTCTCGAATGGATATCCGAAGACGCGGAACGTGCATCATGTCGTGGAGAGGATTATTGCGCCGTTTGGGTCGGCGATTGAGGAGAGACCGGCTGTGATGAGTCGGGCGGAGAGGGATGCGGAACGCGCGGTGAAGAGGGCTGCGAAGTGGGAGAGACGGGAGGCGAGGCGCGTGGAGAAGGGGGGGTTGGTTGGGGAGGGGGGGAGGGAGCATGTTGGACGTATTCGGAGGTTGGTGGGTGAGAGGATGGCTGCTACTAATGGGCAGGTTGTGGTTTAGATGGGATGTTTGTGTGTAATCAAATGGTTGTTAAATGAGGTGGAGGAGGAGGAGGTGGTGGTAGAAGGGTGTGAGATGGGGGGAGTTTCCTTGTCTGTTCGATCATGTATGTAAACTTGTGTATATTACTAGCTATTTCATGGCATTTGTTCTCTTGTCTCTTCTTATGGTCTTATGTAGGTATAGGAGGATGTGGTTGTAAAATAGTAAAGAGGCTGGGTGTTCTAGTCTGAAAATGGCGAAGGTGGAGGAAACAGGGGGCCTGGATGTGCAGTTTGTGTGGAATCGGGTTTCAAGGGAGCGTGTTACTCGGAGTGATGGTAATGGGAGTTTTTGAATATGAATGTAGTTAGTATGTGTGTATGAGAAGACGGGTTGGCGTTCACATGACATAGATAGTAGTATGAGTTGCTGGCCATACATGGATTGGCAACCGCCTGGCTGTGGCTGTTGGTCTAGTTTGTAAGTTATCGGACTGTCTAGAGGATTGAAATCAAGGCTCTGGCTAGAGATAGATTGAGGTATATGGCATCTTGCATCCAAAATCAGGCAACATTCAACAAGACTACAAGGCCGAAAGTGGCCATTTCGTCGTTGTTCCGCTCTGACCGGCCAACGTTCTCACCCTTTTCTGGCCGTCGATGATATAGTAGATACAAGCGAATCCGTAATCCCGTCCCTCGAATCCCGGGGGACACTTGAGTGCATCTGGATCCCACTTGAGTTCCAGAGACGAACTCTTTGCGCTCTCATAGGCATACTCGAATGCCTCCTTGTCATTGATCACCACGGTGCCATAGACAATAGCCTGGATATGAATTGGGGCGTCTGCTGGTTGTTCCGGTGGAACGTATGCCGAGACACCGGGACAGGTCTCCCAGTTGTCGGGTCCCAGGGTGGTATTGCGACCCGGGCTTCTTGAGACAAACAGACCTCTCTTCTCACCATCAGTAAAGATAAATGAGAGAGCATCGCGGGGGTAAACTTTCTGGGGCGGCAGCTTTGGGATGGCCCTATTAAACCCAGGGAGATATTGAAAAATCGAAGCGTTGTCGTCGTCCACGGGATCAGGTAAGATATTTTTCACAATCTTGGGGAAGATGAAGGGACTGGTTTCCACCTCAAGACTGGCACCTTTGTAGAACATGATACGCACGTGGTCGGTTACATCCTCGGTATCAAAGGTAGCAGCGAGGATCTCCAAGCGGCGAGATGGGCGCACCGGGGGTGCGGTTTCTGGGGTTACCATGCCCGTCTCTTGGAACTCAAATGCAAGTTTCTCGACCTGGCAGGGGCATTAGGCACTGTTGTTATCTATACCGGAGATGGTTTCAGGGGCACGGAGGGGGTTACTTTTGACCAGTCTCTGCTAGCCCGTTCAAAACGAGTCTTTGCTCTGCCGCGCAAGGATGCGGTGTCCTGCTCGGTCCAGGCCCTGGCATCTTCCAAGTTGGACTTCAATCCATCGAGGTTGGTTTTTAATTCGTTGAATCGGCCTGCACGCAGCTTCAGCATTTTGAAGACCCATGGGTCTAAAGCAAGTGTCACATACTAGAAAGCTGTGTCAGAGCGTTATGGACTCCGGTGATCGTCGAATTAATGTTTGTAATTGCACTGGTCAAGCACTCGAGATGTTCTAAAGTAGGTATCCCAAAAGGAAATCGGTTAGTAGAAAAGAAAGCATAGGAAGGAGCGGAGGCTTACGTGTGAGGAGTTGCAGGCTAGACAATCTATCCACGCCCTGTTTCAATTGTTCTTGATAGTCACTTCTAAGGTCCTTTAGGGTATTTTTGGTAAACAACGTGATGAGCGGATGAGCAAGTTCTTCTATTAAATCAGAACAGAACTTGTCAAAACCTCCCCCCTTAAATCTGTTGTTTTCTGTTCTTGATGTGTTAACCAAATGACGATGAAGGCCCGGTGGATAGAAAGCACATACGATTAACCAGATTTTGCATTTTAGTTGTTTCATGAGCCTGCATAAGAGATCTCAGGTCCTTCTGGTAACTTTGAATGGCAGTGTCTGTTGTCTGCTGTAGTTGGCCTAGAGTCGGAAGGGCCGCTTCCAGTTTGGTTTTCACCTGCTGAAATTGGGTATCATCCACCGTGGTTTGCGTTTGAAACTGGAGATACTGGTTAATCAAGACTGCTCCTGGGGCTAGAAAGATTGAAGGGGATGACAGACCTCGCTCAACTTATTGGTAACCTCGAGGCACTCAGCATTCGCTTTCACAGCATGGTCCTTGATCTCGTCGATCAACCTCTGTGCACCCTTGGTGGCATTACTAGTTTTATCAGGGTCTCCGCCCGCTACTGTGGATGTTATATTCTCGAGGTCATCCATGAGTTCCTGTGCGTTTTCGCTTGCGGTTTTCGCAAAATTGCCAATCGATCCCCCTGCCAGGACTTAGTTGATTTATCTCGCCCATAGGGGCGACTACCCACCTAGCAAGATTATATGGTTGAGAGCTTTGGATTGAAACGCATAGCAGTGGCTCTGGATGTCTTTCAAGACGTCTCTCATGCGCTGGAAAGTGAACTTAGCCTTCTTGCAGCGGAGTCTTTGGTTTGGATCTTACTGACGTTATACAGTGGTCCATCAACATAGTCCTTGAATACTTCCTGGGGATAAGTATCCTCAAAGGACTCTTTTGAGGCTGGTAGTAACAAGCCCGTGCGAACATAAGACTGCAGCAAGACGAAATCCACACTCTTGAGAATGAAATAGAACTTTTCCGTCGTTCCTTTGTCGGGTTCGGTCAGGGAGACCGGGACAGTCACCGGAGTCAAGAACCCATTTGCAATACCAAGGAGCTCCTCGGCACGACTGACGAATTCATCAACGGCTTTGTTTGTCATGATTTAATTGTAAGTATTCTGGGTATTGCAGCGTGGGTGTTTGATCATGTATCGGGCTAGGATATTCAAAATAGCGACTCTATTGCTTCGCTGTCTGATGATGGCGAGTATTTAAATGCTACTCTAGTCCAATAATTCTTTTTCCGCTTTTGCTTTAGTTTGCATTTGATTATTTACCTCGTTCCCGCATCCTCTCTTTTGGGTGGGGGAGCATCAACTACCAGTGACGGCCCGTCAAGGAGGGGCATCTACTCGATACGCCCCATGGACTAAAAGCTGAAATCCGAATGGCACGGTAGATTCCGGGCCTTTATGCCCACCGCAATACCAGTTCAGCCGTCAGTTATCCCGTCTCCGCAACGAAGCCCCGCAGCCCTTCGGCGAGTCATCATGAACCCGTTGCCTCGATGCATCCCTTGGCCGTGACGTGTTATCCGGTGAAGGTTTCAGCTAAGGGCGAAGTATCTTGCAGGACTACTTTATCTGGCTGATTCTGGGGCTGGCTGTGTCTTTACTCTGCACCTATCCCATTCTGGTTCTTGAGTACGCCAGCCACGAAGCTCTTGGTCTGTGTGCGACGATTTAAAGGTCTGACGTGGCATCCCAAGGCCCACTTCGCTTATTTGCGAGCATGAGCGATTTTTCATCTTCGTTGCAAAGAACTCCGTGGACCAAGAGCTCCACGGATGGGGCCCTGTGGTTGGTCCCCTCCCAAGAAGACGAGAAGCCGGAATTATTATCCGGCTATATTTACTATATCTATGACCATATCTATATCATGCCGGACAGCCGGGACAGTGGACCATGAACGAACGTGAACTCTCTTGTCCAACTATCTTGGTCTTCACTACTACCAAGTCCCTCGATCACAGTCTCCAGACCGACAAGCCGCCATGGATATCCAAACTGCGGTCCATAGAACATTTGCAGCTCTGGACTTCGATGAAAAGACTCTAGGACTTGTGAGCTCGAAACAGCACCATGACAGCCCTGGAACGGTAACAGCACATCCTTATCTTATTTCTATTGTGATCTTTTCTAACCAAGGAAGTTCCCGTGCAGTTTTGGATTCGAGATTCAGTACTCAGCCTCCAGGAGACGCTGAAAACGACATGCACGGAAGCGAAACAACATGGCTTCGAGGCGAGGTTCATTAACCTTTATTGTGATACCCTAATCGTGGAACCGGGTGCTTCCATCGGCTGCCCAGACAGCCCATTTCATGCGCTCAATATCTATGCTCGAGACATCCAATTTACCCCGGGCACAGACAATGTGGCACTCCGAGTGACGATGGAAGAAAATAGTGCTATAGTCTTCCACACCCGCACTATCCCTCCAGATTTTCGGGTGTCATTCAACATCGCGAATACTGTGAATGAAGACATCCGCACTCCAGAAATTCCTCCCGGCATGTTCTCGATTTTGTTCTTATGTGATGACCAGATGATCGTCTCCGAAACCCATGGCCCTCCCGATACCGCCATGAAATTCACGGACTATCTAAGCCTTATTGGTGAAGATGGCCGCCTGTCAAAGAACGATTCTCGAGATAATGAGTATAATCTGCCCCACCATTCGTCATACAAGTGGCTTGCTTTTCCAGCCGGAACGCTTACTCTGTTTATACTCCCCGATTTGCAGTCACCTCCCTCGCCTTCTGCAGTTGCAGCTACTCGTTGCCCTAGCCCACGTTCATAGTCATCGTGACCTGGCACTTTCTCTCCTCGACTTTATTCGCTTTGTGTCGGCAACGTCATACAGTTCGTGGCTTAGTTGTTATGCGAATGCAATTTATTGCAATTTGAGTAAGTCGGATGCGGTGACACAGGTCATGGTTAGAAAATATCTAAATTCCAGAGAATAGGTTCCAACCTCGATGTATCCTACGTTCCGTCTCTCAACGTTCACAGCAGTCAACAGGTCTTGATCTCGCGCCTAGCCGCGGCATCAAGCTTTGAAGACGCCTTCCGCGATTTTATGTCCAGACAAACCAATGCAGACTACCAGGTAACTTCTATGTACAACATGCTAGCGAAAAGCCAGGGAGCAATGGAAACTTTTGACTTTCTGAAGTCCATTCGGACGCGGGATTTCAACGAGGCGACAGGATCGAATAATCAAGCCAAATTGGAATTCGAAAAGAACCAAGAGGAGCTGATCACTTGCCGGGATCGTTTCGAGAAAGGAATTGATACTTGGCTTCTGGAGGAGCAGATCGAAGCAGGATGGGAAGTCCTCAAGGCCACAGTTGGCGCTGCCGTTGCTATAGGCGTCGCTTGTAGCTCTGGAGGAGCAACTGCTCCTGCTGCGGCTGGCGCCGTTCAGTCGGCGGCTGATGCAGCGACTTCGGTGAGCAAGCTTCAGGAAATATGGGCAAAGATCAAGAAGATTTTTGAAACCTTGAAGAGCATTTATAACCGGATCGCACCCATTCTACAGGGTCTATGGAAGCTAGTCAAGAGTATCTCCACGGTGGTCAAGAATTTGAAAAGGTCAGACAAAGCCTCGCAAACAGCTTTGCTTGAAATGACCATTGAATTTAAGGCCCGGAGGGAGGTCAACGTTCTTGCGGAATGGGACAAGTTCTATATTACAGTAAAGGACATGGAGGATGAGCTCAAGTCACTGAGTATTGATGGGAAAACCGCATTCTTTCATGCCCTTAAGACTCTGGTCGTGAATGGCAAATGCTATATCACCACCCAAGCCACACTACTCAAGCAGGGCGACAAATTAGCCACAGCCCTAGTCCAAGGCCGCGTCAACTCTCAGCAGACAGACCGTCTGGAACGCTCATTCAAGCAAATCAAGGTGGACAAAGAGGTGTTGGAATATGTGTCCCGAGCATTCTTCGACCGAGTCCTTCGCGTACGAATCCTGGCATACCTGGATCTGAATACCTACTCAGCGGTCCATCGGTATCATACACTTTTTCAGCGTAGGTTACTCAGCTTGTTCTCGTTATCTTTCAGCGGCTGACAACTATGCATCTGAATTCGCAGAGAACTTGGAGGATATTTCTCCGATCAGCCCGGTTGGTGTCTATCAGGAGCGTGTCGCCCACATCCAAAGGGCCATTGCCTCGTTCGAATCGACAACGCCGATTCAGAACCGCATTTTCCAGGTCTCTTCCTTATGCGGCTATAGGAGTTCCCAAGATCTAGCGCAGGCTCTTACCTCCCATAAGGCCGTCGGCTTGGACTTGGACCCCCAGGCTTCCATTTGGCAACGCTTTGGCAGAATCCGAATGCTGGCTGCACGGTGCGGTTTTCCTTCTATAGCCATCATGGGCTTTGCTAATGATGTCACTTTCCAGATGTTACTTAGATGGCCTGCAACTTGTTCCCGGTTCTGACCCCTCTGCGCCCGCTCTTCAACTTCACCTCAGCACGAGCAGCCAATTTTCTGACCGGGGTACTGATCTCCACAACGAGGTCTACAGCTTCTCTGGGAATCCCCGCACCCTGGTCTTTGAGTATGATGTTGGCAATGGCACCATTCTCTGTGACGGCAACTATGGGACACACACCAAGTACACGCCAATGACACAATGGTCGGTAGTCATACCGCGTGAAATCCCCCTTGATCATTACGACTTTTCGAACTTGCGCAGTCTCAGGTTCGAATTCTTGTGTGAGTTCTCCTTGCAACAGTGTGATGATGTCGAGGATCAGGCATAAATCACACAAAACAAAGTATGGTTCAACAGGTGTCAGGGCACTAGGCTAGCAGCGTGCACGGTCGACGGCTTATTCTAACTGCCAATCACATACCTATCCTAAGGGCCTTGGTGATCCAATACTGGCGAAGCAACCCTATTCAGTAAATGGGTCTTCAATTGTGCTAGAGATATTGTATAGATCTAACCCTCATCACTAGAAATCAGAGTACCCAGGGAAAGACATAGGTTCACATTTATCACGGGAAGCAATTAGAAATTCCTAGATTGTACGGAGTAGGAACGAAAACTACCCCGTCAAAACCCCTAATAGGTAAAGCCAGAAAGGGCTACTAACCCGCAAGCAGTAAGCCGCAAGCCACCAATCAGAAAAGCAGCGGAAGAGGTACTTGTGAATAATAGCCCACACTCGATATTTTTAGATGGCTCTAGACTGCTATGAGTAACTGCAGGGATTGGCCTTTGTCGGGTAAATGATGGATAGATACAAGGGAGACTGGGGTGTGAATAAGGAATGATTCAGGGGTAGGCACATCTTGTCTTTGGAAGTTGTCCCTGGAAAGGAGGTACTTTCCTTGGGTGGGTCATGTGATGTCGCTATATACTCCGTATGGTTATTTGCGTGGCGAGAAAGGACTGGATAGTACTAGGTGGACTGAGTTCGTGGACTTGTTTGTGTGTCCTTTTTATTTGCCCTTTGTAGCAGTGACTGGTAATAATAGCTAGTCATTAGAACATATAAGAAAATACGACTGCAGCGGGGTATATCACCAGAGTGCTGGTTGGTCTGTGTGGAGTATGTAGCCTCCTACGGGGAGCAGCTCTTTACATACTCCTGGTGTAGAAGAGCTCATTCTCGATGATTTGTTATCCTTTGGTCTGGCGTAGGGATATATCAAGCTGGCAGAAAGCCCGAATAGGGGGCTCACATCATGGATATACGAAGTACTATACCTCGGAAATATATATACCTGGGGCTCATAGGAAATAGTCTACATCAATAAGAGAAGATAGACCTAGAGTGTGAAACCCTCCGATTCACCCAGTTTGACAACAAGCTATCAGCAGTTCGATGAATACTACCAACTGCCCCTCAAGCGAATACTTATATAAAACAAATTGGTACCTGAACGGGGTGCGGGCAGCAAAAGGCAGCGGATAGCGCCAAGCCCGAAGTTTGGGTCGCGAAGTCACCCCAGCGACTTTGCCGTTGTTTACTCTCTCCCTCACTTTCGTGTTGACTTCATCAAATCGCTCCCCCACTTCCGGCTCCAATATTCCCCCCCTGACGTCGACCACACGCCCCTTTTCGTCAACCCTCCCCCGATTTCCGATTTACTCTTCCGGCGACGCCAACCTCTGAGCGCCCGATTGTGCATTCCGCAACAACCTTCTGTCAACTTTCCGCCCGTGCACGAGATCTGCGATCGGCTACAAACCCAAGGTGTGTGTGCGTGTGCGTGTGTGTGTGAACTCTGTAAGCGATAAGAAACTGTCGCTTTCTCCTGCTGGATACAATTCTTGATTTCAGTGTCTCCGCCATTTAAGAGAACTGCTGGATCGGTGGCTCCGAAGTCTGGGATTGATCTAGTGCAGTTGGTGGTTCCCCGTGGATTGCGACCCCCGATTGCTAATTGTTTGCCCTGTTTCGTTCGCAGACTTATTTTTAGACCTTCATCATGGCTGAGGGAGAGGAGGATTTCTCTTCCTTGCCATTGCCCGACCGGTTCGCTCATAAGGTTGGTTGGCCCTGTTCGCTCCCGTTTTGGTCAGAGGGATCTCGGATATTGATGCGTCTACATTTGATCTAGAACTGGAAGGCCCGCAAGGGAGGATATGAAGAGGCCAAAGCACTATTCGAAAAATCTCCCGATGAGTCGGATCCCGTTTTTACACCCTTCATACAAGACCCCGGCCTATGGAAAGGGGCCGTGGCAGACTCCAACGTTGCGGCTCAGCAAGAAGGTCTCGGGGCTTATTGCGCGTTTTTGAAATTCGGAGGTGTTCAGGCCTGTACGAGGTATGTCTTGTTCATTTGCACTATGTCCTTCGGATTCTTGATTTTGGTGACAGTCGCTGATCAACCCTGAAGATCACGAGCAACTACAGTCTTCCCTATCTGCGAGAAAGGCCTCCCGTCCACACGACCAGCCGCAAAAACGAATGCGATCGAAGCGCTACTGTTATGTGTTGAGCTGGATAAGGCAGACCCAGTCATCGAAGAAATCCTCCCCGCCCTCTCACACAAAGTCCCCAAGGTCATTGCGGCTACACTGGCAGGACTGAAAGCCATCTATCACAACTTCGGGTGCAAGATTGTCGACCCCAAGCCGGTATTGAAGGTCCTGCCAAAGGCCTTTGGTCATGCAGACAAGAATGTCCGTGCGGAAGCGCAAAATCTCACAGTGGAACTTTACCGATGGCTGAAGGAAGCCATCAAGCCTCTCTTCTGGGGCGACCTGAAGCCCGTTCAACAGCAGGATTTGGAGAAGTTATTCGAGGGTGTTAATCAAGAGCCGGCACCCAAGCAGGAGAGGTTTACGAGGGCGCAGCAAGATGCCATGGCCGCAGCCAGCGCTGCTCCGGAAGGCGGCGATGATGAATTCGAAGGAGGCGAGGAATACGCGGAAGAAGAGGAAGATGCTGGAGTCGATGCTTTCGATCTGGCCGAACCCGTTGATGTCATGTCCAAGGTTCCCAAGGATTTCAACGAGCAACTCTCTTCGTCGAAGTGGAAGGAGAGGAAAGAGGCTCTAGACGCTCTGCATGGCGTATTGAACGTTCCCCGCATCAAAGATGGACCGTGGGATGATGTTATCCGTTTGCTGGCCAAGTCCATGAAAGATGCAAATATCGCAGTGGTGACTGTTGCTGCCAACTGTGTTGACCTGCTTGCAAAGGGCCTTCGCAATGCATTTCTCAAGTATCGGTCTACCATCATGGCGCCCATGCTGGAGCGCTTGAAGGAAAAGAAGCAGAGTGTCGCCGATGCCCTGGGGCAGGCGTTGGATGCAGTTTTCATTGCGACTAACTTGACTGAGTGCCTGGAAGAGATTCTCGAATTCCTTAAGCATAAGAACCCCCAAGTTAAGCAAGAAACTCTCAAGTTCTTGATCCGTTGCCTTCGCACTACCAGAGAAGTTCCAGCCAAGCCTGAAGTCAAGTCGATAGCTGAGGCGGCCACGAAGCTTCTCACCGAGTCCAGTGAGGTCAACCGTGCCGGAGGAGCCGAGGTTCTTGGTACCCTGATGAAGATCATGGGAGAGCGTGCGATGAACCCCTTCCTCGAGGGACTCGACGACATTCGGAAGACGAAGATTAAGGAGTACTTTGACACGGCCGAGGTCAAAGCGAAAGATAGACCTAAGCCTATCGTTGGCCCGCCCAAAACCGCCCCCGGAAAGAAGGTTGTTGGAGCAAAGAAACCCGCATTGGGAGCAAAGAAGCCGGCCCCGCCTCCTGTCGAGGAACCGGCCGCTGCTCCTTCACCCAAGCCTGCTACAAGATCCATTCCTTCAAAACTGGGAGGGCCCCCAAAGCCCAGTGGTCTTTCTGGCCCAGGCGGCCTCAAGAAGAAGCTTGGTGGTCCAGGAGGAATAGCATCTCCGCAACGACGGGTTGTCTCCCCTCCATCGGAGGACCAACCGCCGCCGCCTGCAGCTCCCAAGTTTGGCCTTGCGAGAGGACTTGCCGGCCGTCCGATAGCGAAGCCGTCGGCTCCCAGCGAGCCTGCTCCCGCTCCGGCACCACCTCAGTTGAGTGGAATCTCGGCTATCGAACGGGCTGAGTTAGATGAGCTGCGTGCAGAGAAGGAGCGGTTTATGCGGATGGTTGAAGATTTGAGATCGGAGAGAACCAAGTTGAACTCGCAAGTCATGGAGCTTCAGGATCAGAATGCGCAGCTCATCGAAGATCATACAAGAGATGTGTTGAGCATCAAGGCCAAGGAAACCCAGTTGGTTCGAGCACGAAGTGACGCAGAAGCAGCGGAGCAGTCTGTCCAAAAGCAGCAGCGAGAGATCGAACGTTTGAAGCGTGAGCTAGCAAGGGCCCTTCGAGCCAGCGCTATGAGCCCTCCCAATACCCTACCGGAGAATATTGGATTGCCTATGTCAGAAACAAGCTCCGTGTACCAAGATGATGGCCGTGGACCGATGTCCCGGTCTAGCCTTCTTGCCGGCTCACGGTTCGAGAGCTCACGGCCACGCAGCTATGCATCAGGTAGCCCAAGTGAAGAGAAGGAGAACAATGGCTTGGATTCCTCAGGACTGAGTAGCCGAGAGGGATTTGGTCGACGGAAGCTCAGCCCTACATTTGGTACCGGCTACTCCGGGCTGGGAAGTCCCACCCGGTCGTCAGTGCTAGGCTCCGGCAGTGCTTCTGGCGAAGACCAACCTACCAGGAGCGCGGAACCAGCGGAGAGCTGGAAGAGAGCCGCGGAAGTAACCAGCCAGCTGAAGGCAAGAATCGAACAAATGAAGGTATGGAGCTTGCCCTTCATGAGCTAAACATGTTCCTCTGTAGAACCATTGCTGACTTCAATGCAACAGGCAAGGCAAGGGCTTATACGACCACCTTCGCAACGCTAATGACTGAATGAATAACACGACCTGCTTTCCACTTCTACTTTGCACTCCATCCTAGAGTGTTCTTCAGTCTTTCATTCCGCTCACGCCTCTATTCATATGGATTCGTTTCATCACCTGTCTCTTTACTTACTCCTTGGGTGGCCACATCGTTCGGTCATCATCCTGCTACTACTGCTATACTCCACTAGTTCGGTTGCTTTTATCCTGGGGTGCGCGGGCCTGCGGAAATTCTCTCACCTGGTATCTGGGAATCAAATGGGTTCAAGGGGCATCTGGTTGCATTCGCTTTGGGTTGACTATTTCTGCTTGCTTTTTTTCATTTCATTTCACTTCATTTCATACCATACCATACCATGCTTTGCTGTATAGAACATTCCTGTACCATGTCTTAATCATAAGGGCTGTACTGTACGGATATGACTTGGTCATGACGGGACGGGTCACTTGCATGCAAATTGCAAAGTCCATTGTGGGCCAGGCCGGGAACTGTGGGTAGATGAGATGGGCTAGAAGCCTAGACCACAGACTAAAAAATTTGATGGGGGTGAAGTCCACAGGGAGTGTTCTTCAGAGGGCTGGGCTCTTGCGCTACGACCAAGAATAGTAGATCTACAATGTACAGATGCAGACTCCACATGAATGAATGCTTGACATCACAAGGGGACAAGGGGGTAGGAAGGGTGAGACAACTACAAGGGTGTGACAGGTTGATGTGTGAAATAGCATTCATGGATGGGTATCTGCAACGTGTACATGAAAGAAAACAAAAAGGTATGGAAGAGACCGTCCATGACTAGATGGAATGGTATTAAGAGGAAGGGTGAGGGGAGGACCCCTCAAACCCGAGTGTGGGAGAAAGCTAGAAATGTGGTATCCGAGCCCTGAACTCCGTTGAATTTTTTTGCCCCTCAGAACTTTATTTCAAGTTGCTTTTTGGGAGAATTCATTAAAGTTCGTTGATTTTTGTGTGTTAAATCCCGTCTGTGTTAAGCTAGCTTAGACACGGATGGCACCCTCAACGGCCTTGCGCTTCTTCTCCTGGCGGGCGACAGCCTTGGCGCCCATGATACCACCACCCCAGTGACGGCGGGACTCCTCGGTCTTGTCGGTGTAACCCTCCTTGATGGCGGAGAGGAGCTTGGCGAACTCGGCCTTGTCCTCAGCGCGGGTCTCGGTGAGAGCGAGAACGGCAGCGGTCTGGAATTAATTAGCGGGAGATTCAGAGGTGCAGACAGTTGTCGTGGAAGCTCACCTTCTTGTGGACAACGGTACCAAGACGAGCCTTGCCCTTGACGATGGCGTAGGGGACACCCATCTTGCGGCAGAGAGCGGGAAGGAAGACGACCAGCTCAATGGGGTCAACGTCGTGGGCGATCAGGACGAGGGAGGCCTTCTTGTTCTCGACGAGGCCGACAACGTGGTTGAGACCGTACTTGACGTTGTAGGGCTTCTTGGAGACATCCTCCTTCTTCTTGCCCTCAGCGACGGCGGTGGCCTCAGCGTGGAGACGCTCCTTCTTCTCAACCTTGGTCTCGGGGCGGTACTTGTTGAGGAACTTGAAGGTCTGGGCAGCGGTGTTGCGGTCCAGGGTGGCCTGGAACTGAGCGATGGAAGGGGGGACCTTGAGACGGAGGTTCAAGATCTTCTTCTGGCGCTGCAGACGGACATACTCGGGCCACTTGACGAAGCGGGACAGGTTGCGCTTGGGCTGGATGTCCTGGCCAATGCCGAAGTTGCGGGAACGCTTCTCGATGAGAGGGTTCTATGGCGAACAATTAGCATCCCCAGATCTCCCTGGGTTATACAGTGTGGGCAATCACATACCTTGGGGGCCTTCTTGGAACCAGCCTTACCCTGGGGGTAGGGGAGGGGGGCAGTCTTCTTTCCGGACTTGGGGGCAGGCTGTCATTGAGAAAAGAAGATCAGCAATCGCGTCCACCTTCTGCTGCATCTTCCTTGAACTCTAGAGAGAACACAAGCCGGGAACGAGTCCGCAACATTGTGCCTCCAGCCAAATCATCACTGGCGCTCGCATCCTCACGGAGTTGAGCGACCAGCGGAATCTTCGCTTCTCGACTGTGCGAGATGAAGCGGGACGAAATTGTCTCACGACATGTCGCAGGATAGTCGATGGCTCATTCTAAAGAGAAGAGGCGTAAACTGGGCAAATCTATGTGCTTACCATTTTGTCGACTGGGATCCGCGGCGGCGTTGGGTGACGGGATTGACAAACGAAGGAAAGAAGAAAAAGATCCTGAAGCAATTTCACGTCGAAAAGAAAAGGCCCCGTTTGCTTGTGTGGGCCGCCTCGGACTATCTCGCCTGCCGGCTTCCGGAAATCTGCCGCCACGTGATAGGGCTAGCCCTCCAGTTTCAATTTGGTTTTCTATTCTGGGCTATAAGATTCAGCTAGGCTTCTCTTGTTCCAACAGCAAATCCCCTGATGGTCTAGTTGGTTTATGGCATCTGACTGTAATATCGCATTGTAATCAGAGAGTCCCCGGTTCGACTCCGGGTCGGGGGATATTTTTTGCTCCGCTTACTTTCCTTATCTTATCAGCAACTTCGGCAACTCTCTATACCTCGGGGGTTATAAGTAATTTCTTTCGTGATTTATTTCTCTAATGAAGTGATCTCGTGTCCAGCAAATCTTTGATGGTACCCTATCATAGACTAGAACTACCCTATTGTCTCACTGAAGCCCTCACACCTCTCAACCTCCAAACTAACCCCACATCCTCACAATCAGATGAGCCCATCAGTAATATCAGTATTAAGAGGGACGCCGCTCTGTTCCACAAATTATCAGCTGAGGAATACTTTACTGAGTTGGAAATATATCTGTATACACGTACCGCAAGAAGTCCACCGACGGTTTCTTCGATTCCATCTACGTCCTCAAGCCCTTGGCGTTTGTCATTTGCGCCTTAATACTGTTAGTTCATGGACGCCCTTCGCATGCTGAAACCAGGGTTGTGAGGACATACGTAGAGTCGGCATCGCAGCGGCTATGCTAGCAGCAACGAGGCAGAGGATAACAGAGAGCTTCATGATGTAAATGGTTGTCAATAGACGGTCTAACTGGAGTGTGAGGTTATGAATGGTAGAGATGAGAGAAAGATGAGGGCCAACGGCCCTTTTATGTTCTTTGCGAACAGTATGGGATGAAGGCATAATGCCAGGGTGGTTTCATATATTGGGTATCTGCAACCGAAACTACCACTGTGAAGCTTGATGGGATAGTATGGCTTGACCACATCCCAGTTATTGGTCAACTTCCCTGCAAGAGTCGGTAATAATCTGCCAGGACCTAAGCAAGGGTTGTATATCCTGTAGCACTCTGTCCCTAACGATACCATACCCACCCTTCCAAGGCAGACCCTAGACTCATGCATGAAAGCACATCCTACTGACACAACATACAAACGGTTCCATCCCAGCTAGAACCCAGTAGAAGAGAAGATCATAATCGTAACATCTCAAATCATTAGATCCTCTCTCATCACCTCCAAGCTCCAAACACAGGCAATCCACCACGTCCAGCGCCCGAACTCGCCGCCTGTATAGCCTTTCTCTTCCCCATGGAGCCCTCCTGATCGCGTACCGCAGCCACAATCTTGTCAATATTCGTCTCCACCACGACACCACCGATAATCATCTCACTCAAGACGGCATGCATAGTTTCATACCCGAAGATAAGATCCAATTCGCAGACATTCTCAAACATGCGATCCAAGGCCTCCACAAACACCTGGATGAGATCGATGAGCGCGAGCGGCGACTCCGTCGACGTGGAGATCATGATGAACGACAAGGTGGCATATGTCCGGTAGGTGATTTGGGTTGGCGCGTCCGAGGGGCCATTGGCTGCACTGGAGCTCGCGCCCCGGGACAGCAGTGGAGGCAAGGGTAGGAAGTTGCAGGCACTTGGTGGCCGTTGGGAGACCAGGTTGTAGATTTGCGCAATGAGAGACTGTTTTGTCTGCGTGTCCTGGTTATAGACGAGGGTTCGTTAGCAAGGAGGTTCTTGTTCGTCTGTGGCTGGCGACTCGGGGATAGCTTACGATTTGAGTGTAGAACTTGGTTAGCCGTGGTTGGCCGTTGTTGTTGAAGACAAGGACGGCGTTGATCATGTTGGTGGTGCTGTTTCTGGCTCCCTGAGCTTGCGACGATATATTTTGGTGGTGGATTGTGGGTACTTCAAGATGAAGCGAACAGGCAACTCAGTTGGAGATGTTGTCTGTCCGGACGTGAGCTAAGATGTCGTGATTGCGTGACGGGCCTAGTTCGTGAACGATTGCTGAAGATGTCCCTCTGCCTTATCGGCCTGGGCGCGGAGACTCGGCAAAGGTTCCCGGGACTCCGGACCACCGCTCGGAAGACTTTCTTATCCCGGGGACAATTTCTGGAGAAGCTCCTGCAATTCAAGAAACACATCGAACGAAGCGCAAGTCATTCGCAAAGGATCCAATCCTTTCAATAGCGCACCCACAATGAAGAACCGACTATTCTCCCTCACCACGCTTTCCCAACGGAAATCCCCGTTCCCTTCCTTCCACCGCAACCTTTCGACGACTGTCACGCCGCCCTCCAATCCGCCTCCTAATCCGCACCCAAACAAGACATTGCTTCAGGACCTCTCCCCCACCGCATTCAACTACTACTGGGAGAGACCAGAGCCCACCGAAGAACAACTAGCCTACGCCAACAAGTTCTTCGCGCGTTCTCGCCACTCCCCATTCCGAGTATGGTCCGCGGCCAAATTCCGCACGACGCCGGTCGATACCGGGACGCCTGAAGTAGCGTTCCTGGGGCGGTCGAATACCGGGAAAAGCTCCTTGTTGAATTGCATTATGGATGACAAGATATGCTATGCGTCGTCGAAACCCGGCCGGACAGTGACGATGAATGCGTTCGGAGTTGGAGGGACGAAGGGCGGCGAGTCGAAGGTCATACTGCTCGATATGCCGGGGTACGGAAAAGGCAGTAGAACGGAATGGGGACAAGAGATCATGAAGTATCTGAAGAAGAGGAAGCAGTAAGTGCCTCGTCAAGAGCAGGGGAATCACAGTATGGACAGACCATGAACTGACACTCCATTCCTGCACTATAGGCTCCGACGCGCCTTCATCATGATAGACGGAGAACACGGCATCAAGCACTCCGATAAGGAAATCCTTGAGCTGTTTCGCCGCTACGCGATCCCACACCAGGTGATCGTCTCGAAAGTTGATAAGATCCTGGCGAAGAGAAAGAGCCAGCTCCTGACAGGAGTCACGGATGAGAATATACTTGCGGTGCATAAAACGCTGGAAAAGTTGAAGCCGATTGTTCAGCCCACTGGTCGAACAGAGGGCCCCCCTGCTTTGGGTGAGTTATTGACGAGTAGTTCGTTGGCTTACAGAAGCCCCAGGGATTACGTGGGAGTCGCTGCCATCCGCTGGGCTATTCTGTCCGCTGCTGGATACGACGGCGCAGTGGAGGTGAAGGCCGAACAACCCGTATCTCCGGACTCGACCACCTCTGAGGAGGAGCCTTGAGAGAGTTTAATGCTCTGGATCTCTCATCTGGTAGGAAATGTTTGTTTCCCCGTGGGCTGACCGGCCAGGTCTAAGTGCAAAGATACCCCGATTCCATGTTGCGAATGCTGCATCATGGATTGGGGTCTTGCGCGGAGACTGAGAATGTCCTTGACACTCAAGCGAGTTCTTCCTATGCTGACACCATAGAGAGGATGTGCTGGACCTGGCAGATTAACTGAGGAATGCGCCCTCTCTTAGTGCTTGGTCTTGCCCATGATTTGAGCTTGCATCTTGCATCTCGAGCTTTGTTCAGGGCGATCGGCCCGTGCCGTCGCCCGCGGACACTTCTACTTTACCACTTCCTCTACCCGCCTCTCGTTCGAAAATTGTGAAACCCGTGGCGAATCTCCTTAACTGTCCACAAGGCTGGTGCTGTGGGCTTTCGAACCGAGGATTTCCGGTACCAGTAGCATAAACCATGGGCGCATGTGTACCCCTACGACTAGAGAAGGCGAGACAGGCCAGATATATACAAGACTTTAGTGTAATAATATATTCATATTGCAAGATAAAGCCACTTTACGTCTATAGGGCTCGACTATAAAACAAAAACGGAGACAGAAAAGATACGTTGGCGGTGATGCAGAGAAGCGCATATGTTCGACAGCGGCACAGGAGAATGTAAGGATGCATATCGAACATAGCGCATATAAGACAGAGCGAGAGGGTAGGCAAGAGGGTATGAGAGAAAGATAATTAGACAAGAGGTTGTTGAATCCGTTTTGAATGCCAAAACGCCTGTCCGTCATGATGCTGCATGTCAAAGGATGCTAACCGCGCTATGCAAATCCTCATAAAGGGAATTATAGTTCCATTGATCGGGGTATCGTAGATGTTTCATGGCTCGAGTATGTCGCGAAAAAAAAGTGGTAATATAACGTGAGAAAATTGCCGTTTGCTTGGCCTGTCGCAGGGGCAGAAAAGGTGAGCGAAAGGTACAGAGCATCAGGCGTCGGAAAGATCGTAATCTTCGTCAGTATCACTGACTTCCTGACCCCATCTATTGACGACGATGCGTCTCCCGAGTTGCTCGCTTGGTACTCCATCGCGTGAAGCGCCAAAGTCAAGGACCTGAGAATAATTAGCGGGCGGTATATACAACTTCGACGAGCCAAACTTACCTCAATATAGGTTAAGCTATCACGCTGCACGGCAGCAACGCATCTTCGGTCATTAAACTTGACCTGCCAAACACCACTAAGGTCGGTGAGCAGATCCCTGACACACTCCCCTGTTCGTACATCCCACATCTTCAGGGTCCGATCCGAGCCTGATATGACCTTCTGACCATCATGCTGGAAACAGGTGATAGCGCCGGTATGGGCACTCAACATGTTCTTGCACTGGCCGCTTTCAGGATCCCAAATTCTCAGTGTAGAATCTGCAGCCGCCGAGACTAGACGGTCACATTTGAGGTCAAGAAGACCGACGAGGGAGGTGTGGCCTTCCAGGTTATACAGCATGGAACCGGTTTCTAACGACCAGACCTTGACCATGTTATCCATGGACCCACTAATACAACGATTCCTCTTGTGATCGAGGACAACGCTATACACCTTCAGGGTATGACCTTGAAGCCGATGGACGGTCTCTCCAGTGGATATTTTCCAAACCCGCACCGTGCAGTCATAGCTTCCACTCACTAGCGTATCACCATGCGCCGCAATCGCGCGGACAGAGTGCTGATGACCGGTGAGAACACGAACAAAGTAGGGGCAATCTGCATCGTCGACATGAGGTCCGCTCTGGTAATAGCCTGGGTCGCCCGGCTTGGGAAGCTTCCATACTCGAAGATTCGAGTCACGAGAGCCTGTGATAATCAACGGTTCCTTTGGCATCATCTCGGGGGTGCCATCAGCCTTCCTTCCTACCTCTGTTGGGAGGACGATCTGCAGGCAGCGCACTGTTGAGGTGTGGCCATGGAAGATCTGGGTGCATCGAGCCTTTTCAATATCCCAGACTCTGACGGACCTGTCAGTAGATCCAGAAACCAAGGTGTTGCCATAATACTCGAGTGCCCAAACACCGCCCTCATGGCCCTCGAGTGTCGCCCTCAGCTCACCGGTCTTAGTGTCATAAACGTTGATATTCGTGTCATCACTTCCGGTCAGAACTTTGTCCGTGTCGAATTGGAGGCAAGTGACTACGTGACGGTCATGGGCACGGAAGGCGATATGTCTTGGCTTGACATTAGGCTTCATCCAGGCCTTGTGAATGGAATGATGACGCTGATAGAGCGATTTGTAGAGATGGAGCCCACGGAGAGACGGCAGCCCGACGTCGGGGTAAGGGACTGCCGCTGCCGCAGCATTCGCAGCCGCATAAGGTCCCTCCGAAGCGGAAACTTCTTTCCTCCAGTCAGACGACTCAGAATAATCAGTGCCACTGGAAGATATCTTCCGCTTCGAGAGTTTGCGACTGGACACACGAGTACAAGCCTTTCTTTTTGGACGACGACTGACAGACAAGGTTCTGTCACTTGACTCTCCAAAGGATTGCAAGGCCGGAACGGAAGAGGATTCTGGATCGGGCTTGATGAAAGGAGATAGACACATGTCCTTTTCGTAGTCCTCACTGCCATTTGGGAATTGCCATCCCCAGCCCTCCCTGATTGCACGATCCAACTCCCCATCTGGAAGAACATAACCGTCTCGATCGAAAAGTTCCTTCCAGGACTTTTCGTCAGAATTGATTATATGCCTCCACTTCTTGGACACCTGCGCAGCGCGGCACATGGTCTGGACGTCGAAATACTTCACGATGTTAAGGCTGAGCTCAAGCGGAAGAAGAGCCAGGAAGTCACATTTCAAAGCCGGGTTGACGACGTCCGCAACAAAATGCAAAGTCTGCTTCGGACAGCGCCTCAGAAGTTGGTACATCATGTATGTTTTCATTGCGTCGGGTACTGAGTCAAAGAAATCCAACACATTGGGGATGTCCATCATGGAAGTGGGGCGTTGCATCATAGAGCTCGTAAACTCGTCAGATTTGGCGACATACGACGCATCACCCTTCGAATCGACCATATCTAAAGACCCGATGAATCCAGAATCATTGTTGTCGAAGCTGGAGTCTGTGTCCTCTTGTTCTTCGGCGGAATCGAAAGAAGATTCGGCGTTTCCAGCGTTCAGGGCCGCGACTGGGGACAAACTTGGGCTAGGTAAGCACATATCTTGAGCAACAACATTATCGATGAAAGCAAGCTGAGAGGTCGACTCGGAAGGAAGATGCGGGGGATTGTCACCCGGTGCATCGTAGCCGGAATCCTGAGTGTCAGCAATTGCTTCTTGATCTTGGCTGGGATCCGACCCGGTTCTTTCCAAGGCAGGCCTCGTGAAAGTGGTCTCGGTAGGACATCCTATGTGCCTGTTGTGTTCTTGGATAGCAGTCTTGGTACGCAAGGACTCTTTCCTTGCACCCACCGTCTGCGAGACTCCCTGAGAATCGACTTCTGATGACAGAGGGGAACGAAGTAGTGTCTCCCTACGAGGATTACTCGCACTGTGAATCCTCCTTCTAGACAGTATGCCGTCCATAGTGCTATTGCTATTGCTATTGGTTTCCGTCTCTGGAGTCGCTAATCCAGCCACGGGAGGATGTATGGGCGTAGAGCCATGGGAGCGAACGGGTCGGAATGAGGGCTCTGACGGCACCCGTGAGGCACGCGGCCGTAGGGAGCCCTGCTGTGCTTCCGAAAACCGGCGCTTGGAGATCGACAGGTGACTCGATGGCTGGTTCGAGGTTCTATGTGCAAGGCGTCTTGATAGCCGAGCATCATCCGAAGTGAACGAGGCCACGGATCGCACAAGACCACTGGAAGCCTTAAGCGCGTCACTCTTCTCATACAACTAAGCAAATCAATAACCGAGGCCCAGAATGTAAAATATGCGGTTGAAGAAGACTATCAAAGGGATGAAGGTTCGCCGCAGACAAGGACCACACGTACCTCATTTAATGTGCCTGTGGTATCCTCAGGCTCATTGAAAACAACCGGCCTCCCATCTAATTCAAATCTAATATTCCGTAGTGACGCTGGAGTAGGGGCAGATGCCAGGGGGTATAGTTTAGGATCGAGATCTTGCATTGCGCGGGGCGGCCTGATGAACACGGGAGGAAAGGTGGTGGTGGTTGTAGTTGTTGTGGTGACGACAGTCGTTCGAGTAGCAGGAGCGAAGGAAAATTGACCGATAGAGGCAGTGGGAGACCCGGAGCCGAGGCCATGACCGCTTTTGTCTTCCTCCATGTTGAAGTTGTAGGGTTGGATATATGCGACCGATTCCGGGGGATACACGAGGGGGCGTGAATGGGGATGTGGATGTGATCGCGTGTTGGAGTGGCAAGTGTGAATCGACTTTGACAGATTCGGAGGGTACGACGCATCAGAGAAGGGTGATGGCGATCACAAGGATATGAGACGGTTGTTTATGTGTAGAAGCTGGCCAGCCGTACGTCAGGGCAAGAAGTTGGTGTCAAATGAGGACCGCCAGCACGGTAGGGATGCCCGCAAAGACCATCTGAGTGCGCACAGGTGTGGAGGGGTCTGGCTAGAACATGGCCGTGGTATCGGCAGGTCGATAGGGGTCTGGGTGGAGAGAACAGAAACTGGAGTCGAGAGGTGTAAAGCGTGAAGGAGGCAGGCTGTGGCGGGCTCTGCTGACAAGGAGGTGTTGGGCGGCGGAGAATGATCGAGGGAGCTGAAGGGTGGTTGGTTGTGCCTCCTTCTGGTCAGGCTTAGGCTCTTCGCAGCGGCCGGCGGTTCTTGTCCTCAGTGGCTCCCGCCTAGCCCAATCTGGTGCCTTCCCGAGGCTGGTGGGCTCCGCAATGTGATAGAAAACTGATAGTCTAAATGGTCTAACTGTAAGGATATTTTCCGGGGCAGACAGAGGAGCACGGTTGAGGATGGGCGAGGGAAAGAAAGAGAGGAAAGTAGAGATATAAATGAGGGAAAAAGGGACAAGGGAAAAAAAACCTTGGAGAGGCAAGGCGGGCTGTGAATTTGCCGTCCTGCAGTCGGATCACCCAGCGCTCGGAGCACTCCCTGAAGGAGGACCACTTTCCAGGATCGTTACGATGTATCCAATGGTGGAGTTTGGGCCGGAGCACACATCCATTCAGTCGGGGTGGTGGACTTGACACTAAATAACATAGATTCGCAGACCTGATTGCCTAGATAGACATCGTGTGTCTAGTGCCTACGCTCTATCTATCTACATGACGGTGCCTGCTTTGTCCCCACTGGTTTAAGGCTCACCTCAAATCAAGGAAATTTTTATCTTTGTCGAACCGCCGTTGGTGCTTTGCTTTACGGATGATAGCCGCTGCTCCGATTCCATCAACCCAGATCGCACATTCTGCTCCAGGGCGCCAGTTGCATATGACACCTCACCTCCTGCATTTTTTCTCGTGCTTTCCACCCTTAGGATCTTACCTAAGCTTCTCGCGAAGTTTAAGCAGGTCTTCCGTACGGAGTAAATAATAGTAATCCTTACCGAGTTGGTTGGTTTTCGTTTCTGGCTTTGCCACTTTGCCCAAAGCACGTGACATGGTGGGGTCCGTTGTATTGCCCAGAATTCCTTTCCCCTTGGGCGTCTTTTTCGATGGTTGAACCGCTGGATGGATGTACTACTTGGTTCATGAGGTAAAACTAAGTTTTGTCACCCTGCTGTCCTAGATTTTCACCTTGAACGAGCTAGTCTGTTAGGCAAATGAAACCACAATCGAGAACTCCACGCAGAATTCGTTTAATTGGATACATGGATTAGATACAGAAACTACTACCAAATCAATACTTAGCTGAGATAGGATTTGACCAGGGGGATTGCGGGGAAGCGCCAGAGATAAGTACGTATCACCATGATAAGTGGATGGGCCGTGGCTCGTAATTTCAGCAACCGCGGGACTCTGCCCTATCGACTGTTTCAAATCGGTGTTATCAACGGGGCGACAATCTGTCCAGTGTCCACTGTCGACTGATCCAAATGATGTGTCGTCCGGCGAACCAGCCTCACCGGCCTTCTGCAAGGAAGTACTATACAACGACTCATCCCAAACGTACCCCTTAAGTCCGTTCATTTTTAGTATGCCTAGCTAGCAACTTGCACCCGCTGGCGATCATTCTAATTGGTGGTCGGTGCATCACGACGGATAACATGATGCATCATGTTCATTTCTTTAGTATCTAGGAATGCGAACCCACCACCTCGCAAATGCTGGTCGTATGAAGTATGTGGTATCTGCAACATGGCGGGTAATTTTCAGAGTCCAGCCCGACGCTGCGCGCTCTCTATATATAGTTCCAAACGAACCCGAGACGATGTTACGTGAGACGCAAACTTCTCCCAACATGACATAAGGAGACATACGAGTAATTGCGTTAATTTTCCCGTACAGAACCACTGTTAACCATCGCGTGTCTGTCTTGAAGCAAAGTCAGTTTCGATGAAGAGACAAATTTACACGCTGGCGACTCCCGTGACCGTACCTTGGGTGTTCGTTTGGTGTCGTCAACGGTCAACCTGACTTGGTTCTGTGCCTGGTGCTTCAACTTCCGACCTCATCGACCCCACCCTTATCTCTCTGCTGAATGTACACGCTCCTTCTGAATCCATCATCTAGCTGGCCACTATGGTTCGGGTTAAGTTCACTGGTCCCCCGTCAACTGTCCAGGTACAGGCCCCGCAGAATCTTCATCCCCTTGCCTCCAACAATAGGCCGGTCACGCGGGTCAGGGCGCCAGATGTGGTCGAGGTACCCCCCAGGTTAACGCTTCAAGAAAGCATACATTTGAAGCAACAGCAGAGCCTGGAGATGGTTCAGACCATGTTACATGTCTCGGTACGCCGCCCGCCGCTCCCACGAGACGCGTGCAACTATCTCTGACACGAGAATATAGTTCGGAACTCTGTTTTATCTTCGGTTCGTTGGGTGCCAACCCCAAACTTTCCTACAGTTGTGCCAATCTTACACGTGCTACGCAGGGAGTTCTTACCGCTTCCATGCTTCGACGATCGGGACCTCAGAGAAGCTCAACGAGAGAGCCGACTCTCGTATCGGCAATTCATCGACAAGCAGGCACATGGCGAGGTCCTCGCTCGCATGACAGATGTTCCCTTCGGGAAAGGCAAGAAAGGCCAACCTTTGAAGATTATCCTCCGTGGCTCAGATCCTAAGGCGGATATGATCCTCGATATCTTGGTAAAGTTGTCAGCATTCAGGTTTGTTCGTGTGACTGACATGCACAGGAAACCGGGATATTCGATGCGCTGAGCAGAAATGTGCTTGAGGCCGTCCAATTGACCATTCTTGTCGATAAAAATGCGCCTGAAAACGTACTAGAGTCATACACATTTTCTTTTAAGTACACAGGGGAAGCCGGTGATGTGAATAGTCGGCTCGACAGTCTGTCCATTGAGCCAGTGGGCTGTGTGGCTGATATGAAATCGGCGCAAGCAGCCAGGATAGGCCTGGAGACTATTGTCAGGCGCTTGATCACTCTCAGCGCCTTCCTACCAACCTTGCCAAGTATGTATGCATTCGCTCTTATCGGATTCTCACTCATCATGTATTCCAGACAAGCGAAACCTGGGTGTACACCTTTTCTACACCGACGATTGTCCTCCTGATTACGACCCTCCAGGGTTCAATGGGGCGGCGAATGATGATATGATCAAGTTTCCGCTCAACGAAAATTGGAAAAGGGAATCACAATCATGTGGACAGATGGACAGCGGGTGGCATACGTGAGTAGCTTGCTGCACTTGCGCTATCTCAACTAATTGCAGCGTAGTGTGGGACTCAAGGTGACGTCGCTGAAATGGACCGGTCCCGAGCCCGAGGGATCAGAAGCTCCACCCCAGATACCTCCTGACCTCGAATACAATGACCCAGTGCAGAGATTGGAAGACATTGGACTTGAGAATAAAGAGGACATAATGCGCACACTCGGAAGAAGAAATAGCACATCAACGGAAAACCGATCACGACCAGACGATAACCTTCCTTTGTCGCCTCAGAGGACTAATGACAATGTGGTGTCGACACAGGATCTCATAGAAAAACATCAACTGCAGATGATGTTGCCTGTAAGTCAAGGACCCTTTGAACTTCAGCTGTGAGATTCTAGGCAAGGCAACTAATCGAGATAGTCACAAGCGACGGGTGGTTCAGACAGCGATTTGGCGCCTACGCAACCGCTGAAGCCTAGCGTCACTCTCGAGGACGGCAATGCAAGTCTCACGAAGAGTCGGAAGTTTGTCCTTACGGAAGAAAGTAGGAACAGGATGCAGGAATATCTACGCTCACAGGACCTCGACGCTTCGAAAAAAGTGGAAGATCAGAGCGCTATCAGGTGCCAATGCGGCTGGGAAGGCGAAGAGGCAGCTATGGTAAGATGATAACCCACATGACAACAATCACTAACCATTGCAGGTTGAATGTGCTTTTTGTCATACGCGTCAACATTTGCTGTGTTACGGTTATGAAGATGCCCTTGACCAGCAAGTCCCCGAAGTTCATGCGTGCTACCAATGCTTGCTTAGGCCAGACGAATCCCAATTGCTTCATGAAATGAATAGTTTGGTGCTCCTCAGGAGAGCTGTGAGGATCATCCTAGACGAGGGGTATCCTAGCAGGACATCACTATTCATGCAAAAGCTTCGTGAGTGACCAATGAATGCAGGCCGCTCTATCATCTGACCATATGCAGATTGCAACGGGCAAACTATCGTCCAAATAACAGATATTCTCAGAAAGCGCAAACTTCTCCTACCAACTCCAGGAAGCAAGGCCAAAGGGTTCATGCGAAAGGGCTTGCCCAAGTTTATTATCCCTAGCTCAGAGGCCATCCAGCAAAGATTACAATCGGAGATATTAAGCCCCATGATAAAGATCCAACATCATGTAAGCTCACGTATACTTGATAATACATCATCGGTGCTAACATACCGCAGTACGCTCAAGATAGCTTGCAAAATTCTCTCCAGCTATCCCAATCCGTGAATGGTGATGAGCTTGATTCCATTGCAAAGTCACTATCCCAAGAAGAGTCTGGTTCTGAAACACAAGATGAAAAGAAAACACATGATCCCACTGAAGAACCCACAGAAGTGCTAGAAGAGAGCCAGAGTAGGAAGAGAAAGGCGTCATTGACAAACGAGCACAGCCAACCCAACGCCGCGAAGGATGTTGCCCAAAAGAACGAACCCACGCCTAGGCGATCCAGTGACCGAATCTTGAGGAAAGACAGCAAGAATCAAGGACAATCACCAATCAGAGTTGCCAAAGGCAAGAATACCCACCAGCAAACCCCAACTCGCCGGAATTCAAGCGAAAGCAGCCTTCGCCGTAGCAGCAGAAAGAGACGCAAGATCAGCAATTACTCCAAACTTGTCGATGTTGGTGCCGACAATTCTGGGAACGACAGTTCTTAGCATGGCCTCCTCAGTGATGATGCCAAGTTCAGATTCTAGAACTTGTCTCCCAGATGAAACCACCGGGAAATGTTAAGGATCCATGACTGATCATTACAAATCGACCAGCAATCAATCAGCCCCGGGGAGAAAGAGAGGAACGCAGGCGTCAGTCAAGGAAACTCTCTTGATAGTGGTACGATGCCCGTGCACCCGCGTCTTGAGATACCTTTCAAGTAGGTACTCACGCAACCCGGTGTTTCAACACAGCAACTATTGATTCAAAGACGAAGCTAATGGGCCTATCCGTGGGGGACAGGTGGGAGTGAACGAGTTAGTGCGCACGGTAGGAAGCTCGAGGGTGATACCTAGGGGAAAAGCTTCGTGATTGGCAACAGCTACCTCCTGCTACCTTTGACGGTACAGCCCATGCGTCACCAACCTTCGTTACCTTTGCACCTAAGTCCTACATACCATTCACCGAGCGAGCGAAAGAGGTACAGGTACCAATGCACCAAATATGGGCATTTGTTTCATATCCAGGAAGCTGTATCAGCTAGTCATCCCTGACCGAAGCTGTCAACTTTAATCCAGGGCTCTCCACCATTATACCAACCAGAATAGATATCTATGATTTCAGCGCATTGAAACCAACCGTGTCTGACAAGCGAACCGATCACTCCTCTCCTTGTAGAACATCCATCGTCTAGAATACCCTGCCCTCTTCAGCCGAAACCGGAGAAATTCACCAATATCCCAGTTAAGTCAATGACACAAGGAGGTCGTGGACCCTGTGAGTTAAGCTCATGGCTAAAGTCATAGTGAAACATCCTGGCGTGCGAAGACGGCAATTTCGGTCTCGCCGTCTGCCGAACCACCCGACTACCGAACAATTCCGTTCGCCCCCCAGCTCTCAAGGTCCAGCACCAGCACCAGAATCAGCACCTGTATCCATCTATCCACACACCCTTGGGTGTATACCCTCTCAAGCACGGACTCAACCTTCTGTAGAGTTATACTGGACCACCATGATGAAACACACGACAAGATCTATGATTTGAAGCGTAGCGGAAACCAATGCGCGTTTTGGGCAGTACTTCGTAGATCCGACCCATTTACTCTAAGTCATACTCACAGACATTCAATGATGTACATCCCTTGAATAGTTAGTATCTGGCCAAGTAGGTCAGTAGACATGCAATGACTGCAGTTAGAATAAAGCCAGCGATACTATTTCATTTACGGATTCCTCCGTCCTTCCCTGCAGGGGCATTTTTTGGTGGCTGAGATGTCATATTCGGAGCATTGTCGAAAGGGGGATTAGATCGATCGTGGGTGGGCGATTGTGAGTCTAAGGGGATTCTAGACAACGAGATACTAAGCAAATAAGGAGAGGAGGTTAGTATGGAGCCGAAAATAGGTGCTTGGGTTAGTAAAGTAGTCCCTGTCAGGGCGGCGCGGAGGCGCGCGCAATGTCTATTTTCGGGTAGACGAGGGAACCTCAAAAGGGAAATGATAGGCAGGTCGGGGTCGATCTCAGGGCTGAAGTGTGAGAGAGATCGAGATGGGAAGAAGCCCCTAAGCTTGGTCTCCACGAATGGAGGGTTACTTTTGCTGTTTTCTGCAGTTGTGCTATCTGGGACGATTATTTTTCTCATTTAGAGTTTTCTTTTCTTTCTTTCTTTTTTTTTTTTGGAGGGTTTGATTGATCGCCACTGGATTCCGTAGGATAGGGGATTTAAGATTCAAGGTTCAAAAACTCTCGGGATTGGTATCCTCAATGCTTATTGGATGGGGGGAGAAGGTGCTATTGGTGAACTATTCGAGCGAGGGTGAAGGTTAACTTGCGATGATTTGAGACTTGGAGATGTTGATTGTTCTTAGTGTTTTGTATGGACCAGGGGAGGGAAGCAATCGAAGTGTGGTTGTTTTCAGTCCGATTTTGGTGACTGGATGACCTGATGATGGCACCATCTCCACTATACTGAGTTGGTTTTAGACTGAAGTTTGGGTTTAGGAATATACTTCGACCCTGGATTGGCTGAGTCGTAACTTCTGTTAATGAAAGAGCTCTCTGGTGGTCTGAAGATATGATCTTCCTGGCTCAAAGGACGGGGATGTCAGTATAGTAGGGGATTGAAGGCAGAGTTGATGGCTTACCGAGTCATTCAATCCGCAATTCAAGATCATTAGATAGAATTTAGTGCTAAAGATATATTGAAGTAAGAATCCAAGGCTTATGCTATGCATTTTAGACACAGTAACGTTGCCTTGAACAGCACGGAATATTCAGTCTAGCAGATCCGATGTCTTGTTCATGCGTGTTCAATGGCTTATTTTTTTGCGAGTACGGTTATCGCAAGACCGGTCCACCAGCAAGCTGGAGCTGGGGATCTTGCTAGAGCTCTTATTTTAGGATACTCACCATCCGTGATTGGAGTTGGGAGGTCACAGCTTGGCAAACATTGCTGCGTCAGAAGCTCAGTTTGCACCAATATAGAGTTCGTAAGACACCACAAGAGATTGATCTGTTAGAAACACCCGTGGATTCTCCTTCATGCAAAACGACTAATGCTGGATAGTATTTAATACTGTTCCTAGGTAATAGCAAGATTTACTGCAGACGAGGATGAGGAAGAAGCTTGAGCTATCGCATCTCTTCCGCGCTTATCTGGCAGGGTATGCGGCGGAGATCTAGAATCTCAAACGTGGAAGAGAAAATATTAGTCGAGAATAAAGGTGGCGATGATGATAATGATTTAAATAGAAAAAGCAATGTATCATGTTTCCACAGAACTTCGCTGATGATTGAATTACTCGTTAAACTTCTACCGTGAGTGTTTCCCGACTGAAAGTCATCAAAAAGTGCGAGTCAGTGATTCCGGGGAGACGGTCGGGCGGATGGCGGCTTGGCTGAGGATCTGCGGAAAAGCCAACCTTGACGGACAAGAAGGCTGAATAACTCCGGCAGCTGTTCAGTCCGTAACTACTGCCTCGCGGACATTTAATTGAAGCAGTCTTGGGAAAATATCTTGTCCGAGGATGTCTGTTCCAGGTGTAGGTCCGTTGTGTAGCTGGTCCTGGTCCTGGCCGTACTGTGCAGCCAGTCCGGCATGCCTTTACAGGGGGACTAATTTCGAATCTCAACATTGGCAATCATTGCGTATACCATGCAATGTTCTAGCCTGCCGTGTTCATTGAGTTTATTTCACTGTGTTGATGTTAATCAACATCGTGCCGGTAGAACGGTAGGTTTGAACATCAACCATTGCCAAACCGTCCGGCGAGACACTATTCCAGCAACTTCCCATGGAAACCCTTACAATGGCTTTGTCGATTATTGACGACGATCGAAGAGCACATGCACCCAAGATTTGAGTTTGTGCCTGGAAAGTTGAAGTTGCGTAGCGGAGACTAGACGCCCTATGCACGACTATTTGCCTCACGGCCATTAGCGGATTGTCACGAGCGTCAACGGGGCCAAGATAGGAGGAACAATCAACAAACAAACCCCAGGGTATGCCGTTTACAGTATGGGGGGTCGATCTCATGGGCGACCTCTGCACCAGCCTGGATCGAGCGCTCGACAACTATTGAATCGGCACTTGGGACCCCACCGCTCTGGCGCTTGAGTATAACATTGGCGAACGGGATGAAGATCAGCAGTAACTGCAGTTCCTATTGGAAGGGGTCGAGGGACGGCTGAGGGGGCGAGCGGCGAGGGTAAGTAGTTCTTCACCCATCGATCAAGTGCCAGAACCCGTGGAGAAAGCCGAGCGGCTGCAGCCCCCTTAATTTGAGACGATGGCTGGTACGGACGGAGCTCACGCGTCGACCCAATCTCCGGCGCGACGTCAGAGCATACGACGTGTAGACACTTGAAAGTGACGGAATGCCGGAGAAACGATGGTGGCAATGGGGTTGTTTTCTTTTGAGGCAAACCGGACGATGAGGAGGAGAATAGAGTGGTGAGTGGCTGCTTCAATCGGGCCAATCGTCCCAACCGCACGTGTTCCGGGCGCATCTCTTCAGGATCTAAGCCGGAAAGAGCTGCAGGCCTGCAGAGTGCAGTGACTATTGGCCTCTAGAATCTCCCCTGGAATCCGAAGAAGACGGCACGGAAGAGCGGCCGAACTTTAGAAACGAGAGTTGGCGCAAGGGGGACGAACGCACCAGGATCAGACCCATGACAGCAGTCATCCAGCTTGTCAGCCTGGCCAACGCAGCGTCTCCTCTCGCGTTCTCAGTCAGGTACGGAGTGTGTTCTATCTACGGAGTACCGTCCGAGCAATAGGCACTGACATTTCACCACCAGCAGGCAAGAATGGTCTGATCCTGGAACTAGCAGATGAAAAAATAAACAACGACCAAGACACGGACATTACTCCCCATCCTCATTCCATCCTGACTTGCCTCGAACAGGCATCGGTCGCTTCGGGCCAGCGCCAGCCAGGGAACCCACCGGCGAACCTCCTCCACCGGATGGGCCACTCAGAAGCTCCCAGGAGCCGCTTTGCGATCTATGGACCCATGGTTGTGTGCCTGTCGATTCTTACTGCTATTGTAGGGTGCTAAGTGTGCCACTACCGGCGTGCTATGTCTGCTGACACGAATCTTAACTCTCTGGGCTAAGTGCTAACGTAGGCTGTCGCCGACTCGCCGTCTTGGATCCTCTCCTGATGGACCATTCTGCCGGTTCTCGCCCCAATCTATGACAACTGCGTCTCTGCTGGATCCACGAGAATGACTTTGTTCCCCGTCAATTTTCTGGTTCCAAGCATTGGCAAATGGGGCCCTCCATGCCATTTTTCGCGGATCTCTTCAATTCTGAGCTGGCCCATGCTGAGTTTAGACTGTTTTTTCGCGCCTTGGGCTTCCCCCCTTAAGCCGCGACCCTCCACGGAGTACGGGTCTAAATTTCCTTCCCCCCATCTTGAGTTGCTCACATGTAATGGGTACACTGCGAATCATATATAGTGTCTAATAAACCTTTCGGCTCGCACGGCCGGTCCTCGTCTGGTCCCGTTTATTTCCTTGCAAACATTTACATCATTCAAAAGCTCCCCGGTGACCCTCCCTGGTCACATTTCGCTCGTTCCATTTGACCTGCATAGTCCCTCCTTACCCTATTTTATCTTATTGTATATTTTATTTTTCCTTTTTCTCCGTGACTCGCCTGAATCGCCTCCGAAGTCCTTACTTGGGTGCACTCTCGCTCTTTCGAAAGGCGACAATCTTTGCGAATATCAATTCTTTTGACCGCTTCTTCAAAACCGTGTTTGGTGGCGGCCGAAACGAGGGTCTTTTGGTGACCGGAACGGTAAACATACAGCCTTGGGGTACACACCGACTTGGTGTGGGGAAAGACACCTTGGGCTTTATTTGCGACCTCCTGAACCTTCCGACCAAGAGACGTCAGGATCAATTGTCGGCGCATCGAAAAAGCTCCAGTCCCTCTACCACTCTGACGAACGTCTGCTATCTGGCTCTAGCTCAAAGCCTGAAGAAGAGGCGCTATCGGGATTGCCGCTCAAACCTACATCCTTAGTATTGCCCGGCAGTTCGCTCCTCTTCCAGCAAAGACCTCCACAATGCATACCTCTACAGGCGGAGTGCGCTCGCCAGCCAGAAGCCCAGGGGATTCGATAAACGAGAGCACAGCAAAGGCCTACAAGATTCTGGGGGCAACTGATGTCTCCACCCATGATAACCATCACAAGTGGGAGGACAAGAAACGTTCCAGACGACCAAGCTTCATGAGAGCTCCGGAGATAAAAAAGAGTGGCGGATTTGTTCCCTTTCCAACTGCTGTCCAAGAGACCACGCTTCCACCACACCACCTTCGTGTTCGGGCATCGTCGCCCCTGCTGGGCCACGATTTTCGGTCAGAAGATGCTCTCGAACAGCCTCTCCCAGCACCGGTGAAGAAAGTCCATCAATCAGGTTCCGCCTCTGCTTTGTTCTCCTACTTTACTTCCCGGGACTCGTCGGCCAACACAAATTCTGGTATTGGAATTGCGACATCCGACTTTGGTTCGACCGCCGAAAAGAAGACAGACTCACGGCAAAGCGCCGAGTCCGGCTTCAGCCTCCGACAACCCAAAGGGCCCATGAAAGAATCAAAGCGGAAAATGCGCCCACCTCGGATCGACCTCTCCCTGCTATTTCCCAAGCCTCGGGCAACCGCCGAACCGCTTTTGTCGCCGCAGCGCATGGTGGACTCTCCCTCACCCATTTCCATAATCTCCGAGCATCCCGCCACCAAAACAACCAATTCCGAGAGCCATGCACCTGGAAGTAGACCCACGAAAACACCATCCCAGCCGAAAGACTCGACTCGTCAATCCTACAGCGATCAGGTCCACGGAGCACCTGCATCCTATGAGACGAAAAACTCGAACTGGCTTGATCCGTCATTAGAAAGGACAGTGCGGGCCAGTGAGATGGACTTGGCTCTGCAAAAGTTGCAGCAAGACTCTCAGAGCCGTGACAAGGGTCGCTCGGGTCGCTCACATTCTCGAGCCCAAGCTCAAGAGAAACGACGAACCGGCGGATCTCATATTTCGGATAACATCTCGTGGAAAATATCCTCAAACAGTTCCGTTGGTGAATGGAGCCAGGAGACCTACCTGTCCCCAGAGGCTCGTTCGCACCGCGCCTCAAACCTCCCGGATCTCAGAAGATCCAACTTGCACGTGAGTGCTCCGCTAGAGAAGAGCTCGATGCCGAAGAAGAGCAGTAGAAGTACGTTGAAGACCGCGGACCTCAACAACTCTAGTGTACTCTGTCTTTCCTCTTCGGAGGACGAAGATGACGATGAAGAGCCTATTAACGATCGCACGGGCAAAGGCCGGGATACAAGAGACAGCGTAACAACCTACGGCGAATTTGAACCCGAAATCTGTACAGCTGCGGCGGCACAAGCTACAAAGGGTACATTACGAAGAATTGATGCGCCGATGTCCATCAGTAGCCGTGGATCGCGCCCTACTCAGAGGCATCAGTCCGTCCGAAGAGATACTTCGCAGTCATCCGCAGAAAGGGCATCGTATGTGACCAGCAGCCAATCTCGTCGGTCAAGCGGGATACCTACAATCTCCGAGCCGGAATTCACTCATGAGGACTTGGTCTTCAACCAGAGGCGGGCCCCGCTCAAGAAGAGTCCGTCCATTTCCCAGAAGGAGATCAACCGAAGAAGCCGAGTCATCGCAGTGACGAGACAAGAGGAAAATCTCCTTGAAGCAATGAGACAACGGAAAGGAAAGATCACACCCAGCCTTTTCCAGGAGTCCCGCTTCAACAACTTGGAGGCCGACCAAGGGTCCATGCTGTCGGTCCCGTCCCGGGATTCGTTCTACGGCTCGGACATGTCCTTCTTACGTCTCAGCCCTGCCTTACCTCCAAAATCGGTTCGGGCTAGCGGAATTGGCAGTGACAGAGAAGGCTCCGTTTGTCAAAGCACCTTCTCAGACGAGGAGCAGAAAACCATCAACTCATTTCCTTCTCCCCGGACTAGCATAGCTTTTTCCGAGGGGCTTTCATCTCCGTCCACCAGCGCAGCCTCTCCATTGACACCAACGCTTCCCATACACCGCTTTTCACCCATCCCGTCGCAGAAACCGCCTCCTCGTCGGCCTATTCCCGCAGTGCCTCAGGATAAGAGGCGGCATTCGCGGCGGCGTACAGATAGCAGCGAGGCAATTGTTCTGGAAGAAACGGATGAGACGAAACAAAATGACGACCTTCCCATGTGGACGTTGAGGTGGAATAACGACAATGGAACTATGACGGCTGTTCACTGAACCTAGTGCTGCTCTTTTCAACATGCTTGCAGCCATGATACACTCTTTACCCGTTCTGACTTATATGAAATGCCTTGAACTATACCTACCTGCATTGACACACTCACTCACCTGATTTCATACACGTGACTCACCATACACTCTTTGTTTTTCACTTTTCTTTCTTCTCTGTATTCTTCCATGTTCATCAAGCGAGATGCGGCCACATGGCACCTATGTTTGATATCACATAAGCATTCTTGGTTATGTCTACTCATGCCGTACGGCAGAGGAACTTTGTAAATAGATGGCCTAGACTCGAGAAGGGCGTTGTTACCAGATATTGTGTAAATAATCGAACCCATGCTGATTGCTCCACAGCTAAGATTTCTTGAGCCGGGGACCGGCTGGCCGCCAGGCAATTTAGTTAGGCTAGCTACGGAGTATATCTCTGATATTATTCTGCCCCGGGACCTTTCTGGTTCTAGTCATAAGCCCGGCCCTCCAGTTCATGAACTTAAGCACTTCGGTCCGAGCCGGTAGGACCGGAATGCAACCATGCCAGCGAGAGAGGTCTTGAGGATGTGTTCCCACATGGGCGTCACTGGGCCACGCGTAATTCTCTCAGTATTCGAGGCAATGGGAGATTGGGACGAGGTCCACGGTTCCGAGGAGTGCCAAGAAACCTTTGTCCGAACTGGCCAGCTGGGTCTGGCCCTCCTTGCCGTCGTCTGTCGGCTTTGATTCCCGTCAGGCGATTACGCGCTGTGGCATGATAAGATCGCTGCAGATCATGCATGTTTACTATTATTGATATCACGGTGATATGGGTTGGCTGCAATACCGTGTCCACCGATCAGAGCTTAGCAAATAGTATCATCGCACGTTCATGATGAGCGGACAGTCGCGTAATCTGCAGCTTGCGCCTGGTTGTGGGGACATGGACAGATAATTCCGTCACCTGGATCTGCGCAGCGCCATGTTGGTGAGGTTGACCCAGAGATGTATGTCTTATCCTGACGTCAGACGGGGGTTCCTCAGGGGGAAGCTGAAGCGAATGTTGGTGCAGCATCGTCAATGAAGAATCAAGAATGGGAATGGCTGGGTCGCCCAAGCCCAAAGGGACTGGACCAGACCGCCACCTGCCCCGTGATCCACACCGCCCAGACAAGCGCCTCAAGAATACCCCGGATCTCATATTTTAGCCCAGTCGCCCTCTGCGTTCGCCTGATTCCCCAGTTGCGCCTAGCGTCCTGTCCTCTATTGAGGTCTTTTGTTCTTCAGGGCCACCTTCTTGAGCTTCTCGATCGTTGACTTGCTCTGCGACCCGGTCGATCTCCTTCGTGCGGGCTCAGATAGTTTGCCGGCAAACTCCAGTCAAGCGCGAAGACAACCCCCTCCACCCTCCACCACGCGCCCGACCTGTATGCAACATCCTCGGCAACCGAGTGCGGAGTTCCTATCCATTCGATCTTTAGCAAGCTTCACCACCTTTCAATTATCAACTGGCGTCTGATTACCGGAAACAACAAAGGTTTAGCTACGGGGAAGACAAGCTTTGTCAGTATGGGGGAATCTGCCCAGCGCCAGTCCTCGGGACTGGGATCGGTCTGGAAACACCTCTCTTGGGCACTGGTAGGTTACTCACCATTCTGCGCATACTAATCACTGCACACTCGCTGTGATTAGCCTGGCAAGATAATCGTCATGATAATCGCTAACTCGGCGCTTTTGGATGTAGTTGACCGCACAGTGCACGGCATTTGTCTTGGTTAGTCGCCCCGTCTGCTCCGTTGCTAACTACAACTGATTGCTTATGTCTTGTCTGTAAATAGTTATTACATTACTCCAGAGTGATGCCGCCCGCTGGCGGTAAACGATACCTCACGTCCACTACTGTGTTTTTCAATGAGGTTGCTAAGCTAGCAATCTCCCTGACCATGGCGCTATACGAAGTCTCGAAGACAGCCCCTCCTTCGGTGCCCGCAACCTCCCTTTTCTTCTCCCTCACAACTGCCATATTCTCGGGCGACAGCTGGAAACTTGCGATTCCCGCTTGCCTCTACACGCTCGCCAATTCGCTGCAGTATATCGCACTGTCGAATCTGCAACCAGCGACCTTCCAGGCATCATACCAGTTGAAACTGTTCGTCGTGGCCATATTCAGTCTGGGGCTGCTCAAGAGGTCTATCCCGTTGCGTAAGTGGGGTCTGCTAGTCCTGCTCTTGGCCGGCGTTGCCTTGGTGCAGATGCCCACTGGTAACCCTGATGACATGGCCTTCCATGATGAGACCGCACGTCTTGCTTTCCCGCGGTCCCTGGAGGAGTGGAAAGCTGCAAAGCTAGGACGTGAGAATCTACATAAGCGTTCCGCGACTTACGAGGGGATTGAGGAGGACATGATGACCGCCAACCCTAGGTTAAATGCTGCAGTCGGTCTCCTGGCCACGATTGGCGCCTGTCTCGCTTCCGGTCTTGCAAGTGTGTATTTTGAAAAAGTGCTCATGGACAGCGCAAAGTCGACATCGCTTTGGATTCGCAATGTGCAATTGGCCGTGTATTCCATCTTCCCCGCACTTTTCATTGGCGTCGTCTTTTTGGATGGCGAGAAGGTTGCAGCCAATGGCTTCTTTGAGGGCTATAACTGGGTTGTTTGGACTACCGTTCTTGTGCAGGCCATTGGTGGTATCGCAACATCGTTTTTCATTGGTTATGCACACCGAGATTCGAAGAACGTGGCCATGGCCACTAGCATCGTTCTCACGACGTTGGCCAGCGTTTGGCTCTTCGACTTTGAACTCACTGCCAATGTAAGTGACCAAGACTCCTTCTCCTGCGTTGATACTAATTAAGTTACGACAGTTTCTCCTTGGATCTTTCGCAGTACTAGTGGCTACCTGTCTTTGCGAAGATTCTGGATCCGCTCAGGCCAAACGCCAGGTACTCCGTCCGCCTCCGATCCGCGTGGATCGGTATGAGAAAGAAAGCAAGAGCGGTGAAGCTTCGCCGGCATCCCCATCGCCTGATGAGATCTCTATCAAGCTCCCTGGCACGCCATTCCTGTCTGATGCTGGGCTCTCCACGTCCAGGCCAACGTCACCGGGTCATGCACGCGCCGGCCGGACCCCTAGCGGTGGTTATTTCGACAAGCACTTGCGAGATCACTGAGCCACTTATGCGGATGTCCTTTCGCATTTATCGCGTGAATATCCTTCGCGTTGCTGTATCATGTTCACTGGGAAGTAAATAAGGATGGATAGAAGCGATGAGCCACTTTCGTCTTCGTCGTATATGTCTCAATTTCTTGTACTTTATTACTCTTTTCTTTTCGTCGTCGATTCTTTTCCAATCGCAATCCCTCAGCCCATGGCTCGACTCCAATTCATATATAGTCGAAATCGAACTGCAAAACCGTTAAAACACTCGATAGACAGCAGTGTGATAGGCAGCCTTCACGGGTGCTGTAACTTGCTGGTTGTAATGAGCCCCGCATACTCCTGGCGGAACAGGTGACTCTGTCCACTTCCTTCCCTATACATGTTCGGCTCACTTCTCCAGCCTGCCCATATTAAGAGGCACTGCAGAATCTTGCTGATTTATACCCATAACCTTTCAATTGGCTGCCATGAGGCCCAAACCTTATCATCCATTTCCCGCAACCCGCCACAATGTTCCCTACAAGCGCAGGGCCGTTGCTCAACTCCCTACTCCCAGCCGGTCAAATCCGACAGCCATCATCGACCAAAGACTAGTTGAAGGTGCACAGAAGCCTTTGCTCCACAAAACATCTAAAGAACCACATAGAAGTTACGTGTCTGAGCCGCAGTTGCTTCCTCATGAGGATAGCTTGGAGCTTGATGCGTTCGGTATGCCGATCAAGTACCCCACAGCCACATCTATGGAGTAGATCAAGCTGACACCCAAAATCTAGATCTCGAACTACTAGCCCAATCAGATGAGCAAACACAGAGACTCCAGACGGCCGGTCTGACCGCAGACCGTGGCTCGTTGCCGTCTAGATCATCCCAAGCAATAAACTATAATCAATTCTCCCGTTACTTCCATGGTCAGTGCACATGCTCTGCATGTATGCCGGTTTCAGATTCAAGGATTAGCAATAATTTGAAACAGCAGGTGGTCCGCATGTTACCCCGCACCAAAGTTTGGGGTCTAGCTCTTCGGAAATGGATGCAAGATCGCCATCCAGCCCATTGATTAGATTGCGAGCCGAGAGGACGAATGTACAATATCGTCAGCCTCACTTGGAATCCAGAGACGGCCCCCGTTTATCCTACGGCCATGGAGAATCCCTACCCGACTCTACTGAGCGATCGGCCACTGCTTCCCAGGGATGGCAGAAAGGTCCCTTCAAACAAATTCCGGCTTCCATTCGAGGCATTGTCCTTGTGTCAGTACATGAACTTCCCGACAAATACCGGTCAATCTTTCCCTTTCCTGTCTTCAATGCTGTACAGTCCAAGTGCTTCCATCCGGTTTATGAAACCGATAGCAACATTGTCCTTTCGGCGCCCACAGGGAGTGGGAAAACGGTCATAATGGAGCTGGCAATCTGTCGGTTGCTCAATTGCCTAAAGGACGAACGATTCAAAGTGGTATACCAAGCGCCTACCAAGACTCTCTGCTCAGAGAAGTTCAGGGACTGGAATACCAAGTTCCATACCCTAGGGCTGCAGTGTGCAGAGTTGACCGGGGACACAGATCACACCCAGTTGAGGAGGGTTCAGAACAGTCGAATAATCATTACTACGCCGGAGAAGTGGGACAGTATGACCCGCAAATGGAAGGATCATGCGCGGTTAATGCAGCTGGTCAAGCTCTTCCTCATTGACGAAGTCCATATTCTCAAGGAAGCTCGTGGCGCAACTCTGGAAGCTGTCGTATCTCGCATGAAAACCAATGGATCAAACGTTCGTTTCGTTGCTCTGAGTGCTACTGTTCCAAATTCTGAAGATATCTCAACTTGGCTGGGTAGGGATCCCACAAATCAGCATGTGCCTGCGCACAGAGAACATTTTGGGGAGGATTTTCGCCCCGTGAAGCTGCAAAAATTTGTGTACGGCTATCGATCACACGCCAATGATTTTGCATTCGATAAGATGTGTAGCTCAAAGTATGTATTTCCCACACGATGTCTGCTTCTATGCTGATGCTCTGCATGCAGGCTTCCAGGCCTCATAGCATCTCATTCCTCCAAAAAGCCTATAATGATATTTTGCTGCACGAGGAACTCAGCTGTTGCTACTGCTAAAGAGCTTGCTCGCTTGTGGTCAATGTCTAATCCTCCTGCTAGGCTGTGGAAAGGGCCAGGTAGGGCAATGGAGGTGCAGAACATGGACCTGAAAAGTAGGGCACTTCCTTTCCATCACTTGGCATGGCAGCTAAGATAGTGGAATGAAGCCACAATTGGTGCCGGGGTAGCTTTTCACCATGCCGGTCTTGATCCGGGTGACCGTCGCTCGGTCGAGACAGGATTTCTCCAGGGACTGATTGGTGTAATATGCTGCACGTCGACTCTTGCAGTTGGAGTCAATCTACCATGTCATTTGGTAATCATTAAAGGAACAGTCGGATGGCAAGAGGGTGGTTGCAAGGAGTATTCAGACCTAGAAATTATGCAAATGCTCGGCCGGGCGGGCAGACCACAGTTCGATGACAGCGCTACGGCTGTGATAATGACAAGGAAAGAACGAGAAAGCCACTACGAGAAGCTCGTATCTGGCTCAGAGAGTCTGGAGAGCTGCTTACATCTGAATCTTGTTGATCATCTAAATGCCGAAATCGGGCTCGGCAATGTCACCAACATTGACTCTGCCATCAGATGGCTCGCAGGCACTTTTCTATTCGTGAGAATGAGGAGAAACCCAACGCACTATCGGCTCAAGGAGGACGCTGATAGGGACGATGAAGATGAAATGCTTCGACAAATATGTGAGAAAGACATCAAGCTTCTCCAGGAATGCGGGCTGGTCTCCACCGATGGTCTCAGATCCACCAATTATGGCGATGCTATGGCTCGGTACTATGTGCGGTTTGAGACAATGAGAACGTTACTTACTTTGAAAGCTCACTCAAGTGTATCTCAAATTGTAAGTAAGAATAGCTAATCTTGGGTGGTGGCTAATAAAACACGCAGCTGTCGGTGATTTCAAGGGCAGACGAGTTCCGGGAGATACGCCTCAAGGCAGGCGAGAAGGCTCTGTACAAGGAAATCAATCGCTCTAGTGCGATCCGTTTCCCAGTCAATGTGGATATAGCACTCCCCGCTCACAAGATCTCGCTGTTGATCCAGGCTGAGCTGGGAGCAGTGGATTTGCCCGACGGTGAACCATTCCAGAAGCACAGATTCGCTTTCCAACAAGACAAGACTTTTGTCTTTTCCCATATTAACAGACTAATCCGCTGCATAATAGACTGTCAGGTAGGCCTTGAAGATTCGATCACATTGCGGAATGCTTTAGAGCTTGCACGGAGCTTCGGGGCCAAGGTCTGGGATGACTCCCCACTGCAGATGAAGCAAATTGAGCAGATTGGAGTGGTTGCCGTTCGAAAATTAGCATCGGCTGGGATCACTAGCATCGAGACATTGGAGCTTTGCGAGCCCCATCAGATTGACATGACCCTTAGCAGAAATCCCCCATTCGGGAGGAAGTTGTTGGATCGGCTTGTTGAATTCCCCAAGCTTCGAGTATCCATCAAGATGACTGGAAAGGTATGAAACCAAAGCCAGTTTGGCCTTTTTCTGAGATAGTACTAGGACTTCAAGGCTGGCAATGCCGTGAAAGTCCAAATGAAGGCCGAAGTTGCCTTCATGAACCAAAAATGTCCGGCCTACTTTCAGAGACGCCCGGTATACATCTGCTTCTTAGCGGAGACTTCAGACGGGCGTCTGCTTGATTTTCGGCGCATAAGGTAGGCAAGGTGTTGAGTGAAGTATCTAGACTAACTTTTGTTAGTGCGAGTAACCTGTCAAATGGTCAAGAGATATTGCTGGGCGCAGAGTTGAAAAGTGCTGGCCAGTTTGTGACGTGCTATGCCATGTGTGACGATATAGGTATGCGGGTGCCATGACCACAGCTTAACTGATACTGACAGCCTTAGCTGGAACTATGCGGTCTGCACAGCTGAAGCCTGAGATTCCCTCATCCTTGTTCCAATTGCAGCTGGATAATCCTCCCGATTCTGTATCAACAAGACCTAAACCCAATATTTCACGCCGACGCAGCAACGACACGTCCCAATCCAAATGCACCACTAATCTGGATATCGAACCTTGGGACAGCGACGACTTATCGTTCAACGATTTCCTGGAAAAGGGTAAGTTGGGCTTTCTCCATGGAATTAAAGGAATGATCCGAGGTATCTGCAGACGAAGCCGAGAACTGGTCATGTGTCGACAAGTTGCCAGAATCTTCAAATAGTAAGCCACGCAATGAATCAAAAGTCGAAAGGCAGAACCCAGTGAAATCTGGAGCAGTGGTCGAAGCTGAAGAGCACACTCGACTGGAAAATGGCAGGTGGGCATGCAATCATCGATGTAAAGATAAGACAACGTAATGCATTTCACCTCCCAGGAAGGAAACAACTAAGTGACAGCAGGTGTAAGCATTTATGTTGTCGAGATGGACTCGAAAAGCCACCCAAAGCGAACAAGAAGCGACCTCTTGATGAGGATAAGAGGACAAAAGGGCCCAGCCAGATGACCCTACCAGCGACGATGACCAGGAAAAACACTCACATAGCCAGCATTTCTAATACCGAAGCGTGCAGCCATGCAGAACCCTCACACAAACCCTCGAAGACTGATAGCAGTGACAAGAACAGAAACAACCCCAGTGTTCCCAACCACACCAGCAAAAAAGACTCTTCAAGTGAGTACGGAGACGACAGTTTTAGTGACTTCCCTTCTCCCTCCGCCTTGTTGTTTGAATACTCCACACCAGCAACAAAAAAGGGCGTCGAACCTCCCACAAACAGAAGCCAGATAGTTCAGGAAGACAAAATAGACCTAAATGACGACTGGCTCGATGATGAAATCTGGCATGACCCCTGTTCACCACTACCAAGCTCCATCCCCACAGGACATAACCAAACCACCATAGGGAAAGAGAAAATTAATCAAGCTTCAACAATACATGCACCACAAAGCCTTACTACCACAATCATCGATACAACGACCAACCACAAAAAGCCAGATATTCAAGCCCCTAAACCCATCAATGGATCACCTCTCGACAACCTCCCCATATCCGAAAGAAAGAAGCGGAAGCTTCCCTCGCCCACAACCACCAGTGATAGGGAGACGAAGAGATACAAATCTAACACAACTGTCCTTAACACAGGTGAAAAGAGTATCAAGGACATAGAACCCATTGGTTCGAAGCCTTCTACTCCTATTCCCACCATCCCTGCAGGCTGGGAAGACATTGACCCTGCTCTACTGGATGAGTTCAAAGATATCATTAATCTGCTCTAAGCGGAGTCGAATAGGTTACTATTCTATGGAGAAGGGGATATAAGTGCGGGGAATCTCTTTCCATGTTTTCGTTCTGTTTCTATGTGTTTCATCAATGTACTATGCGTGCACTGTAGCTGTGCACTATGTTCCATAGTTTCATGGGTATGGGCAGTGGGTATGGTTAATATGAACCGGAGGTTGCCATGCTAAAATTGAAAGATAACCCTGTGAATCTCCCAAACCGCCAGGTGCGCTACTTCGCGAAGAAGAATGACGTAGGGTAGAATTTGTGCTTTGGGTCATGGTTGGCTACAGCTGGGGGGTAAGTGAATACTCCTTAGAACAGAAGAGGAATCGCGCCAGTCTGGTACCAGTACTGTTATAAAGCCTTCGGCTAGATTTGGAAGTTCGGATTTCACAACTCCGTCCACTTTACCTCCCTTCTTTCTTTGTAACGATCCTGCTCTTTCCTGATCGATATTGATGGTTAAAGTTGTTTTGTGGCATTCTGAACAAGCCGATAGTAAGTAGTGCAAGCTAGTGACGCCGTATGCCTCGATATAGGGCTGCTTGATCGGTTGACACTGGCCTCTCTCACTGATCTAGTTCTCTCCGTGGCAGAGCTTCTTCTTTTCACTTCCGCGTCCCTTCCACCAGGAGTGATACACATATTCTCGCACTCACGTTCTATCATAGCTTGAGTCAAGTATCTAGACAATCTGGTAAGTGATCTGATGTTGTCTTCTGTGATGATTCCTCTTTTCTTCGTGAGAGGCGTGCTTCATGACGCGTCGCGCCCGTATGGCTCTTCTGTGTTGTGAGCTCGCTTGTTTTCTGAGAGCACGGCTTAGCACAATAGCTTCTTCTTTCATTTCGTCCAGTCTCTGTCTTACCTCTGCTATGTGATCAAAGTTGAGGCAACCACACTGACTTGTTAAACCAGACCGATCGCACACTGGGAGCCTTCGAGGCCACTTCCCAAAATGGTGAAGCTCAGTTATGTTTCTGTAAGACTTTCCACTCATATCAACCACTGAGAGTATCAGAGGATATGAACTAACGGTTGGTCGTTTGTAGCGAAAGCTGATCAGCGGTGTCCAGGCGGGCCAGGCTGTCTCCAAAGACCTGGTAGGTGACACTCATGGAGCTGCATATCATGCAATATGCTGGTCAACCAGCTAACGACATTCATAGAATAAGAGATTACCGGGTGGTTCCAGCACCAAGTCGGCAAAATCGGAATCTCCCTTTGTGGAGATCAACGTCACTGGAAAGGAGTTGACAGACGAAGGCTTCTTTGAGTTTATTGATGTCTTGATTGAGTGCATCAAAACCAAAGACGACGAGCACCCCTTGGGACGCACCAGGGTCACTGAGCTCCATTTGCAAGGCAACCAGCTCACGCTTGCAGCCCTGTCTAAGTTGACAGAGGTCATTGCTCTCAGTGCTAGTGACCTCCGTGAATTGGATCTTTCCAAGAACAGAATCCAGATCGAGACTGCTGAAGATATTGCGGCGTGGGTCTCATTCCTGAAGGCGTTTGAGACTTGCTTCGTACTTAAGAAGCTTGATCTGGGAAGTAACCCTCTCGGACGACTGGGCCTTGAGCACTTTGCACGGGTCTATCTGAAAAGTGACCTCGACTTTCTTGAACATGACGCTAATGCCCTTCTTGGCTCCAACCTCGTCGAAGAAAGTTCCCCCGTTGAGGCAGTGGCTAGATCGACCGTGTTGGGCAAGGAAAATGAGCCGAAACGTTCCAAGAAGAAGTCCCCGCATAAGGGAAAAGGTGCCCGGCTGAGCGGTAAGACACGTCGTCCTAAAGTGAGAATAAAATTAACAGGAGAGTCTACCTAGGCCATACTTATGTTGACCCGGCAGACATCAAGAAGTATGCGTGCACTCGAGGTCTTCGCTCCATCCCCTACCTCATCTTGTCGGACATTGGGCTGTCAAATACCAGTACTCTTCACCTCCTCAGCATGCTCAATGTTCAGCGAGCTTCAGAGGATCTCCTCAAATATGTCCCTCCGGGAAAGGTGCAAAGAGTGCCTGAGAGCGCGGACCTGTGCAAGAGCATCATTTGGCGCCCTAATGACGGCCTTACCATGGATGCGAAGCGACTGCTCGAGGTGTCTGAGAGACTCTGCGACATGAAGTCTGATACCGAGTCCGAAGGACCAGATGTGGATGACGAGGATGATGCTGCAGAGGGGTACTCCAGCAAGAGCCACCACGCGGTGAACAAAGATGCCCAATACAAGATTGAGAGCAACTTAAGGGAGGTGTACTCTCGGAAATACAAGCTTGTCCGCCTTGCGGCAATCAAGGAAGACGGGGTGAATGGCAGCACAATTTGGAGCACCGCGTTGAAAATGATGCTTGTTTCTAGGGTGATCCTGCTCGATGGACAGGAACACCCGAAGGAGGTGTCTGAGGCCCTAGACGACAAAGCAAAGAATGATGAGGACGACAAGGCGCATGACAGCGAAGGCGGCAACATGGAGTGGGCAGCAGATGAGGCCGATGAGCAGGAAACCTCGCGAGCACCATCCGGTATCGGATACCGCGAGCAGGATGATAGTTCATCAGAGTACCCCACCTTCTCCCATATTGAAAATGTGCAGCCATATCGCGTGCGTCGTGTGCAACCGACCACTGGCGTTGGACGCATGGCGACGCAGATGGCAGCCACCACCCTGGCCGAGGCTGGGCGAGGCACCGGTCCGTTCCACCCCAGTGCGCAGGCTTTCAGTTCCGACTTCCCCACGCTACAGGAGGCTCATGTGCCATTCGTCTCGAAGAGAGCGGCCATCCAGGATGAAGCGAAGAATTCTCCTCTTGCTGCAGGGCAGACCTCGCGCAAGAGTTCTCCGGCTTCCCGCCGAAAGTGGCCACGCGATCTTCCCCTTGACTTGTTGCGGCGAGTGATAGCCGAGGCCGTGGGCGCCAACGGGATCCTGGATCATGATCAGCAGCAACGCATCATGGAGTATGGTGCTAGCTGGCATGAGCTGGCCCAGGAGCTGAAGTTTCAGGGGGCGGAGGAGCACCAGCAAATCTGGAAGCTTCTCAAGACCCTTGAATGCTTCGACTACACCCCGTGGAAGGAGCACCGGCCGTTGTGAAGGCACAGCCCGGGGAAGAAGCTCAGTCCCATCGACCAGCGGTGGACATCAACATGAACGAAGAAGGAGGAAGTAATGAGGAGATAATAATATGCAGATACTCGAACAGAACATGAGGGGAGAGTGGGAAAAGCTGAGGAAGATGTACGTGTGGTCAGGCAAGGAAGTGCTGGACTGGGAGAGTCTGTGTTTGGCACCGAGTTGCGGATCCGGTGTATGTGAATACTTAAGACTAATCAATGAAGTTCTGCGAGTGAAGCCCTGCCCCATTCTTCGGGCCTCATACTCCTTCATTGCTTCCCCGCACGTGACCCCTCATGCATCCCGCCATCGCCTCCAACTCCATCTTCTCTTCTCTTCTCTTCCCCAGACAACCATCCCAACGCTTGCAGATAGCGTGTCGACCCCAGAATTCCCAGCAATTCATCTCCCACCATGATGCGCACCAAAAGAACCAACACCCAGCCGTTAGAGGACGCCTCCATCTCGCCCGCCACCTTCACGGACGGGCTGCCCCTCCCGAAACTCATCGCCTTCGATCTCGACTACACGCTGTGGCCATTCTGGGTCGACACGCACGTCAGCGCTCCTATCAAGCCTCGCGACAACAACTCCCGTTGCACGGATCGGTACTCCCTTCTCTTCTCTCTTTCAATCGTTCAAACCACTAACTCATCAACTACAGCTGGAACGAGTCCTTCGCCTTCTACCCCGCCGTCTCCTCCATCATCTACGCCTGCAAAAGCAAGAACATCCCACTAGCACTGGCCTCCCGCACCCACACCCCGGACCTGGCCCGCGACATGCTCAAAGCGCTACACATTATCCCCACATTCTCCGACAACCCGGCGGCGAAGACCAAGTCAGTGCGGGCGCTGGATTACTTCGACTACGTGCAGATTTTCCCGGCGAACAAGACGCAGCATTTCTCGCGCATTCAGCAGGCGAGTAGCGTGGCGTATGAGGAGATGCTGTTCTTTGATGATGAGGCGAGGAATCGCAATGTCGAGACGGAGTTGGGGGTGACGTTTTGCTTGGTGAAGGATGGGATGACGAGGGAGGAGGTTGATCGGGGGGTGCGGGCGTGGCGGAAGAGGAATGGAATCAAGTCGAAGAAGGAAGGGGAGGAAGAGGAAGAATGATGCTAGATTTGGATGATTGTAGATATGGGATAGGGTGTTGGCGTTTGGATTGGGTTCTTGTAGAGTATAGAGATACCCGGATGGAAATAAATCTTTTGAATATAATATAGGTACATCTTAGTTATCAGAGGTTAGATCCTGATTGTAAGTATTCGAAAGAATGAAAGAGTACGGAGTATATGGGGTTGTGCTGCTGGACTCACTCCAACTAAGTATCTACCCCGTGCCGTCTCCGCCAACTCAATCCACCTCCGCGGACATTATTCTTCCTACCTTCACCATCACCACCACAACAACAACACCTCAACACACCCACCTACCAATCGACAATACACCATCCCACCTCACTCCCTCCCCCTTCACCTCTCAAATCTCACGACTACCAACCAACAACCCAATGGACCCCCGCCACCGCTCAACCTCCCCAATCCCACCACCACCACCCCCCAAAACCTCACCCTCAACACCAACACCAACGCACCTCAAACCCCCCCACGCCCACCACCACCACCACCACCACCACCATCACACACAACACCACTCCTCCCAACAACCGCGCCCCTCCAACCCCCCAACTCGCGCCCCCATAACCGCCCACCCCACCGCCACGATCTCCGAAACAGCCCTCATCCAAGGCCCCCATCCAATCTCCATCGGCTCAGGAACAATCATCCACCCCCGCGCAAGAATCTACTCCCACGAAGGACCCATCATCATCGGGAATGGATGTATCATTAGTGAGAAGTGTGTGATTGGGGCGGCGGTACCGCCTTTCACACCAACGCCAGTTCCACAACCTCCCTCATCAACGGGAATATCGTCCTCATCTACGCATCCTCACGACAGAGCAGATAAAAAAGAAGGAGAAGGAGAAGGAGGAAGAAGTATCCTGCCCACGCGCATCTCATCCAATGTGACGATTAGTCCCGGGGCACAGATTCTCCCGGGGGCGCATATCCATTCGAGTTGTGGGATTGAGGCGCATGCGGTGATTGGACGGCGGGCGGTGGTGGGATCGCATTCCAGGGTGTGTGCGGGGTGTGAGGTCGCGCCGGGGGATGTGGTGAAGGAGTGGATGGTGGTTTGGGGGGGTGGGAGTGGGAGTGGGAGTGGGGGACAGAGGAGACGGGCGAGGGTTACGGGGAAGGTGGAGTCGAGTTTGAATGTTAATGCGAATTCGAATGGGAATGGGAATGGGGGGCTGGAGGGGAGGGTTATTGAGGATGCGAGGTTAATGGTGTTGCAAAAGGAGAGGGAGGCGTTGGTGAGGTTGATTGGTGGGAGGAGGAGATAGATCTTATACTGTGTCATGGGGATTGAGTTGGGGATTGGGTGGTGGAGGATGATGGTTTATGATACATGGTTTCTGCTCTATACCCATCAATAATGGCATCATTCTACAGTTGTATACACGCTTGACTATGCTTGAAACATACGAACCTTCTTACAAACCCGACCAACAAAAGAAATGAGTATTCCCTGACAATGGTAAGACTTTCACGAACCCTATCCCAGCACATTTAGCATAAAGTACATAAAGAAAAAAACCCGCATCATCTAAGACCCCCGGGCATGGCCTCCTCCCCTCATCCGCTTTCCACCCGCTCCGCCCTCACCCCCCGCTTCTCCGCCATCCTCACGAGCACGCTTGTTGCCCTGAGGAACAAACTGACGAGCATGCGCATTCAAGTTACGGCCCGGGCTAGCCTGCCCTTGCTGGGAAGCATTGGCCTGGACATTCTGATTGCCGCCACGGCCATGACCTCCTCTCCCTCCACGGCCCCGCGGCAGACCAGAACCGCGCTGGCTGGGTGCCTGCTGGGCCTGGGCTTGCTGGCCCTGTCCTTGCGCCTGCTGCGGTTGTTGCTGGCCGAAAGGATTCTGTTGCTGCGAGCCACCGCGGCCGCCGGTCCGGCCACCTCTAGCGACGGGCAGCCCGGACGTGAGCGCTCGCAAGGCCGCAGGAGCAGTGCCAGCTGGGGGCTTGCTAGGCAGCGACGCGGGCTGCTTGTTTTGGCTCTGGCCGAATGGGTTTGGAGGACCATTCGTTGCCGGCTGCTCGGCCGGAGGTTGTTGCGGTGCCGTCTGTGGTTCGGGTTCAGCGGACGGCGGTTCGGTCGATGTTCCTGCAGCAGGCTCTGTGGGTTGGGGTTGGTTTGCAGCTACCGGTGTAGCCACGGGAGCAGCTGCCGGGGTAGGTGCAGGAGTAGCCGGCGGAGCGGGCGATGGCGAGGGCACGACGGGCTGGGCTGCAGCGGGAGCGGGAGACGGAGCGGCCGCCGGGGAAGCCACCGCAGGCTTGGCTTGTGCAGCTGGAGGAGCCCGGGTGACCTTGGCCACCTCCCACACCTCGACCACGGGCTTCTGCGGGGTTTCCGTAGCAGCCTTCTGGACCACGTCGATCTTGGCCTGCGCGGTCCTGTATCGCGTGTCCAGCATACTCAGCTTGGCCAGCGATTTCTTATCCGACAGCTCGACCGCAGCCTTGATCTTCTCTTCCAGACCCTCGTCGTGGGCCTTCTTCAGCGCTTCTCGCTCCTCGCTAAACTTCTGCTCCAATGCCACAATGGCCTCCTGGCTCGCTTGCGTCTCCTGTTTGTCAGATTCCTTCTGCTTGGCCACCTGAGTGCGGATGTTGCTCCGAATGATGTTGCGAATCGTTTCGTTCTTCGCAACAAGCTCCCGGGCCTGGGCGTCCGTCAGCTCAGGGAGTCCAGCTTCCTTGGAAGGCGTGGCGGGAGGCGCAGGAGTCGCCGGCGTCGCAGGAACTTGCTCGGTCTTGGGAGCAGGGGTTGCGGGCTCCTGTGGAGCAGCCTGCTGACTAGATTTGACCCGCTCCATTTCCTGCCGATGCGCAGCTCGGATCTCAGCCAGCTTGTTGTTGAACACCTCCTTCATCCGGTCCGACCGTTCCTTAAGTTTCGTCTCGTGCTCGGTGTCCTTGGAAGCCAGAACCGCATCCTTTTCGGCAAGTGCTGCCTCCAGACGTTGCACCTTCTCCTCCAGAACCTTCACGCGTTGGTCGTCAGCAGCGACAGGCAGCTGCGTCGTTGGCGCAGGGAACTGAGAGGCAGGCGTCGAATCGACTCCCGTGGTGCCTTCAACGGCCGGTGCGGGTGCTGCTGGCTTCTCGGCCATCTTCGCCTTCAATTCAGTCAATTCCTCCCGGGTCGTCTTCAACTCCTCCTGGATAACCTCCTTCTCCTGCACGACGTTGTTGAGTTCCAGTTGCTTGGCATTGATACGACCGGTCAGCTCCTTGGACCGGGCCTTGAACTGGTCAGTGAGCTTCGTGCGCAGCTCTTGCACCCGATCTTCCGCATGCTTCAGCTGTTCGGGGAATGCAGCAGCCTGCGCCTGCAGAGTGTCACGGGCCGCGATCGCCTCGTCGCGTTCCTTTTCCAGCGTAGCAAGATTCTCCTTCAGTCCTTCCATTTCCGCCGGGTCTACACGGTCATACTTCTGCAGGATATTCTGCGTGCGTTGTTGCCACCGGTCCCGGTCATCCTGCAGCAGTTTCAGCTCGCCGTCCTTCGTCTCCACCACGTTCTCTAGCTCCCGGATTCTTGTCTCTAATGGTTGTATCTGTTGCACAAGTTCCTCGATGCGAGAAGACTTCTCAGCCAGCGAGGTTTCGGCTTGCTTGACCTGGTTGCGCAGCGTAACACTGCTCTCGCGGAACAGGTTCAGCTCGTTCAAGGTGTCCATCAATTTGTTATGGCTCAGAGCGCTGTGCTCACTGTCCGCAGCCGCCCGACGCTGCTGCTCGAGCTTAAGCCGCGCTTCATCAAGCTGAGTCTGAGTGTATTCCAGTTGTTGCCGAAGACGCTTGCTTTCTTGAGTCGACAGATGGTACTGCACATCAACAATCTCCTTCTCGCGACGCAAGAACTTGATCACCTCCTGGAGGCCTTCCAAATTGGGAGCACCCGCTTCTCCGTCCTCATCACCCTCCGGAATGTTGGCTCGGTCGCGCTGGAGGGCTGAGATCTGGTTCGAAATGTTCTCGAGTTGGGTATGAAGCAACGCGTTCTGGTGAAGGACCTCTTCGCGGCGTTTCTGCAGTTCGCCGAGCTCGCCTTCATACCTCTCCTTGAGCTCGTTCCAGCTTTCTTCCTTCTGCGAGAGGTCCTTCTTGAAAGTGTCGGCCTGCGTCCGTAGTTCGACCACTTCCAGCTTCAACTGGTTGGCTTCAGAACGAACCAGTTGCAAGTTCTTCGCGGCCTCGGCATGTTTGACCAACTCGCTCTCGTAGTTCTGTTGGGCGTGCTGCGCAATTTCGGCCTGTGCCTTGAGATCTTCCTGGTGGAACTGGGAAGCAGCGATCTGGCGTTCATTTTCATCCTTCAGTCTGGTCATCTCCGCTTCCAAGGCGGCCTTCTGCTCCTCCAGGCGACGACCAGCCTCCCCTTGTTCGTCGCGCAGCTTGGTAAGTTCGCTGTTTGTTGTCGAAAGCTCGGACGAGATTTCTTCAATCCGCTTCTCAAGATCCTGAATCTTCTTGTCTTTCTCTTCAATGAGGCTGTCTGTTTCCTCCCGGAACTGCTCCTGGGTCTCAGTCATAGACTGCAGGCGTTCCTCACTCTGCTGGCTGATAGCCTTGTAATCTTCAACGCGCTCCTCAGCGTGCTGAAGTTCCTGCTTGACAAGTTCCAAGTCACGTTTCAGCTCGGAGACCTCAATACCCAGCTCCTGTTCGCGCGTCAACCCGCTCTCCTGGCCTTCTTCCGAAGTCACAGGCGCTTCAGCAGGCGCAGCGGAGATACTGGGCTTGGACTGCACAACCTGAAGGCGCTCTTCAGCGCTGCGCAGCTCGACAGTGAGCTCATCAACCCTCGACTGCAGATGGTCTCTCGTCGTCTTCGCGGCGACTAACTCTTCCCGGACTGAACCCAGGCTTGTCACCAGGTCATCGATACGCTTCTGACTTTGCTCATGCTCGTATTCCCTGCGCAGCGCCGCCTTCTTGCCCTCCTCTACCTCATCGTTCAGCTTCCGCTTGGTGGACTGGAGCTCCGATTCAAGAGACTCTACGCTGCCCTGCAGCCGACGACGACTCTCGGCGTCGGTGTGCTCCCGCTCGTTGAGGATGGTCTGAAGATTGCCGTTGAGAGAATCAAGGCGGCCTCTTTCGTTCCGCAGAGTCTCGTTGTCTTCAATGAGTCTCCTTTCAATGTTCTTCCAGAGATCTTTTTCAGCCTTGAGGTTCGCATTCTCCCGCTGCAGGCTCTCGACAAGACCCTTCATCTCCACCAAGTCTTCGGCAGCTTGCTGGGTCTTAATGTCTTGCCGGTTGGCGTTCTCGAAAAGCGTGGCATAGCGTTTCTGCAGCTCTGCATTTTCGCTCTTGAGCATATTGAAGTTGCTCTGGAGAAGCTCAGCTCTCTGAGTGGCGGCACCGAGCTGGCTGCTGGAGCGGCTAATTTCGCTCATCAATTCACTGTTCTTCCGGGAAAGCTCGTTGACTTGTTGTTTCAGAGCCGAGTGGTCGGTGGCAGACTCCTCACGGAAGCTGTCGAAGTGTGCCTGCACCTTACGTAGTAAATCAGCGTAGTCGGGGGCATCCTTGGCCTGCTCGTCCGAAGCAACAGGAGGAGCCGCGCCCAGAGGAAGAGATTGGGAAAAGACGGAAGCATCGCCAACGGTTTGACGGCGGCGGGTTAGCATGCTCCGGAAGGTGTCCCTCTCCTTAACATAACTCTTTGTCTGGGCAACCAGGTTGGCAATTTCATCCCGGTATGTCTGCACCCGGATTCTGAGATCCTTTAGCTCTTCCTGCTCTTGCTGACGAAGGGCATCCTGCTCCCGGGCTTCTGCGCCCTCCATCTTATCTCCCAGCTCTCTCAGCATACGTCGGAGAGTCACATTCTGCTCTTGGAGCTCATGAAGATCCTTGAACGTCATCAGGTTGCGACTGATGAACCGTCCAGTGGGGTTGAGATCCGCAGAGGAGTCATCGATTTCCTTGCGCGCAATCTTCTCGAGTTCCTCCCGGTCGTAGGTAGCCTCGCCTTCCTTCAAAATAGCATTCTCCAGGACCAAGACCTTGATCTGCGAACTCAAGTCCCTTAGTTGTTGACGCAGGATGTCTCCCTCCCGGGCCAATCCCTCCACCTGGCCTTGCCACTTTCTTGCCTCCTTCGTAGCATCGTCACGTTCCTTTCCGGCCGTCTCTAAGATGTTAGACATCTCGACGACGGCGTTCTCTAGTCTGGCGTGATCCGCACGCAGCTCGTCAATCTCGGGCTTGCTAGCCTCAAGATCTTGAACCATCTCGTCCAGAGTTGATCTAAGTTCTTGGTTTGTCTTCTGTTCCACCGCCAGCGATGTTCTCATTTTGTCGTATTCGGTGTACATCTGCGTCAGGGTAAGTCCGCCCTTGCCACGCGAGGCTCTAGGCGAGAATGCGCCCACGGGGGTACTAGAACGCATCGGTGTGCTGGGTGCTCCGCCATTGAGAGCGGGACTCATGGATCTCCGTCCAGCGAAACCGTCGGATTCGAGTTGGCTGACCGTGAGCTCAAGTTCCGCGACACGACGCTCAGCGGCTTCTTTGTCGGCATGTTCCGTCTCGACTTCCACGCGAAGCCGGGAGATTTCCTCCGCAGCATCTTCTCTTGCCTTGTCCAGGGCCAGTTGGCATTCCTTCGCACGTTGCTTGGAAGTCTCCGCGGAATTCGACTGCAATTGAGCCAGTCTATTGGCGCTGTCCAATTCGATCCTGAACGACTCCGCGGTTTGTATGGCCTCTTCTCTGAGCTGCTGGATGCTGGAGAGCGCTTCTTCGTAGCGCTGTTCCACCTCATCGAGACGGCTCTTGAGGGCATTCTCGCTCCGTCTCAAAGAGTCAACGTTCGCACTGATCTCCTCGTTTTCACGTTGGAGCTCCGAGATCCGAGCGCTCTTCTCCTTGCGGAACTTCAAGTATTCAGCAGATTTCGTTTTCAATTCCGTCTCAAACCACTCGTTGTTCTTCTTTGTCAGGTCCAAATCCTGTTGGAGGCTCTGTTCGCGGAACTTAGCACTGGCGGATGCAGAGTTTGCGGCTTGGAGGTTCTGTTCGGCGGTGGACAATTCGCGTCTCAGTTCGATGGTTTTCTTGTGCTGAGTGGAAAGTTCCTCGGCAAGTTTGTCGTAGGCCGCAGACTTGGACTCAAGAAGGGATAGAGTGTCCCGGTTGGAAGCTTCGAGTGAGGTGATGCGGGACTTCAGTGAGCTCACTTCGGACTCGTTGGACGTAGAGGACGACTTGAGTGAAGAGATTTCAGATTCCAAGGACGATCGAGCATTTTCTGTGAGGCGTAAGTAAGCGCGCGGTGGCGGAAACTTCACGGTGACTAACCGGACTCGTGGAGTTTCTTCCTCGTCTCTTCGACTTCGGCATGACCCTTCTCGACCGAGCTCTTCAGGACCTTGATTTTGTTGTCGCTGGAGCGAACAGCATTGTCCAACTCCACTTCCAGGCGTATCTTATCGGATTTGAGCTCATCGTGCTCGCGTGCCTTTTTCGTGATGGCTTCGAAGAGTTGATTGACTAGCTCGACCGTGGGAGCTTGGGTGAGGGTGCTCAGCGTCGATTCGGCAACGGCGTAGTGAGAAGAAAGAAAGGGTAGCTCAATTGTAACAGCAGCCATGATTACCATGTGCTGCCGGCAGCAATAGCTGCTAGATGATGGAAAGTAATGCTATTGCCGAGCTATGTCGAGACGCAACTGAGGGGATGATGATAGGATAGGTGGTTGAGATAAGTCTGCGGCGCGCTGAAATGGAATTCCCCTTAGTGTGAGCGCACAGACTCCAAGAAGCCGACTAGGCCATGAAGGGGCGTGGGGGAAAGAGAAAGATGGATTGTCAATGAAAGACAACGGAGGGTTGCGATGAGATGGACGAGCAGCGAGGACGGCGAGAGGCTCCCTACTCTATGCGGTTAGCGCCCGGGTGGAATCACGTGGAATGCTCTCCGCCTCAGGCTGGCCGGCCACGGCGGCCTCGCAAAGTCTCCCGGCGGCGATGACGAGGATCTTTCCTTCATCTCCCTCTCTCACCCCGCCGGCCGTTCTCTACCTCCCCGGGACTGGCTCACTCCCCTCAGTTCTCATATGAAATATCACGGTCGTTAACAGAGCTCATCCGTGCTCTCCCAGAGCGAGGCCTCGCTCAACCTCACCTGGCCCTTGGCCCAGCCTTCCACGTCCCCTTCGCAGCTGTGACCTTGTCTCTCCACCGCCAACATGTCGCATCTCCAACAGCAGCTGAAGAGCTTCAGTGCCGGCGTCGTCGACTATGCAGCCCGCATGCCGGCCCAGCGGCGTTTCGTGCACAACAACAATACCAACTCCGCCAGCAGCTCTCAGCTTCCGTCTTCTACATCTACGCCCACACCCGGCGAGGAAGCGAAGCGTAAACGGCACGATGCGGACATCGTCTACTCGCAGCCCGCCAACACGGGCACGGGCAAGGACATCATGACCCAGGTCGTCTTTGCCATCGAGCACATGAAGTCCAAGGGGGTTCCTCTCAAGTTCGGCGATATCGTCTCCTATCTGTCCCTCCAGCACCGGGCCAACGACCAAGGCTATATCCAGGCTCTTCGGAGCATTCTCCAGATGCACGAGAAGGTCCAATACGATCCCAGCGGCGCAAATGGAGAAGGCACCTTCAGCTTCCGTCCGCCCCACAACATCCGTACCGCGGAGCAGCTCCTCCAGAAACTGCAGGCCCAGTCGACCGGTGCGGGGATGAGTGTTCGGGAACTCCGAGAGGGATGGCCGAACGTGGAGGACGCGATCAACAAGCTTGAGAAGGAAGGGAAGCTGCTCGTGACCCGGAACAAGAAGGATGACCATGCGAAGATGGTCTGGGCCAATGATCCGTCCCTGATCCAGCACTTTGACAATGAGTTCCGTCAGATCTGGGAGAAGATTAAGGTTCCGGATCAGCAGGCGGTCAAGGAGGAGCTGGAGAAGGCCGGTATTGTTCCCACGAACAAGAACAAGGTCGTCAAGGCCCGGCCCAAGATGGAGCATAAGAAGGTGAAGAAGCCTCGGCGCAGTGGCAAGACTACCAACACCCATATGATGGGCGTTTTGAGGGATTATTCGCACCTCAAACGGTAGTGCCACCTTTTTCTTTAATTGCTTAAACAGTATGCCATTTGCTATCGCTGGGATCTGGCTTACATTGCATTATATTGGCGTTTATGGGTTCATAGACATGGGACTGCGGATTGGTGCGTTCGTTATTCTTACTTCCCCCCGGAAGTGATCTTCCGGTTGTGGTGGCTTTTATGTAAAACTATACAGCAAAATCGATACCCGGATAATTGAATGATTTAGAGTGACTGTTCTATACTTTGTATGCTCTGTCTGTATTATTCCACACGAGATATAGTTCAAACATATCGGAGTACTAATCTAGGTATCTTAACCCTTCGACAAGTACTTATGTATACATCTAGGCTCAAATCCACGTCTGAACAATTCTATTGACGAAAACCGCCCCTGTCCATAACCCTCCAATCTATCCACCCTTTTCCGTTTTCCCTTTTTTAAACCTTGAATCCATCCATCGAGATGGTCGCAGGAAGCAAAAGAGAAGAGATATGAACAACTAAGAGCATGCATGTACAATGCCATCAAGAGAAACAGACAACAAGAAGACAGGGGGTAAAAAGAAGACATAAGATCGAGGAATCAAGGAAGAAAAGAAGGAGATAAAGATAAAGATACAAACACCACCGACATGCAATATTCAAATAAAAAGAAAGAGGAAGAAAACACTCACTGCCCATTCACACCCTCCACTCTCTCCACATACTCCACCAAATCCTCAATCGTACACACCTTAATCCCCCACTTTTTCCCAAACTTCAAACACCCATCACGTCTCATCATGCCATTATTTCCCCCAATCTCCGCAACACCCTCCACGACCTCTCCATCCTCCACCAACTCCGCAATCACACCCGCCTGCGTCTTCCCGGCCAAGCGACAGAACTCCACCGCTGCCTCTGTATGTCCCCTGCGCTCTCGGACACCGCCGCTCCGCGCCCGCAACGGAATCACATGTCCCGGACGGCGCAGATCCTCGGCCCGCGCTGTGGGAGACCCCAGAATGCGACACGCGAGGGCGCGGTCCTGGGCCGATATCCCCGTCGTCACGGAGGCGTCGCTCGCGTCCACGGACACGGTGTAGGCGGTTCCCTTGGGGTCGGCGTTCTCGGTCACCATTTGGGGGAGGTCCAGGCGTTGTGCGATTTCGGGGGTGACGGGGGCGCAGATCAGGCCGCTGTTGTTGGTTTCGTACGTTAGATGGATGTCAATTGGTTGTGAGGGGGCGAGAGGGGTGAAGGAAGGGTACCTAGTGTGGCGAACGAGAAAGGCCATTTGCGCCGGGGTAATTGACTCAGCGGCGATGATGAGATCGCCTTCATTTTCGCGGTCTTGAGAGTCCAGTACGATGATGAATTCGCCGTTCTCTGGGGGTTGCGTGCTTGTTAGTGTTGGGTTGCCCCGGGGTGAGGGGAGAAAGTAGGTCGGTGGATGACTCACTGAAGGCTGCTATTGTGTCTTCGATCGAGTCGAATTGGTGGGCAGGGTCCGAAGGAGATTGCATGTTTGGAGTGGATTGAATTGATTTGGATAGAGGGGTTGGTTGTGGATTGTGCCCCTCGTTGCGGAATTGGAGGCGGGGTTGGCTTCTGCTGCGGTAGGCGGGAGGGATGAATGCTACCTTGGTGGTTTGCTTGGTGGAATAAAGATTGATGGACCGGGATGGAGGTGTAAGTGCAATTGGCTTTTTATAAATGGGCAAGCTCAATGGCTAGTGACTGTGCTCGAGAAAATGGTGCAATTGCGATTCCCACGCGATAACAGGCCGGAGGACTCTCTATCGGGGCGGAGATTCGGAGGCTCGGATTCGGAGATGGCGGGGCGTGAAGAGGTGGGTTTTCTTTATGAGGTAAGAGTTCTAAGGGATTCGCTGGTGAAGAATGGTAGAATCAGAAGAATGAGACCGATGCAGCAGGGAGCGAGGACCAGGAGACTTTGAAAGAATACGAAGGAAGGCGAAATGAACGGGCTCACTAATGGTTTGTCAGAAGCCAGTCATCGCGGTGGCCGAGGCCGTTCCGGCTAACGACAAAGGCCCATCGCCGCGCCCGAAAACGGCGGAAACTAGGCAATAACTCGGTTCACCAGCTGATACTGTGCAAAGGACACGATAGGGAAATGTCTTATCCCCGCTCTATAGATGATAACTCACGGATTCTATCTAAAGTTCAGGGGTATCGCCACTCTTAAACAAGCCCGAACTGGAGGCATCATTCAATCAAACCAACGATCTTGCCAAAGGCCGCATGCAAATGATGGAAACACAAGCATTAAATCATATGGGCTTCTTCGATCTTCGAAGAGAGAAATCCCCGGTCACAGTCCCAGGCCGCCCATCCGCCTCACTTCATCGGCCTGCCTCTCCAGTGCCTTCCGCATCATGGTAGCATACTCCTCTTCCCGCTGCCGTAGGTCCCGTCGTTTCTTCCGTCTCACCTCGCGCTCGGCTTCCGGGATGCTCCCATCAATAGCCATGTCTTCATCTTCATCGTCCAGATCCAGGTCGGCGTCTGGCACATTGGAGAACCTGATGCGTCCGAGGTGTTCTCCAGTCCAGACTAGGAGCTCATCGCCCGTCAAGCTGCCGCCCGTCGGGAGAACTTTCCGAGCGACTTCACCATCATTGCGAGAACGTGATAAGCTGCCCCACAGGCCGGGCGTGTTTCCGTCCTCGCCATCGGCACCAGCACTGGTTCCTGAGCGAATAGATGACGAGGTGTCCCCATTGGGCTGCCCATACCACCTGCGCTGGGGTTGGTAGGCATTAATGTTCAGACGACGGACTTCGGCCCGTCCATCGCGCTCCACCCACTTGATGTTGCCGTCTGCGTCGGAGTATACGATTCGTGTCCCGTGAGATTCGACTGAGAGCACCTTCGATCTGGCGACACTCTGCCGGTTCTGATACACTGTAGACAGAGTGGACGAGCAGCCCGAAGGATCGGCCTTGATGTTGCTGCCGGAAGGGGTGAGGTTGTAGAGCTCAAGAGAACCCCGTCCTTTATAGTCACCGCAGGCTACCAGTTTGTGAGAAGTTGGAAACTCAGAGTTGGAGAAAACAGGGAATCGCGGCGCAGGAACCGCCGCAAGCCCACAGAGTTGGCCACCGGAGTGGATTGTGTTTTGTAGTCGCGGGAAGAAGCGACGGTCGTATTGTAAGATGCTGGGAAACCGGCCTGCGAGGAAGATCGAATTCACATGCGGCGCAGGAGGGTGTAGAAGGGACAGCGGTCCGGGTTGAAATAACGGTGCGTAGTTGTCACTGTTGTTTGAAGGGTCCGGGCTTCGTATCCGGTGCGGAGGCCGGCCGTTTGGTTGAAGTTGGAGAAGAGGCGAATCTGGAGGAGCATAGATCTGGGACTTGGGGACGAGCGATACCGTCGGCTCCTCGCAGCGTAGATTGATAGCCTCTTCTTCCTCCGTCGCTGACATCCTGCCGTCGTAAATATGAAGACTGAGAGTGGTTGCCAGCGTCAACGGCACCGAGTAATCTGTCTCCTGAGACAGTGCAAAAACAGACCATGGGAAGCGTTGCTGAGAAATAACGCTAAGTGTCTCGAGGTCGACCTCGTTCAGAATGTTCCCGACAGCCAAGTAGGCTCTCCGACGCATGGAGTCTACACTGACGCATTCTCCAAGGTTCACGAATTCCAAGGCTTGCTTCGCTCCGGGGTTGTCCCGTCTTCCAGACCGGTTGGCCGTCAAGATCCCCGGGGAGCTGACGCCGAGGACCTTACCCTTGGTGCTTTGGGACCCAATAGAGTGCGAGTGATTCAGATCCCAGATGCAGACACTGCCATCATCAAGGGGTGCAACCACTTTATTCTGTCTGGCAGAGCTCCAGTCTCGAAGCAGCCCCATGCCTTTGACCTCACGATATTCCCTTTTCCCGCCCTGGGATACCCTTGTGAAGGGTTGCTGCATCCAGCTAAGCGAAATCGGTCCATTCCGAGCGATATACTCCGAGTACCAGTTGACCTCTTCCCCTTCGTAAGACGGGTCCCACGACGCCGCCGCTCTGGAACGCAGACCATACGACGGTGATTGATCCAGACCCTCTGGTGTAGCCTCGTTAGGCCGGGACGCGCCTGGCTGGATAAGCGACCGAAGCGAGGTCTGGCCTAGTGAGCGGAGGGACGCCGCGGAGTTGGAGACGAGGCTCTCGGGCGCCCTGTTGGTGGCGGGACGCAAGGCTCCGGGAGCGCTCCATGACTCTTCGAAACAGTGGAGCCGCCAGAGATTATTATCGCGGGCGACGGAGAACAGCCGCCTCGAGACGGATTGAAGCTGTACCCGCTCATGTGGGGTGAGATCTAAGGGCGCGTTAGCTTTGCTGTTGATGGTCTAACCGTCTAGCACATGGCATGAAACCGATGGTGTGGGGTAACATGGATCCTGGGATGAAAGGGGGCGACCGGCGTACAGTCAATAATCTCGCAGAGAATCTCTACGGGGAGCTTCTCCATGGGTGAGGCTGGGGCAAGAAAACCATTGAGGGCCGAGCGGACTCATTTGGCTTGTGCGACGAGGGTGTAAGCAAAGGCCATAATTGCTTCTTGGGGATGAAGCTCCAATTTATCCCCCCACAATCCGCCATCTAGACCGGCGTCACGTGGTGATGTGCAGGCCGACCAGCTGGCGGGCAGCGACTACGTCGGAGTCCTGAGTATGGCGTCGCCAGTCATCTTCAATTCCTAGGACAAATTGTTGTTGCTCGTAACTATACTTATTAGTCACCTTCAAGTTACTGGGCCCTCAAGGACGTGGTCTAGAAGCCGCGGGTGACCCCCTACTGTAACCCAAACTCCTGTGGCATGGGAACAATGGCTGGTCCAGCATTCCAACGCTATCGGCGGCGGGCTATATATAGCCACGGGCTTGTGCCCCGGCACGGATTCTTGACGTTTCTCCGAAGCCTTCCATTCTCATGGTATTAATTTTAGCCAGAATTAACCCCAGCAATTGGTCAGAGCATAATACCCAACTAACCCGTTGCCCTTTCCTGCCCATTCCAGACCCAATCATTAAATAACATTACTCGTACATGAACCGTCAGACGTGACATGAAGCAAACTGCAAATCACGGATGCCTGGCCAAGAGGTCAAGCTCGTCTCTAACCCTGTCCTAGCTGTCGGGCTTGTAGACGGCATCCTTACAGAGAACGGCCACCTTCTTGAAGAATCGCCGCCATTCCAGCGGATCGCCCTTCACTTTCATGAATTCTATCTCAAAAAGACCCTCGGACACGCACTCGATCAGAACTTTGCCCTGTAGAGCGCACATCCTTCCATCCCGGGTAACGATCCGAAGCGTCGCGGCAGTGTCTCCTGCGGAAACGGCGGGAACCGCAGGAACGGGGACACCCAGACGATGCAGCGCCTCGCAGAGGAGGGGGACCAAAATCTTGAGCTCCCACGTGGAGAAGAATCGGGTCATAGGGCGGGAAGGCACAATATCATGGAACCGCTGAGCCCTCTGGGTCCGACTGAGCGGCACGGACGGATGAGGCGAAAATTGTGACATGGACGGCTCGTCCTCCAGCTGGTCGAGCGCTGACGTGTCGGAGAATGGCCGGCCCAGCGGTTGTGTTGACGAAAAGACATCTACCAATCGGGGCGTATCCCAATCGACCAGCATGTCAGGCCGCGGCATCTCCGGTTGTGTGGAAGATATTCTTTGCTCCGCGTCAATGTTGTCGCCCACGTCAATGTCCATCCGGCCCCCACCAAAACTACCCCCGTGGGGTTGAGCGAAAGGATCTTGGGAGAAATCGATATGTAGCGACTCGAACATGGTTGTAGCCAAGTTGATCGGGTCCCGTAGTGTGCCATTTCGAGACAGATATCTGTTTGGTCGAGTATACCAGGGATGTCTCCGCACATCCTCCAAGGAGAACCGGTTGGTCGGGTCAATATTCAGCATGCCACGCAGTAGCGAGAGAGTCGCTGGGGGCAACTGCTGCCAAAGCTCATCGGATGTACGTCCATTGGTCGCAAGGTATTCCTGGAATTCGTAACTGGTCTCTGTCGGGCTATCCCACGGCGTGTTGCCCGCCAAGAGGACAAAGAGGACAATCCCACAGGACCAGATGTCCACCAGGTCTGGTCGGTAGCCTGTGCCTTTTATCGTATTCTTGCTACTGCAGTGGATCACCTCGGGTGCAATATAGGGCGGACTCCCACAAAAAGTCGTAGATAACTTGGTCACGCCCTTGTACTCAAACAAGGTTGCGAGCCCGAAATCTGCAATCTTCAGATTCCCGTCGGCCGTCAACAACATGTTCTCCGGCTTGATGTCCCGATGCCCCACCCCCTTGGAATGCATGTAGCCCACGGCACTGATGAGCTGCGAGAAGTACACGTGCGCGATGTCCTCGCCGACGCCCTCATCGGCCTCGATCTTGTCGAATAAATCGCCGCCCTCAGCCAGCTCCATTGCGATCCAACGCCAGACATCATCCTCGCCAGTTTGGAAAAAGGATATTATGTTGTTATGATCCCCGATATGTTTGTGAACCGTTGCCTCCATCTGGAGCTGTCGCGGGCTGACCTTGCCATGACGCGCGGCGTATTCTTTATGGATGAACTTGACTGCGAAGACGGGATTGTCTGTGTAGGATGGAACTGCTTTCTTGATACTGTGCGTGAGAATTCGTCAGTGAGGGGTCCATTATGTCACACAACAGACTTCACAGAGCGATCGTACCAAGCATAGGCGCCCTGGCCGATTGTTTTGGAAACGATTCGAAACGGCAAGTCATTCGGCAGCGGGGCCAGCTGAGAGTGATGCATGGTGGCAGAGACTCACGGGGACGATCGGATCGTGACTGATCAACTGGGCTTCACGGATCAAGACACAGAAGGACCAGACTGAAGCATGATCGGGAGTGGTGGCGAGTATCAAGGGCGATGGAAGGAAAACGAAGCTGCTGGGAACGCGCGGGCGGACGCGAGAGCCACTTTATCCTCTTTGGGTAATGTGTTGATAGGCTGCCGGGGCGCAGCCTTGAGCGGCCCCAACATCATGATGGGGGTTCTTGAAAAAAGAAGGGAAAGTGAGAATACTAGAATCGACAGAGAGATGTATACAGGAGTAATCTGGAGCGATGTAGCTACGAGCGTGAAATCGACTAGTTGACCGCGCATGATCTACTGTCGATATACCATGTCAGTCCTCCGTAGTCGAGTGGCTGTCGTGCATCCGTCAGTTGCGTTGCATCTCGCTGGCTGCCCGCCTTCCAGCCGGACCCGCCGCAGCCAATCGATAACTAGTAGTAGCATATCCCGGCGGGGGACAGAGCACCGGCATGGCACAGACATCCAGGACACCTTCAATCGGACTTGATTGGGCTTCCCCTACAATGAATTACCTTTGTCCAATCCACACGATTGTTGGACAAGTACCCCAGTAATGTGAATGGGAGGAGGACACCACGCGAGCAAGATCCCGATGCATGACGGTTGACGGTGATCTGGACCGGTCATCTGGTGGAGCCCAACAGAATCCATCGAGGCGGCGTTGCCCGGCGGATGGCCGAGTAAACAAAGCCCCCCCCCCCCCCCATTATTGTCCGGATGGCGTTTTCCACCAGTTCTCCAGTCTCTCCAGTCTTCTCGAACTACTCCGTAAATTCTAGTGGACAAACACCCTCTTCCTCTTCCTAGTTCCCCTCCTCCTAACGTTTCATCGAGGCCTTCAGAGTTTCCCAGCACCAGGGGTTCATCGGGTGGGTCCAGCCAACTGTCCCGCTGCGTTCGGATCCGGCGTCATTCCAGACCACCAACTTTCTTCTTCTCCTCTTCCCTCTGCCGATTACGACGGTCCGTTAACCTTGCCTGGCATTCTTCCCATCCCGGAAACTCAACCCTCCTCATCAGCTCCTCTTAAACCCACGACTCACTCCCCCGTCTTTTTTAGACTCCAGAATGGATTACACCATGGAAGACACCCAGAACTCGGCTCCTGACGCCCATGAAGCGTCCAAGCTCAACCCCTCAGCCCAGAGGAACGACATTCAGGGCGTTACCAAGCGGTTCGTCTCACGACGCTGAATGCAGCCCGCAATCCCCTTCTTCTCCGGAATTCGGTATACTGATCATCATTCTCTCTCTCCAGCCTCCAAGCCGAACTGATGCAGCTGATGCTCTCCCCCTCCCCGGGAATTTCGGCCTTCCCAGACGCCGACGGCAACCTCCTCTCCTGGACCGCCACCATCAGCGGACCTAATGACACCCCCTACGAAGGCCTCACTTTCCGACTCTCCTTCGCGTTCCCTAGCAACTACCCCTACGCTCCGCCCACCGTCCTCTTCAAGACCCCCATTTACCACCCCAATGTCGACTTTTCCGGCCGTATCTGTCTGGATATTCTGAAGGACAAGTGGAGCGCCGTCTACAACGTGCAGAGTGTCCTCCTCAGTCTGCAGAGTCTGCTGGGCGAGCCCAACAAGTAAAGCCCATCCCCTCACACCGTGGGGTCACCCATGTTAACAATCCACAGCGCGAGCCCCCTTAACGCCCAAGCCGCCGAACTCTGGGACACCAACCAAGAAGAATACAAGCGCCACGTTCTGGCCCGGCACCGCGACATCGAAGACATTGAGTAAACCGCTGTCTATGATCGTCCTTTCGGCTGTTCCCGCAGACATGGAACGGACCGACTTGCATTGCATGAGATCGGGGTCTGTGCGTTTGACTTGGGGGCAACGGTTGCATGGTGCATTCTGGCCTTCGTCAGAAGTTATGATATCTTCTTCTTTGCACCGATGATTTTCAGGAGTTCATGGATTGGGGTGGGTTTCGTTTGGGACCCCGGTTGGAATGGAAATACAGGAGCCCCCCGCGTGTCCCGGGAATAAATACCCTGCTTTTTCTTGTCGTTGTTCGTGCTGCTGTTTATTCTTACCTGGCCATGATGTTGAGGTTCCTTGATAGCTTCTTCTACTACATAGTACAAGGCTGTCACTTGAACAAAGGTAGCTTCATTTGTATCTTTTGGAATATGGAACTTGTTGATACTGGCATATAATAAGATATGATATAAGGAGTACTTTGTTGATGATCAAGTCCAGAACATGGAATATAAACTACTAGAGCTCCGCACATCTCAGACACACATCCACACACAGCATCATACATGAAATGTAGTGCATCATGCGTAGTCCATACATCACCCTCACTTACCCCAACCATCCCATCCATTATCAACGAACAATGAAGTGATCATGGATGTACCACGGCCCCATCCCTAGCAAACAAACAGTCACCCACCAACCATTGACCGGGAGTTACATTGTTCCCACAATACATATTACAAACCATACCCCGTATATTTCTCATAACTTCTGTTTACTATCTATCGATAGTAACATGGTTATATAACCAAAAGACAGTAATTCAGGACCTCAACTCCAGGCATGCATATTATTTATTATTATCATGATTATTATTATTACACCCGGAACCATCATCAAGCAGCAAGTGAACCGCCCACCTACCACCCCTCTATTCAAGGCTAGAGTACAGAGTACAGAGTCCATAGTCTCGCAAACGCGTCTAGTACTACGGAGTCACAATAAATGGCATGAAACCTCCCACCCCCCCAACACCATCCCACTAACCACCTAGCACACACCTACGACCCCTCCTTCGCAGACTGCACCTCGTTCACAATCAACATCCCTGCAATTGCAGCGCTAGTGAACGTACTAATCGCTCCCGTGAGCATCGCACTCACTGCCACCCGAGAAACATCGCCTGCACGACTGGGCGCCAGCTGAGCGAGCACTCCGATCTGGTTGCCCAGGGCGCCGATGTTCGCGAAGCCGCAGAGGGCGTAGGTGGCGATGAGACGGGAGCGGGGGGAGAGGTCTTGGTAGTCGGGGTTGGTTTGGAGGGCGTTGTAGGCGACGAATTCATTCTGTAGATACGGTTAGGGTTTTGAGGGGGTTATTTGAGATGGAGAGAAGGGTAGGGCGAGGGGTTTACCATGACGAGTTTTGTGCCGATTAGCTTGCCCACTTTGAGGAGATCGCTGTTTCGGGATACGCCGAGGAGGAAGGCGATGGGGTAGCAGAGGTATCCGACGATGAGTTCGATGGTTAAGGGGGGGTTGTTGATGTTCAAGTAGTGGCCCCACCAGGTGAGAAGGCCGTTGATAAGTCCGATCAAAGAGATGATGCAGAGTAGGTTTGCGGCGATCATGCCGGCGATTTTGATCCCTAGCCAGGCGCCGTTGGCAAATGCGTGAAGCGCATTGGCGGCTTTGTGTTCGTCGTCTTCGGGGACGACGACGCGGCCGGCTGTTAGGGTTTCTTCTTCCTCGGGCCAGCGCAGCTTAGATGCCGCTAGAGAGGCGGGAATGCTCATTACGCAGGAGGATACTAGGGCTTGCGGATTGACGCCCATGCCGAGGTAGGCGATGAGGACGGAGCCGGCGATAGTTGCGAATCCGGAACACATGATTTGGTGGACTTCGGCCATGGTGAGATACGGGACGAAGGGTTTGATGAGCATGGCGGATTCGCCTTGGCCGATGAATGGGGAGGCGGCTGCGACGACAGCTTCGGCGCCGGAGACTCTCATGCACCAGAAGAAGAAGATGGCGAACTTTCGGACGGCCCATTGCAGGACGGACGTGTAGTAGAGGAGCTGCACCAGAGAGACGAAGAACATGATGGCTGGGATGACGCTGACCAGGAACCAAGAACTATGTTTCTCAGCCCAGCCAGTTTCAATGAGAAAGTCGACGCCTTGTTCGGCAAAGCCGAGAAGCTCCCGGGCGAGGGTGGAAATGAAGTTAAAGATGTCGTATCCGGCCTTGGTGCGTAGGACAAACAGCGCGATAATGAACTGGACCAGCATGCCAACAATGACAGTGTGCCAGACAATCTTCTTCCGATTGCGAGAGCTAAGCCATAGGGCGAACAGGAAAACGACAAGCCCAAAGAGGCTGACGGCTCTGTCTGCTCGTGTGTTTTCATGCGACTCGGGGGACGCGAAAGCTCCGACGACGATGACGCCAATGGTTATGAGGGCCGCGCCTGGGATGCGAAGCTTTTCTGGCACATAACTGACAGAACGTGAGGCCGTCTGGTTCCACACGAAGAATACTGGTCGCGTGAGCGCTGAGATTGGAACATAGAGGAATATGAGACGCAGGGTGATAGCGAGATAGAGCAGAAACGGGATCAGCCACCCCAAGTCATAGCGATGGAGGATAAGACCAGCGATCCACCATCTGGAAGTGGAATTGGATGAGCTTGCTAGTCTCTGGTGGATAAGATCAAAGGACTCGACTCACCCTGTGAACAGGATCCAGATCCCGGCATATACTACATGTTTGGAGTACCTGGACGCATGGCGGCGATACCATTGCCGTGGATTGTAGTTGATGCCAGCTTCCTCAATATCATTCTCTCCGCTCTGCCGATCCTCTAGTGTGGTCTTCTTCATGTCTGCTATATCAACGACATCACCGTCATTGGCCATCATCGGGGTCCCTGCTGCATGAGCATCTGCAGGCTGAGTTGGTTCGCTGCGAGGCTGAGATATGGTCGTGGTCATCTGGCTGGTCGCCAACGCTTTCTCGTCTGCCATCCTTTCGATGATCGGTGCTGCAGGCTAGAACCAGATTGTCAGTCAGGGCTCGAGGGATAAGAGGCTTTCTCATAATGCTTCTGGAATCTGTCCTCTGGGTAAGGAAATGGTTGCGTGGAAATGGCTCACGAGCGGAGGAGTTAAATGTGTTTCCGGAAAAGCAAACCTAGTTGCGCAATAGCAAAAGAAATCCCAGCTTATCTTGGCCAAGACTATTGCCACATGAGGTTGTACAACATGACTCGGAGGAACCTTATCAATTGGCAAGGGGCATGCGGGGAGACCTCTTGCGTTTGGCTCCAGCCAGGGATGTAGACACGGCGACTCCGGCGGTCGAGTGTTTTACTTTTCCAACCCGGTGTCACCTGGCCTTTTGCCTCCGGTCTTTCAATCCTGTGAATCAGCAGAGGGCTGTTGACATGGCAATATGGGCAGCGGTGCCCGACTGAAACTTTCAATCAGTGGTAGGGGTGAATGGTTAATAGCAGATAAAGACACTTCCGCTTCTCTTGGCAACCTGACCAAGATGCAGAAGCATACTTGAGGGGGAAGGTTTGACAGGTCACATCGTTTTACAATGCCATACTTTCTGTCTAGACGATCCTGTGCGGCGGGACACACGCTTCATCCGAACATCTGCTCTTCAATTAAACATGGCACTCTACTAAGAAGGTGCATTGAGTGGACTTTTGTCCATGGTTTGCCCATACTGTGAAGCACGCAGCATCATCATATAAGGTGGTGCTAAAGGAACCATGGAATGGGTTAAAGCTGGAAGCTTCATTAGGTGGGGAGCAAAGTAGAAACAAGGATACCGCAGAGCAAACAAATGTCATCGTTCAGTAATGCACTGCCGCCTATGGCTCAGTACCGTCTACCAGATTTTAATTCAGAGAGTAAGGCTTGTCAATATCCCATAATAAGCTAGGGTATTGAGGCATTCTACCGTTTTGCGGAGTTCCTTTCTATCAGCTATCTAGCTCTAGTTCAACCCACGGGGTTCATTCATTTAGATTGATGACAGTCCACCACACGAGGCCTATCTGGGGAGGTTTCGACAAGAGCCACGGATCAGAAGACTCGGTGCCGGATTTTGGTGCCTGATGTTATAGTTCATTTATTCATGTTGTTCTAATACTGAGACGGTCGAGCATGTATCAGAAGGCCCTTATTGACTGAGTATGTTTTCTGTGGCAGCACTCTAGAATAATTTTACAGCACCTTCTCACTTGGCCAGCCTTTGCATCCAGCTTAAGAATTAGAAAGGTTCTCGTGGCAATTTGGCATGCCCCACAGTAAATAGTATTCAATGCAGGGCTACAAGTACTCCATAGACAGGGAAGAACCGTGTGCATAACACTAGCACCAAGTGCCGCAGGCCCCAACCAAACATAGCTGGGAGAGGATTCTGCGCCAGGAACACCATTTTCCAATACAGGAATATTTCCTCTGAGTTTTCGGAGCTATACGATGATGCCATGATGGAGCGACCTCTTCCTTTTGCTCGTCTAACGCCATCCGCCTTGGCTCCTCCCCCATCTCATTCCTATTCACCGCAGCACTCACAGCTTCCTTCTTCATCCCTTTCAGGCCCGCCGCGCGTTCTCTGCCACCGCATTCAGACCAACGAGTTCCGATAACGACTCAACCTCTCATCCCTTGTATGAGCCAATCGAGGGTGTCGAGAGATTTGAAAACTACTGCCCGGGAGGCTACCACCCTATACAGATCGGCGATCAGTTCCGCGGTCGGTATCGGGTAGTCCACAAACTTGGTCATGGCTCGTATTCAACGACATGGTTGGCCTATGACAACCAATTGAAACGGTATGCTGCGGTCACGGTCTGTACAGCGGACTCGAAACCAAAGAAGGAGAGCGATATTCTATCAGCCCTCGCCAGCGCCCAACATTCCCCTATACAAAGTGCAGGCGCGACAATGATACCCTCGATCCTAGATAGCTTCAACATCCAGGGCCCAAATGGTGATCATGCCTGATATGTCACGACCCCAGCAAGAATTAGCCTCTCAGGTGCAAAAGATGAGTCCTAGAGCCGCCTATTCCAGCTCGATGTTGCCCGGGCGCTGGCTGCACAGCTGGCCATTGCCGTTGAGTATATACATGCGCGAGGAGTGGTTCATGGAGATCTCCATCTCGGCAATATCCTTCTTAGGATGCCGCCCAAACTAGACCAACTCTCGATTGAGGAGATGTATGGGGAGCATGGAGCACCGGGACTAGAACCAGTGGTTCCTTTGAATGGCAAGGCGCTTCCATCAGGTGTTCCATCCCATGGCATCTTTCCAATATGGCTCGGGGAGGCAAGCGATAAGCTTTCCCTTGCGGAGTCTAGGATTCTGCTCACAGACTTTGGCGAAGCCTTTTCACCTTCAGAAGAAAAGAAATATATTTCCCACACACCCCTGGTAACCACCCCTGGTAACCCAACCCCCCGAAACTCGATTCGAACCAAACCAACCACTATCCTTCCCATCCGACATCTGGACCCTCGCATGTACCATCTGGGATATTATCGGCGAGCGATCCTTATTCGAAGGTTTCCTCGCGACAGAAGACTACATAACCCGCGAGCAGGTCGATACTCTCGGCATCCTGCCCCCCGAATGGTGGGAGAAATGAAAGGCACGGCATGAAACATTCCACGAGAACGGGATACCAAAAGACCGAGAACTTCTTCTAACATGGACTGACCGGTTCGAGGATAGCGTGCAGGAGCCCAGACAGAAGCGTGGGATGCCTGTGTTTGATTCAAGGGAAAGTGAGGCCATCTTTTCTCTGTTACAGTCCATGCTCTCGTTCAGGCCTGAGGATAGACCTACTGCTAAGCAAGTTCTCCGGTCTGAGTGGATGGTAAAGTGGGCTCTTCCTGAATATTGCAGGTTGGAAGAGAAGACTACATGATTGCTGTTACTTGTTCCTTATTGATTCTTGCGACTTTCTCATGGGGTACTGGGGAAGGTGCATGCTTGGCTATATATTCTTGTTTGTTGGATGGCTTCAACATGAGAGGAAAGGATTACTACTACGTGACTGAGGTGATATATAATCTGCAAAAGGGTGATATGTGTTAGTACAGCTTTCACATGGCATTTACTCTCAATTTCAATCAAAGGGGCATTTGCGACTTTGGACGCATCCGGTCTTCGGGTTGCAATGTTACATTGAAGGTGAGGCGAGGATACAAAACCAAGGCACAGTGATAAATATAGAGTGACGTCGACCACCTTACTGAATGGAATACCGCTGCTGTGCTAGAAAATGGTTCATTTGAATCTACCGTGAGGTTGTCGATGCACTCCTGGGGAGTATACAAAAGCTGGATCTGCCGAGAATCCATCATATGGGATGGGTGACCGTTCTTTCCCGCTCAATCACTGCGATTAATTCCGATTGAATAGGAAAAGAAAAAAAAAACTCGTCAACTGAGGCTCTCCCGGCGTGTTGAGGAAAGAAAGCAAAAGGTCGTGCCCGGGATCGAACCGGGATTGCTGGAATCAGAATCCAGAGTGATGACCATTACACTACACAACCTGTTGTTGTTGAAGGAACATCTATCTTTTGCAATATGAGCAAAAAAGTTTGGCATGAAAGAGTGGTATGACCTCATTGTTTCCGGCGGCCTGAGGGGTACCTGAATCTTACTTTCCTGCGGGGAGAGCTGCTCCACCAGTTCAGACCACTGCGCACAGAGCGCTATTTGCACAATATGGAGTCGAACGACACGGAATGGGAAGTCGAGGAAGGAATTCCGCAGGTTGATGATCCTTTCATCCAACAATACCTGCGGGGTCGGGATTCGCTCATTCTGGAGGAGCAAAAGCAGCGACATGGTCAGTATTTAGCCCAACCTGGGTTACTTGGCTCCCACTGATTTTAGTAACCTAGATTTTAATCTCTCCAAGGCTCTGGCACCGATGGCTGCTAGAGCTTGCAAGATTGTTTCCAAGATCCGCGACCGAGAGCTAGACCAAGTGTATGCGCCGGGCACAGATGTCACGTCCCTAGATTGGAATAAGGTGGAGAAGACCGATCTGTGGAAAATTATCAAGCGGATGCCGAAAGGATCTCTTTTGCATGCACCATTGCATGCTGCAATCAATATTGATTTTCTGGTCGAACTGGCCTTCTCTACCCCCGGAATTTGTGTCAATTCAACACAGCCTCTGATGTCTCAGGATGACTTGGATGGGGCGTCATTGCTCTTTCAATACTCATCGGCTTCAGCGAAAGACACAGAAGACAAGCCTACTATGTGGTCAGCTGCATACGAGCCTTCAAGCCTCATCTCATTAGAGAAGGCGGCCTCGTCTTTCCCACGCGGGGGAGAAACCGGGTTTCGTGGGTGGCTGCGTGACTGGTGCATGCTAGCAGGCTGTTCAAATTACCATAGCCGTGCAATGCCCCTCGTCAACTCTCTTCTAAGCTATGAGCCCATATTGCGTGCATGTCTGCATCATGTCTTCTCTCAGCTGGTCGGCGACGGGATTGGATATGTCGAGTTCAGAACCACCTTCAACTTTCCATATCGCAAGGAAGGGAAGGATGCTCCAGAAGAGGATTATAGCGAATGGTGCCGCGTCTTTCAGGAAGAGCTCGCAAAGTTCCAGGAAACGGACGAAGGCAGGATGCTTTACGGAGCACGTATCATATGGACCTGTCTGCGCTCATTGCCGAAGCAACACATCGTTGAGAGTATGAAACACTGCATCCTGGCAAAATATGATTATCCCGATACAATTTCCGGGTTTGACATAGTAGGGGATCAGGGTGATGAGAAGTCGCTTACTGATCTGGTCCCCATATTATTTTGGTTTCGCAAAGAGTGTGCGGGGGAGGGGCTAGAAATCCCATTCTTCTTCCATGCTGGTGAATCTCTGAAATCTGGAGGCCAGACAGACCAGGGGTTATTTGATGCCATATTGCTGGGGACACGGAGAATATGCCAAGGTCTCTCGCTCTGCCAACACCCTTTGGCAATCGAGCTGGTCAAAGAGAAGAAGATACTGATAGAATGCAGCCCAATTTTAGACGAGGCTCTTGGGCTCACGGATAGCATCCAGACCCATCCCCTACCCGTCTTGTTATCCCGTGGTGTTCCCGTCTGTCTAGGTTCTGATGCGCTGGGGCCGCTCGGGAATAGTCCAACCGGGTTGACACGGCAGTTTTGGCAAGCGATTCAAGGAGTTGGTAGTATGGGTCTTACGGGCCTCGCGATGATGGTGGAGAACTCCATCCGGTGGAGCTGCTACCAAGATCAGCCCCCGGCGGAGTGGCTGTCCGATCTGCGGGAAGGGATCTTGGGGGAAGGGAGGAAGGCTGGCCGGTTGCAGGATTGGTATGCCGACTTTGAGAGCTTCTGCCAGTGGATTACGGTGGAATTTGCGGAGGCGGAAGTCGATGAACAAGATTGACTTTATCCAGTGGAGGTATGCACATACCTACCAGCCGGACAATCCCTTTTTCTGCCTACAAAGAAAGGGGGATGGAGGCCTACTGAATTATGTAACCAACGGCATGCCGAGATGAGTCAGGGCGATGATGCTAGTCCACTAGTTCTGCAACGCAATAACGGTTTCAGCCTTTCAGGAGGGGACCCTTGATCGCAGCAGTTGCATAGTATCTACAAAGTACGAGTCTGACTAGTCGTCGATGGCATGGAATTTAGTGTACTCCGTAGAGAATATTGGAATCTGATCCACATCCTAGTGACCAGCAACATGCCGGTTGATGCACGAGTTCGTTCGGAGGAGAGGGTTGGGAGGCAGAGAGCGAATGGCAGCCGGGGATTCACGAGTCACCTTCGATCGGGGCTCGGGGACAAAAGAGTTACTGCAGCATGAAGACCGTTGAATCGTTCCTCTACCGGTGTTATTGTTGTTTTCATTTTTTTTTTCTGCTTTTTCCTTTTCCCCCTTTCCGCCGTAGTTGCTGATGTGATTTGCCCTTCTGTCATCGTTGGCCCGAGGCTAGACAGAGCCAGACACTGATGAACGAAGCACTCTCCTGCCATGATTCGATCGTTACCTCAGCCAGTTGTTCTGGACCAACCCGATTTCTTGTGGACAATCCAAACCCTCCATGAAGCAATAATTTCGACGTGGGTGTGAGTTGTCAAGGCGTGATTTGGGGGGGACCGGCCCAAGCTCCGCCTGACTATTGCGGTTGATCTTCGCTATCTCTCCTCACTAGCGCCTCCATCCCCGAACGTCATTCTTCCCCCCCGGCACTCGAGCAAACCCTCCGCGTTTGTTTCCGACAACTGTTGTGCTGGTGCCTGTCTAGGTGCAAGGCATCTATCCTACTGCATCTCATCCTCTTTCTTTCTTTTCCCTCTCTCGTTTTTGTTGCCTTATTATGTTCATGCTCAGATGATCGCTGCCGTCTTTAAGTGAGCCCCCGCCGGCTCCTTTGCCCCCAAAATGGCCTACTTCTTGCCGTCGTTCTTCCAGAAACGATTGCTTCGATATGCGTTGTCTCGACTCGAACTCGTTGATACCGAGGCTTTGGATCTCGATAGCCTCGGTATTCGTTGGGGACAGCGAAGTACTGTCGAACTACGAGATATTGGTCTGAGGCTGGAGGTGAGTAACGTGCCGATGATCTTCACTGGTTCCGATCCGCTGCTGGTCACCGTTGGTTTCGCATGTGTCATATGCTGATTACAATGGCTGTTCCGAACAGAAACTAGCTACGCTTCTTCACCTGCCCCCCTCAAGCGAGCTCCTGAGTGCCCGTGTCCGTTTCTTGCAACTCACAGTCCCCGCGGATATCTACAGCAGCGGTATCATCTGCCACGCCAGCGGTATCGACGTACATCTGAGACTGCTTTCGGAGGAGACACGCCATGCTGGACAAGGCGAAAGGCCAACGGATCCTGATGTGAGGCATGATTCGGGCGCCGACCCGATCATCCCTAACCCGACCGATCTTGCCCAGTCCTTCCTCCAGGCTGAGCCGAAGGAGGAAAAGGAAGAGCTGCAGGCTGCTATATCGTCACAATCGCAGGTTCTCCAGCGTACACACCCATCCACCAGCGACGATGAGGAGGAGCTTGGTCTTGGGAATGAGACCGTTTCTTTGCCCAGTTTCGTGGCTGCGTTCCTCAAGGGTGTCGCAGACCGTCTGCAGGTTCAGGTGGATGATATATCCATCCGAGTCGATGTCGAAACCAAACCAAACGGACCGCTGAAGAGGCAGCAGGAGGGAAAACCTGACATGATCACAGGACTCTTGAGCGTCGGACAAGTCAAGGTGGATGCGGTGACCTCACCTTCAAGTACGGATGAGACGTCATCACGGAAGCCGCGACGGTTGATCTCCCTCTCCGACATCAACATCGCCTTGATATCAGAACCCGTCGTGTTTTCCAATTATTCACGGTTTGCTGCTCCGGCGTCCCCAGACACTTCATTGCAGCCGAAGTCGAGCCGGCCTCCCAGCCGGGACTCGTCTCCGTCTGAGCACACATCCGATCATGATTCAGCTCTTGAAATGACGAGGTCGACTATCTTTGAACCTTCTCGTGGGATTACCGAGTCTAGATTAATCCAGCATAATGCGCCCGAAATGGAAGGGTCGGTGTGCACCTATGATGGTAGATTCTCGGACGCAGACACAGAAGACGAGGCCAGGAGTTATGGTTACATGGAGGATTCGCAGAACCTCTCAGATGATGAGAAGTTGCTGGACAATCCTGCGTATCTTGACTCCGTGATCAACTCACATCTCCAAGATGATGATCTCGATGGCCTAGATAATATTTCGCCGGAAGTTGGTGACCGTGTTCGGGACAGCGGCGATACCCCGCGCCTTCTGAGCCCAGAGTTGCACACCATTGGACCAGCATCGCACTTCAGTGATACACAGAATGCTGTGATCCTTGCACCTAGGTCACAGGCACTGGAGGTTGGTGGTTTCGCCCAGGACAATCTACATCCTCCTGGGGCGGTCGCTGGTAACGCTCGACCGGCGTTGGCCGAGATCGACTCGGATGTTGTTCACAACTTGGAGCCAGATGATCGGCTGTCGCCTCTTGCCTCTGTACCCCCTTCCGAAGCGGGTAGTTCAAGTTCAACGTCTGGATCTTTCGATCAAGGAGAGCTCTCCGAGTCTAGACTCTTTTCTAGCGAGGAGGCACAGAGTATGTATATGAGTGCTATAAGCCATGATTCTATGTCTCGAAGCTTTATGCCAAACATCCCTGGTGCCTGGGATTCACCAGAGTCTACGGTGATCAGGGATTCGAATGCTCATGTGCACCATGTAGACCAGCGCGACGTACAACCGGACCACGATCATGAGGATGATGAGGAGGAGACTATCGCCACCCCCAAACTTACTGCTCAGGCAAGGTCGCACGTCTCTCAGGACTTCCTCATGGACGATTCCCCGAAGGCACAGCCTGATCTGACCGACCAAGGATCTGCTCAGGACTCACCAGAGCCGAATAAGCTCCCGGATGTGGCAAGGCGCTTCTTCAGCATCGATAAGATCCTGATTTCAATTCCCTCTGGGGAGGAAGATAGCGACACCGCGGACGACGCATCGTCCGTGCACCAAGATGAAAAGGAAACTTTCGGTTTGGATGAAACGACAGCATGCTTGCGCGACTCTGCTACTGCAAGCGACCTGGCCGCTTTTAATACACACGCCCCTACACGAAGCCGTAGCGATACAATGAGACCATTTCCTTCTGGGAAGGAGGGCGCTGAGAAGAGGTCATCGCAGCTTCCCCAGGGGGATGAGCAAAGGCCACGGTCTAGCCGCAGTTCCAATAACATGGAAATTGAGATATTCTCGGCGGAAGTTCAATTTGACATTGCCATCGGCTGGCTTGTGATCAAAATTGGACAGCGAATTCTCCAAGCATTTGGGAATGACAGCGAGGCTACCCCGAAGAAGGGTCGTGCGCAGGAGCACGTGCAGGAGCGGCAGGCAGTCAAGCTGGCTCTCAAGAATTTCTCAATCAGATTTGTTGAACATGTTCCAGGGCACTCCTACCCTATTGAAACGCATAATCCAACATTCTTTGGGCTGCTGCATGACGATATCTTGCTGCAAGCATGCATTTCGGGCTTACAAGCTCAGCTTTTGACGGACAAAGATGTCACCAAACTTCACCTTAACATAAAGAAGTTTACCCTTGGGTTTGCCTCTGAGCATCTAATCTCGTTCAGCGAAGAGTCCAAGATGCGCGACTCTGTCAGAGACATCTCATCAGCTGAGCCGGGGGATATCGATTTTTCCATTAAGAAATACCCTGGTACCACCACGGTCAACCTCATGACTCTTCCTCTACAGCTTAGTTTGAACGTCCAGCGACTGGAGGAGGTTATCGGTTGGGTTGGCGGGTTGAGCACCATTTTGGAACTTGGAAGCTCGATATCATCGGTTTCAACCGGAAAGGGACCGAAAAAGGAACCTCCGAAGCGTCCTCGTGGGGTACACTTTGAAGAGTTTCCGCCACCGGCAGCTGCGGAGCAGACCGACTCGGCACCTCTGAAGGTAAATGTCAGGATCGGGGGGGTTTCAGTCGACGTTATCGGAGAGACCCACTACATCAGGTTGAGGACAACTGCTGCCAAGATTGTTAGCAGGCCTAAATTCATAGCAGTGCAAATAGACAAGGCCACATTGGCTGGCCCGTTGCCTCTGGATGATGCCCGGGACGCCCCCGCCAACCTACGCCTGGCCGACATCAGAGTCGAGTACCGCTTTACCCCGAAGGAAGAGGATTTGGATCGGCTACTCGGTTTGATCACCCCATCAAAGGACAAATACGACGAGGATGACGATATCATGCTGGATACACTCTTCCGCCAGCGGAAACAGGGTTCTGTACTTTGTGTTACAGTCGCCGAAGCCAAGGTTGTTGTTTCCCGAACCACTGACTTGGAATCCATTTCTCAACTTGGGGAAGAGTTGGGCAGGCTATCGACTGTCACAAAATATTTACCCGAAGATGACCGCCCTGGTGTTCTGATTCTCGCGTTAATCCGTGAGTTTGAGGCCCGGGTACATATTGGTGGGGAAGTGGGTGAGATGACCGCAACTCTTCAGGATGCGGAAGCAGCATATATCAGCCTGCCTTCGCTCATTGCCGCGCAACTGGGCTCCATAGCGGTTGTCAGGAATAGGACCGAAGAGCTTGTGGGAGACGCATCGGCAATCATTCGGGCCCCGAGCTTGAACCGGTCTCCGCTTCCAGTTCTGATGGCACGCTATATTGCGGATGAGATGGACCCCACAGTCAAAGTGAAATTGCACAACTTCCGCGCGGAATACACGCTTCCCTCCATCATGGCTTTCCTGGGGCTAAGTGACGATATGACTACTGGGGACATGGCTGCCAACATGGCAAGCTCCTTGGTCAATCTGGCTGAGCTACAACCTGTACACCAGGACTATCGATCGTCCTTCAAAGAGAGCAATATCGACACACCTCCGAAGCCCATCAAGTTGACAGTTGATTTGCGAGACTGCGTGCTCGGACTTAACCCGCGTGGCACGGCCGCAAAAGGCCTCGTCGTCCTCACGAACGCTAAATTTTCTGGGGCGATACATGACCCCGTGTCTTCAGACGCCACCTTGGATCTCCGGAAAGCGTCTGTTATGATAATAGACGATGTGAAAAATGTGGGCTATACAGATAATCTGCACCGAAGGAGTTCTGCTCCCCCCCAAAGCAACCAAGTGCAATCTCTGATCGATCACGGCTTTGTGCCAGTTTGCTCAATATCTGCGGCCACGGCTACTGTCAAGATAATGCGCCTAAGTGACGACGGAATGAAGTCTCTCGATGTGGAGTTGAGGGACGATCTGCTGATCTTGGAAACTTGCGCCGACTCGACCCAGACTCTTATAAGCATAGTGAATGGGCTGCAGCCTCCAACTCCTCCTAGCGCGGCTAAAAAGTATCGCACGGAGGTTCTCCCCATACAGGATATGCTATCATCCTTTACTGGGGATGCCTTCGTTGCAGACATGCCAGAGGGCTCTGAATTGTCGGATTCCACTAATCGCATACCGGGGGAGGGGCATCTGGAAGATGAACGTGACTATGTGAGCGACTTTCAGCATGTGACGCCAGGCTCAGATCATGGCCTTACGACGGAGGGTATGGGGGCTTCGGGCTCACATGAACTTCTTGATAGCTTCCACTCCCAGTACTATGTGTCATCCAGTGTCTCTGACCTGGACTTTCGCGAGGACCACTTCGCGCAACAGTCTGCGGTTGGCGGCACCGCCCACCGCTGGGATTCCACACAGAACACCTATGGGCTTTCTGATGACTCCAAACTCCAAAGAAGTCCGTTGCGAATCCGGGTTCGTGATGCCCATATCATTTGGAACCTGTTTGACGGGTACGACTGGCAGCGAACAAGGGATACTATAACAAAAGCGGTCAAAGATGTGGAGAGGAAGGCCATCGAACGGCGTGCACGGTCTGGCAGTCGGGCATCTCCTAGCTTTGATGAGGAAGAGGAGTCTGTGATTGGAGACTGTTTGTTCAACTCCATATATATCGGGATCCCGGCCAATAAGGATCCCCGTGATATCCGCAATGACATTAACCGCAACATCGACGATCTTGTTAGTGAAACGGGTAGTTATGCGACTACGACGACTGTCACGGGGGCCACAGTACGGCAAGGCCAACCGCCCTCCTTCCGAGGAAAGAAGCTGCGTTTGTCGCGAAGCAAATACCACAAGATGACATTCGAGCTCAAGGGCATCTGTGCGGACCTGGTCGTTTTCCCGCCCGATTCTGGGGAGACGCAGAGCTCCCTGGATGTCCGGATCAACGATTTGGAGGTATTCGATCATGTGCCCACTTCTACATGGAAGAAGTTTGCCACATACATGCATGAAGCGGGTGAGAAGGAGAGTGGAACAAGCATGATACATCTGGAGATCTTGACCGTTCGGCCGGTGCCGGAACTCGCTGCATCGGAGATTGTTCTCAAAGCGACCATTCTTCCCTTACGGCTGCATGTTGATCAAGATGCTCTGGATTTCATCTGTCGCTTCTTTGAGTTCCGAGACGATTCGACGCCCACCCCAACTGCTCCAAGCGATGTTCCGTTCTTACAGCGAGTTGAGATCAATGCGGTTCCTGTCAGACTGGACTTCAAGCCCAAGCGGGTCGACTACGCGGGGCTGAGGTCGGGTCGTACCACCGAGTTTATGAATTTCTTCGTCTTGGATGGGGCCGACATGACCATGCGGCACGTCATCATCTACGGGGTGTCAGGATTTGATAAACTCGGCCAATCGCTCAATGACATATGGATGCCCGACATCAAGATGAACCAGCTTCCAGGTGTTCTGGCTGGCCTAGCTCCTATTCGGTCTTTGGTCAACGTTGGAGGAGGGGTCAAAGACCTCGTGGTGGTTCCCATGCGCGAATACCGGAAAGATGGTCGCATTGTACGAAGCATCCAGAAGGGTGCCCTGTCTTTTGCCAAGACCACCTCGAATGAACTCGTCAAGCTGGGAGCCAAACTTGCAATCGGGACTCAAACGGTGCTGCAAGGTGCCGAGGATCTTTTAACCACTCCCAGTGCGCCAGGGATGGGCCCAGACGAGGAGTATGGTGACGATGAAGAGGCCAAGAAGATATCCCTGTATGCGGACCAACCAGTTGGCGTGGTGCAGGGCCTTCGAGGCGCATTCCGGGGATTGGAGCGCGATCTACTTCTGACACGGGATGCTATCGTGGCCGTCCCTGGGGAAGTCATGGAAAGCGGGAGCGCCAAAGCCGCCGCGAAAGCTGTCTGGAAGCGCGCTCCTACCGTGGTTCTCCGACCCGCCATTGGTGTTTCCAAGGCCGTGGGACAGACGCTGCTGGGGGCTGGGAACACATTGGACCCAAGCAACCGGCGAAAAATGGAAGACGTGAGCAATTCCCTCCACCCCCTCCGCATATGAACCCTACGCTAACCCGAGTACAGAAATACAAACGCCACTAAACTCTTTGACATGGCGACATCACTTGGCAATACACTGCGCGTTATTTCCTTCTCCTGGGTTGGTTTTGGAGCATAGGATAATTGACACATCTACCTAAAGCAGGTCACACATCACCTGCGGGCAGGTAACCGTACCTGAGATTGAACTACTAACGATGACAACGACGGATGATTCTCTGCTTCGTACTACTACCCCCCATTCTGTTTCCCCATGTTCTTTTTTATACAGCCACAATTTTGTTCCAGCATGGCTTGGTGTTGGATGTTCATATTTTGAGATCTGGAGGGGTCTGTTTACTGAGATTGGATCACGTATGGTTTGGTGGTGAGATTGGTAGACTGGATGTGGAGATATGTGATATGAAATTACTTTCATATTGGATAGAACCTTTCTCCCCTTGTTGTAATGATGATGTTTGCTATACTATTCACTTTACCTTTAAATATAGTCAGCGCCCTTTAAGAATATAGCTAGTGAGCCTTTTTTTCCAAGAACAGAAAGGCTGACCTCCCTCGACGGAGGTACAGTCACGGGATTGAATATTGACCTATTTTTGATCCTACAGGCCAGCCAGTCCTTTTGAACTCTAGGGAGCCGATAGCAATGAGGGTTGGCCATGTTTCTAATGCTCTAATGGCCAATGACACGGGCAGACTTGTGCCGCCGGGGGTGAGGGTTATGGTGGTGGTGGTAGTGGTCCAAGTCCACGTGTTTCCCGGAAGTGACATTGAATATCCCCCTAGCTGAAGGTTGTATATAGCTGACTGCGCAGAAGCCGATCGACGTTGGGAGAGCCAGTGTGGGATAATGAGCTGACATGGGCTATTCTTCAGGTCTCACCGGTCTTTGCTATCTCTATTGTTACTGATATGTGTGCTTCGACCTTCCCGGAACCGGCAGTCTTTTCGCAGGCGTCCGCACCTGGAACTGGTGAGCCAGCCGGACATTCACACTCTCTGATGGTTCCCTCGTTGCAGCTTCCCGTAGCTCCATGGCGAAAGCACCATATCTTGGCCCTTGCGCAGTTCTGACAGGTTTTCACGGAGTTACTGGAATATCTGCCCTTCTGACGGGTAAGCTCACTCCCGCCAAGGTGAGCCATCGTAGAGGTTCTCCGCAGTAGAGTTCGCGCAGATTTGGCGACAGAGCAGCAGTGTCCTAAAGAAAAACAAGGTAGAGCGGTTCAGTTTGATTCAGAGCGTAGACCGAGGAGCCCATCGGCGGGGCGGAGTCATCACCCGCCAGCAACGCTGACGCCAGACCTCCAAGGTTCCTTGGCCCGACAGCGCAGGATCAAAGTAACTCGAGTAAATAGAAATCATAGTGTCTACTCCAACTGGCAGCCCGTGTAGTGTCAGGTATTCGTAATGCTACCGTGGTTCGTTTGAAGTGTAGGAGCTCAAGTGCCTACTGGGTCCACTGCCAGTCCAGAACCGTATCTAAAATTTCGAAATCATCTCTTGTCTTAGGTATCCCTCGTGTTGGTACCACCGACTGGCGAAGGGAGAAGAGGGGAGACAAAGAAAAGGCGCCCCAGAAGTCGGTCAAAGACGGAAACTGCAGCCGTTCCTGTTCGGGATCGGAAATCGCTCGGGACCGGGCCACAAGTCAAAGCTGCTTCTCCGAAATGGTTCATGGTTCGCATGGCGGAGTCGTAGCTTAAGGTTTTGGGCGGTGGTAGCTTATTTATAAGAGTTGGTTGCCAAGGTGGTGCAAAACTAGTAGTTTCACATGCAGCGGTCTTCAATCTAGCAATCTCACCCAGGACTTGTTCGGCGATAGGAGACGCGCATGTGTACTCAACCGTTCTCAATCCTCCGTGTCAGTTGTTTCATTCGCAATGCCATTAGCATGTCGTTTCTTTCGGCTGGCCATAGCAGATATTGCTATAGTAGGTCGAGTGAACTGCTCCGCCATTTCCATCAACAGCACGACACTTTCTGACGACCAGTTTAAGAGTGATGTAGCGTATCTGATTCCCCGTTGAAGTGCGAGATGGCCATGTGTTTTGGCGTGATCCCCGAGCAGGAGGCACGCAAGGGATGACTCCGATGACCGATAGAGATTGAAAGAGACACGTATCTATCCATTTATGGAGATCAGCCATACCAGCAAGGCCGGTTCGGAACTTTGACTGTTATGCGTTGATAATATGATGTCGACAGTTCTCGGATATCGTAGAGAACCAAAGTGGTTGGGAGAACTCTTTGAAGATGAGGTGAACTGCCATGCATCCAATAGTACGGAGTAGAGCCTGAATGTCCACAAAGGGCTGAAGCACAGTTCTCCACCGGTCATTGGCTCAACCGTTCGTTGACCGAGTCACAGCGAAATGGCTCCGCCTAGACCTTCTCGCCTCAGAATACTGGATGCACCTGGTCATAATCCGGGGTTCTCCGACAACGTTCCACCAGAGTTGTCCACATTTCACCACCGCACTCACGGGACAGGGCCTTGATAGGAGGCCTGAGAAACAATAAGTCGTGCCACGGCTCAATCGCTTTGTGAAATATTGGAAGGGACTCGGCTCTACAAGGGCGATCTTGATGACGATTTCAGTCTTTCCGCCCAGCTAACGTAGTTCGATAGTGATTTTCCCCGTGGCTCATGAGATGGCGGTCGTGGTTCTGTTGGCCAAATGCCACGCTACAATAGGTCGGGGAAAGAAGATCCAGACGCGATCTGTAAGCAACCCGAGCGAAAAGTGCAACAGCCTCTGCCGCTAAACCCCAGTCGCTTTGTGGTTTCGATCACTGAACCTCCAACGGACATGCTCTGGCGATTAAACGAAAAAGCGGTACAGAATAGAACGGGACGAATGCCTGGAAGAAAGATGGTGGATCCGAACCGTCAGCCTCATTGAGCTGAAAGGGATCCATCATAGCCACATGTGATGTATGGAAAGTCAAATCGGCCGGCAGATTGGATGCATTGGACGTATAGGACCCGGTAGGCTGCCTAGTGTGACTGGCCACATGAACGGGCGGAATGAACGATCAAGTCAAATATAGAACCGGGCTGGCTGGCCTGGCTGGCAGGGACTGGCAGTGACTGGCACTCAGTGACTGCGCCCGACTTGAAACAAGTGTGCTGGATCTGCTGATTGGCCGGGGGGGGAGGGCGATCGGGGAAAAGACGGCGGGCGAATGAATGGCCGGGATGGATTCAGGGTTGAAACAGGATCTTCAGGAATGTCTGATGTCGGTTACCTGGGAAGTGTTCAAGGGGCATGGGAGGAGGAGGGGATCATCTGGATGGATCGTGTGTGTCGTCAACGAGGCAAGGAGGGAGGAATGAGCCGACCGGAGTTCGCTTGTCCAGGTCCTCCGTTGACTGACTTTTGGATCTTTCATCCTCCGTACTTCCACTTCCACTTCCTGCAACGCCTGGTGGATCCACCACCACCAAGGAAGTTGGAACTAAGGAAGGCCACGCAGTCGGTGCCCAAGTGGGCTGGACTGGTCATCTTGATTTTTGGGAGAAATCCACTTGAGACTTGAGAGGCCTGGACCCTGGCCCAGTGATTGGCTGCCATGCACGTCAACTGCAGTTTGACCTGGCAGTCAAGTGACGCTCACTGCCCGCTGCTGCTTTTTATTGCTTCGCTTCTCTCCATCCCTCCCCGGCTGGCTCATTTCAGGCTTCCCTTTCACACAGTCCAGGTTGTGGTCGTGATTGCCGTGCACTAGATCGCCAGGAGCGATCGGGATACAAAGTACTATTACTACTGACTCCGTCCGGCAGGTATACTTCCTACCCGAACCGGTCAATTGAGACATCCTGTCTCGCTTTAATTTCAACCAACGTGCAGGAAACATGCGGATAACACCGTTGCCCTGCTACAATTGATCAACACCCCCCCCCCCCCCCCCCGGTGGTGGTGTCAACATAATCCCCAAAACAATCCTCTTGTGCTCAATGCAACTACCCATCATACCCCGGCGGTCTTCTTCCTCATTCAACCTCTTCGGCTGGTTCTCAGGTACCACTTTCCACCTTCTGTTTCGAGCATCAGTCAATCGGGTTCGGGGATGCCTGGCGTGGCGATAACCATGGACGTCTGGTCCTCCGGCCATGGATCTCTACACCCCCAAGCCGCCATGAACTCAATTTCGACATCATCAATTCCTCCCGGTCTGGACCCTGACCCTCTGCAGTTATCAGCCACGAGTCCGGCCATATGCCAGGCAGCATACCCGGGAACGCTGTCACTCCACAACTATCGCAAACAACTCTCCGACGCCGATCCCTTCATCCTCGAGAGCCAGGAGGGAAAGATTCTGAGACGAAAGAACGCTGCATTGCATCTCAACCAAAACCCAATGTATCCGCTTCACTCCGCTCATCCCTTCTCGGTGTCTTCGATGGCATCGAGCCCTCCCCCGCTCTCGCCATCGTACTCTCCAAGCGCTATGAGTGAGCAGGGCCCAGAGAGTCTTCATGGATTTGTTTGTGAGTGATCCCAATTGCACCGGTAAACGTTCCCGAATTGATTAGCGGGCTGATTGCGGTTCCAGTGTCTCCGAATGTAGAAATGCATTCCTTGGACAGTCCGATATACTCCAAACAAAACCCACACAGACTATTAGTAAGTGAACCCAGCAAGTGAATGCATCTCTTTTCCTAACAGATGTGTTTAGGACACATTTCGTGATCGATTGGAGAAATACCCAGATTCGAACCCCGACCAGGATGGCTCTCTCCATAGGCACACCAGAACCCGCTCAGATTCCATGCTGTTGAACATGAAGAAACGAACTGCAACCGTGATCGACCATGGCACTTCGTTTGAGATTATCAACCCGCATGAATCGCTCAACTTCGCTCGAATAGTCTCATTCATCGAGGATGTCGACACCTATTCATCCCGAGGCTCGACCGGCAATCACCGAGAATCTTATATAGAAATGGCCAATGATGCACTTGTCATCCCGGAATACGAACATCGGCAGAGCCTTGCACCGATAGACCCAGCTCCGGAGCAAGACGAAAAGCAAGTCCACGACGAGCTTGTCGGCGATGCTCCGCACCAGCCTATGCCATCCATCTCAGAGCGCCTCGAAACCAACGACTCTGACGACATGGAATCAAGATACTCGCGGTCCCCACGGCACACCAAACACCGGCCACCGCCCCTGCGACCAAGAGCCTGGACCGACGAGAGCGACCTGGGGGAACCCGGTTCACCTATCTGCGATGACGCGGTTTATCCATCACCCATGTCATTCCAACGTCCATCCACATCCCCCTTCCCGATCGAACACCAACCATCACCCGTTCCACACCCAGCAGCATACTATGATATGAATCTTTGGCAAGGAGCCTCCCGCTTCCAAGACGGACATGGCCTGCCTCATCCTCTGTACTCGAACCCACCATCGCCCTACGCAAGTCCACTGTCATTCCCCGCACAACATGAGGCCCCCAAACTCCACATCCATCACAACATCTCCAAGCGATCTCTCGAGAATCGCAAGAAAAACAACAAGGCGAAAGCCGGTCCACTGAACCCTTTCAAGCGATTATACAGCCTGTTTCGGAAGAAACGGCGATAATCGTTCCAATCACGCACCCACCAATCTTCGCTCCTTACCTTCGGCCCCTCACCGCTTCTTCCTTTCTTTTCTCTACTAGCCATTGGCACTCTCCCTTCTACACCCCACTATCCCACTTTCTTTACCCCCGTCTGCTGCTTACAGTACCTGCCTTATCGTCTGCATGTGCATATGCACCTTGGGTACATGCAGACATGCAGTAATGATTGCCCGATTCACTGACTGATTGATTACCTCATGAGCCACTTATCCCCCACCTATCTATCTATGCATGTCTACAGGTTCTGCTGTTGTCCGACGTCCTTTGACAGGAACCCCACGGACTTACTTTCTTTGTCGATATTGCATCCGGGTTATGTTGCAAATAGATCTTCCTTCTTCATTGCTGTTACCCCCCTCGCATATTCTGCTATGCTATGCTATGCTGTACTACCTATGGTTACCACTACTACCAAAATTGAAACACAAAACAGGCTGAAACCATACCTGAACAAATCGCTTAGTTTATCCTCAGAACTCCGCTAAGAAATGAATATTTACATCGGTGTCAAGCTGACTGCACAGAATATAACGAACACGAAACCCAAACGGAAAGACAACGTAGGACAAACAGTAACACTAACCGGTTACACAATCTGGGTATCTTTCTTTCAACATGCACAAAGCCGAACCCGGAAAGATGATAGGTGAACGAATCAAATCCGAAACAATACCAAGAGATACAACGAAAGATACATGATCGAAAAGAGAAGAGATAATAAGTAAAAGTCTTGATAAGAAAAAGGTATTTCAAAGAAAAAAAAGGAAAAAATAAGGTGATAGATAGAAGAGTTAGGAAGGTAATAAGATATAGTTTGAGAGGGGTGGAGAGGATTACTCCTCCGGCCCCTGTTCCACCATCGACGCTAGCGCCGCACTCACAAGGCTCTTGCGTCTCAGGCCCTGCTCACCCTTCTTGTGCATATCACGCGTCGAGCTGTGGTAGCTCTTTTCGATGCGATGCGACGAAAGTGCACTGACGCTGCTCTTCCGTCGGGTCCGGGCCTCCGACGCAGATGTATCCGAGGCTTGGTTGCGAAATCGGTTGCGTGAAAGAGTCAAGGCGCGGCGCCGTGGCGAGGACTGCGGTGGCAAAGAGCTGGGGTGGCAGTCGTCTTCACAGATGGAATCCCTGCACATGGCTGATCGCATGACCTCGTCATCAGACACGAGGGCACGGCGGATGGACTCGACGTCAGATTGGTTGCACTGCAGCCGGGAGATTTGTTGCCGTTGAGCGCGGACACTCCAAGCGTCTGGGCCCCCAGGTCCCGGGGCAGCGCTGAGATCCATATTGTCGGCCGGAAAGTCGGCCGGAGCGGAGGTCGGGCTCAGGAATGGCGAATATGACTGGGGAGAAAGTGACCCCGAGGTCAAGGACTCATCATCGTGGTCGGTGTCTGGGGGTGTCAGGACATAACCGGGGAACTTGCTCGAGATGCCCAAATCCGACGGGGTCGGGGACGCAGGCCGATCAAAGCGTCCCTCATCGGATTGGATCCCATTTTGATTCTGAAGGGTATGCTCGTGGAGTTTCCTCGTCAGCGTGCTGATGGAAAGCCGCTTGTGGTCGTAGGCGGAGAGGGGCACGGAGGTAGGCGGCTGAGCGGAGCGGAAGTATGATGAGCGTGAGCGAGGTGCAGACCGAGGAAATCGCTGTGAACGAGGCGATGGACAGCGCGAGGACATGGGGGAAATGAGAGCACTGTCACTGTCCACCATAAGGCGGTCATCGCCTTCGAGCGCCAGCCGCGAGGGTCTGGTGGACGACGGCGACGAGAAGGAAAAGTCCTCGAACATGATGACTGGTTTGGACAGGAGTATTGAGATTGAGGCCTGTTTATCTGGACCGGGTGGGTGGAATGGAGACGATGGTCAACGGATAAGTTATCTGGACATAAGGGGCAGGACTATGAGGGTCGGGGAGCGTGTTCCTGGCTCAATATAAGGTGAAATCCCAGTGGCCAATTCCCGTGGAGGGTGAAGAGAGAGGGGGGTTTCTGTTTTGTAGCCCGAGGGTTAGAGTGAAAAAAATTAAAAATAAAAAATAGTAAAAAGAGGGTAAGAAGGAACGGATTAGGCGCGTAAAGCAACGGGCGAACCTTGGGATGGATTGGAGGGACGCCGTGGGGAAGCCCAGGGAATCAATCAACGGCAACGGTTGGGGTGGACCGGAAAAGGAGAAAGGAGAGAGAGGACGCTGGCTGGGTCATATCGGAGCAGTAAAGGAGACGGTGATGGTAATTGTGCAGGCCCCTTTTTCATTATTGCTTTTTCTCGCCATGGCCAGGACGAGCCAGCTGGATAACCGTGCACGTCTGGACTCTGGTCGACTGGCGACTTTGGAGAATCCCAGCGGAAACACCAGAAGCAAGAAAAAGAGGGGGAACTTCCAGAATCGAATCCAGAACCGAACGAACGACGGAGTCCGCCATCAACTTGCTAGCCTCATCAAGACTAGCGCGGCGGCTCCTCGGCGCTTTGTTTTTCCTCCGCCCCGGCCTCGCTCGCCTCTTTTCCTCTTCTCTCTTCCTCTCCTCCTCTCTTCGATCCTACTCCTCTTTCTTCCATCTCCTACATCTACATCCGGTGGTTGCTTCTTCCGTCGATGGACGTCAAGTCTCCCCAAACTCGTCCTGATTTCACCTTGATCAGTGACTGTGGCTGACACATGAAATGGCTCCCCGAGCCAAAGAATGGCAACCCAGGCCGGTCCGGACTCGCCAGTCGCCACATCCACCCGCCCACCCGCCTAATCCTGGATATGGCCTAGGGCCTCCCGGTTGCATTCCGCAGACCCGTCCAGCGTGTCTCAGACTCTCCGGCCTTCTCGCCACCCACTCGGTTTAACTTTCCATCTACTCGGCATATCACATTGATCCTGCCTAGGAGTACATGCCAACTCTATCTAATCGACATCGGCCAACTAGTCGCCGTTGTGCCTTGCCCGTCACCAACGTTAATACCTACACTTAGCTTCGCAATCCTGACATTGATGACGCCGTGCCATGGTAGTGAGCACGACCGTTGTCTCAATTGGCTGTTCGTTTACCTCTTACGACACTGCAATTTCTCTTCTTATGTCATGCCGTAGTTAGTCAATGTATGCCGACTTCTACTAAAATGGCTGGGCTTACAGCTCGGCGTGGTCTGAAATAAACTCCGCGTGGTCTAACGCTAAATACGGAACAACTCTTTTCCATCTTAACCATGATGAGGTCTTTATTTTTCATAAAATGTGTATATTTTCAGTATACTGAAAATATGCACAAAATATGCACATTTTAATCCTAAGTTTAGAGTGTTTAAACCCTAAAAAAAACTCCCTTATAAAATACCCTAATAAATATCCTAAATACCCTAAAATCCCTAAATACCCTAAAAAAGTTCTGATATAGCTTATTATAGGCTCATCGTGGTCTAAAACTAAGATTCTTGACTATGATGAGCTTTTGCCAAGAACAGGTTCGGCGTGGTCTGAAATAGGCGGTAAGGTAACTGGCAGAATGTTAGACCATGCTCACCTTTTTTCAGACCACGATGAGCTGCGACCCGAAAATGGCTTCCGCAATCACTATATTATCCATCATCCAGGCCCTTGAACCCGGAGGACACTCGGGTCTTCCAATGGCATAATAATGTGGGAGTTCTTCTCGGACAAGTCAATTTTCATTACAGGAGGCACGGGCTTCCTGGGCACCGTATTGGTCTTGCGACTGGCCTTGCAGGCCCACCCGAAACGTGTATGCCTTCTTTGTCGGGGAGGCAAGAAGTAAAGGACCTTACCTAGCCCCATTAAGTTCGATCTCCCTGCTAATCTTGTTAGTCGGGCAATACAAAAATGGCGCGAAATTCTTCCAGAGCCGCTCGCAAACATGCTGCTCTCTGCCGGGTTCATCACGTATCTGGACGGCAATATCAAGCATCCGAGCCTAGGCCTAACAGACACCTCGCTTATAGCCCTTGAAAAAGAGACAGAGATCATCATTCACGCCGCCTCACCCATCAACCTCGTGGACCCGCTGGGCAAACTATCCCAAAGTATCATCGGCGCTACAGAACGGCTCGCCCACATAGCGTTAGAGTGTCCCCACTTACAACGCTTCGTCTACATTTCCACGGCCTTCGCGAACAGTCATCTGTACGCGGAATCGCGGGCCGTAGACATCCCGGTCCGAGAAGACCTATACCCGCTTTCTTCAGTCTCCACAGCCACATCATGGAAGGACGTCCAAATGCGTGGCTCCTCGGAGGAATACGAGGCGAAGAATTTCCCCTGGGCTTATGCCTATGCCAAGCATCTCTCGGAACGGGTTCTCGGCGAGGTCTTCGATAATGCGCAGACATCAGATAAACTGCTCATCATCCGGCCATCCATTTTCGGTCCCGCTCAGAGTTTTCCCTACCCCGGGTATAGTGTTCCGTCATCCACGCCATTGACGGCCCTGGCAGCCATGGTAGCGATCACACGTACACTCCGGTTCAAGGCTGCGACGCGGTCCCGTAACCCCGACATAGAAGCTACAGCGGACGAGGTCCCCGTGGATGTAGTTGTGGATCGGCTGCTGTTCCACCTCAGACATGGAAGCGCCGGCTACGTGCACGCGGTCAGCGGTGAACGAGGCAGATACACCATAGGAGAGCTCTGGGAGGAGGGGATGGCAATGCGTAAGCTTCCATGGAGACTTAAGCTCACCTGGTTAGACGTAGACTGGCATTCGCCTCGATTGCACTATATAGCTCGATTCTATGTGCTCTTTGGGTCGTCGTACAAATTTTCCGAGGACAGGACCATCGAGCTCTGGGATCGAGTTCCCGAGTCTGAGAGGCAGGGTCTAAATGTGTTCAGGGATTACAGCAAGGGTTTTGAGTTAAGCGCCAGGAAGGACGAGATGCGGCACTGCTTGCGGGCGCTTGCCAGTCACTTTGGATTCCCGAGTTGGGTTGCAAAACTTTGAGCATTGAATAGAGTATTAGGTACGTGTAACTGGAAAAAAGCAAACGGAAATCAAGGACCTGCGTAGATAAGTAGGAAACGATCACAAGTTTTTCTTGCCACCGTGCTGTGTCAACACCATGCCGGTTGCATACGACACCCTCACGTTCATCACTCTAGCGGCGAAGGATACCGTCAATCAGGTTCCCGACGGTAGAGAAAATACCGCTAATAGCGGACTTGTTATCGTCGTCTTTGTCAGGCTGGACTTCCTCCGTGCTAGTGTTGCTGTTGTTGCTGCCTTCATTGTTGAGATAGATGGCCGAGCCGCTGCCGGTGTTGCTGCTGCCATTGTTCGTGCCACTGCTGCTGCTGGAAACCGAGTCACCTGAGCTGCTGGGGCCGCCATCGTCCGCGCCATCGTTCGAAGAACCATCTGAAGAGTCTCTCTTAGCCACCATCTCATTGTCTTCGGCATCGCTCGCCTCAACAGCTGAATTATAGCTGGTGCTGGCGCAGCTCGACACACCGTTGCCAGCAACTGCAGACGAGATGTTAGAGCCTGTACCAGCACCGCCGCTTCCTATGGTAGTGCTGGCACTGCTTGTGACAGTGCCACTACCATTATCACTGGTGTTCTTACCGTTGCTACCGCTGCCGCTGCCGCCACTGCCATTGCCATTGCCAGAGCCTGAAGTTCCAGAGCCTCCGGAGCTACCGTTGCTACCGTTGCTGCCGCTGCCGTTGCTGGAGCCAGAGCCAGAGCCGGAGCCGGAGCCACTGGAACCACTGGAACCACCATTGTTACCGCTACTTCCGCTGCTGCCGTTGCTGCCGGAGCTTCCACTGGGGCTACCAGAACCGCTGTTGTTGCTGCCAGAGCCGTTATTGCCAGAAGTGCTGCCACCGCTGTCGCTGGAGCCGCCGTTGCTTCCACTGCCGGAGCCGCTAGAGCCATTGGAGCCACCGCTGCCACTGGAGCCGCCGTTGCTTCCGCTGCCGCTGCCGCTGCCGCTGCCGGAGCCACTGGAGCCACCGTTGTTGTCAAGGTCACTGCCACTGCCATTGTTATTGCTGGATCCCCCGGAGCCGCTGGAGCCGCTGGAGCCTCCAGAGCCGCCGTTGGAGCCGCTGCTGCCACTTCCACTACCATTGCCCCAGTCATTGTCGGAGTCACTGGAGCCGCCGTTGCTGCCACTGCCATTATCATCGCAATCATCATCGCCCTGGCCAGGTTCATCCCCTCCCATTGCCATTATCGCCCTTTTACGAGAGCAACCGCCGGTAGTCATGAGTCCGACGGATTGCTCATTCTGTGTTTGCCAGTAAGCACGGAATGGTCAGTTTACTGATGCAATGGATAAACTTACAGTTGCGGGAGCTCTGGCCTGCAATGCGACTGGGCTAGCCCCAACGGGGGACGTGACCATGGAGGCACTGAGGTACAGAGCCAGAGCCACAAGAGCCGCTCGACTAGGAGGCATTGCGATTAAAACTGACCGAACGAGTGGTAGCAGTAAACAAGTGTAGTGTGAACGAGAAGCTCCAGTAGGTAATCCGAAGTAAGTGATTTGATCTTGTCGAAGCTGAGCTGTAAGGTTTCACCTGGACAGGCTCCAAGTCCCTCAATTTATAGTTTTCGCTCGCAGGCACATTCATGGAGAAGCCAGGTGAAGACGACTAGGTTTCCCGAAACGTCATGGACAGGGCAGGTAAAGCAACGTTCCGGGGGCTCGTTGCAACACACCCATATGGGCACATTCCTTCTCGACATATAGATGCACTCTGGATCCGAATGGACATAGGGGCACATCACTCCATGAACTCGATGCGGCGCAAACCATGTTCGAGCCAGAGTCTGTGGGTGCATGTTACATGCTGCTGGATGAAGAGGACCCATGGTCAATCTACGGTTGTAGATCGAAATCAGGGCAGGCACGAGTCCGGGCTGATCTTGCACTGGGGCCCCAAGTTTGGACCCAGGCCGGAGAACGATACCCCGTGTGCCGGTTATCATTTCCGCAGGGAGAATGTAAGCTTTGATTGGAGGTGGTTGCACGCATTGAGGGAACAAGACGGTCACGGGTAGGTAGCATTCTTTCTGCGGTTTGTGTAACAAACACCGCCAATCAACTGCACCGATTGACCACAGAATGACTCGTCGTCTCAGTGCGCAATGATAGAATCGAGAAAGTCGTACAAGGTTGAGGGCTTGTGACTGGCTATATGCGAGCGTCATATACTGTAGTGAGGTGTTGCAGTGATATTCGCGTCGGGCTGTGGCAAAGGTCTGGTCCCGGCGTTGTCGCCTTGGGTTGCCTTGCCATCCGTTTCCTGTGATGGCTGATCTCCAGAGAATTCCTTGCTCCGTCGTTCATTCTGCTTTTGAAAGGCGATGGTTGCAGAATTCGACCTAGACCATTGGCTGTGATGGCATTCGAACCGCGAGGTTCATTGTGGATGGCTATTCAGAGATGAATGGGTGTGCTTCTTCGATCTCATAGTGCAGATGAACGACATCACTGGTCTCGCTGGTGCCATTACGGACTTGCTTCTCAGGCTGAGAAAAGCTGCAGAGATGGAAGAATGATGGAGCTACGGAGTACATAGGAGAGATAGATAGATTAGTGGCTCGGCGGTCGGGTCTCCGACACCGGGAGCCTCTTCCAAGTTCCCCGCATGGCATCCACGCGCGGCCCCTCTCTTCTCCCTTCCGCTATCTACGGACTCCGTACTTGCCACCTTCAAACACCACCACAAGTCTTGCATCTCAAGCATTAACAATGGCCTCCCTCCTCAAGAAACCATTGAAACTGGCCCTAGTCCAACTAGCCTCAGGTGCGTGTGACGGCCGACTCGCTCCGTTCCGAGCCCCTGCTGAGCAATGACAATCGACAGGCGCCGATAAGACATTGAACCTCGCGCATGCTCGTACTAAGGTCCTCGAGGCCGCTAAAGCTGGCGCCTCCCTCATCGTTCTGCCGGAGTGCTTCAACTCTCCCTACGGCACCCAGTTCTTCCCCAAGTACGCCGAGACCCTGCTCCCCTCGCCACCCACCCAGGAGCAGTCCCCCTCCTACCATGCGCTTTCGTCCATCGCCGCCGAAGCCAAGGCCTACCTGATCGGCGGAAGCATTCCTGAGCTCGAGCCGACCACGAAAAAATACTACAACACATCGCTGGTGTTCTCCCCCACTGGCGCTCTAATTGGAACGCACCGCAAGACCCACCTGTTCGACATCGATATTCCCGGAAAGATCACATTCAAGGAGAGCGAAGTGCTCTCTCCTGGTAACCAGCTGACGGTGGTGGACCTGCCGGATTACGGTAAGATCGGACTGGCCATCTGCTACGATATCCGCTTCCCGGAGGCGGGTATGATCGCGGCGCGGAAGGGCGCCTTCATGCTCGTCTACCCGGGTGCGTTCAACACCACCACGGGCCCCCTACACTGGTCGCTGTTGGCTCGTGCCCGCGCCGTCGACAACCAAGTGTATGTGGCCCTATGCAGTCCCGCCCGCGACATGAGTGCTACGTACCACGCCTATGGCCACAGCTTGATCGCGGACCCCAGCGCCAATGTGCTGGCCGAGACTGAGGAGAAGGAGGACATCATCTACGCGGAATTGGATAACGAGACGATCCAGAACACGAGGAAGGGAATCCCCATCTATACTCAGCGGCGATTCGATTTGTATCCGGATGTGAGTGCCGACAAGCAGTAGGCGCGACACCTCGCATTGAATAGAATGAAGTTGGCCGGAAGCCAGTCATAGACTAGCCTGTAACTAGACGACTTATGAGCATTGTCAGCCACCGGTATGATGTCCTCGTACAGTAGATAGATAGTGGTAGCGGTGCCTCAGGCGGATCCGCAGTTAGCTGCGGGCAACGCATCACGTGCGGAACTGACGGGCGAATCAACAGCCCGACAGGCGATAAGCGAGCCGCACTGGAAAACCCACCAGCAGCAAAAAAGACCATCTCGAAATCTCCTCAACCTTGACAGTCGACCACTGCAGCCAACGACAGCCGACACTTCTGTCCCTCATTCAGTGAGTGATCGCTTTCCAACCACCTGCTTGCAGATTGTCATTCTCACCCCGAGAATCACTCCCTAACACATTTTTCCCCCATTGCAGAAATGTCCGCCCCCGTCAAGACCGGCAAGAAGACCCGTTCGGCCATCGCCGACGTGGTGACTCGGGAGTACACCATCAACATGCACAAGAGAGTACGTTGAACACAGCCAATCCTGCATTGAGCATCAGCACAAAACCGATCGATTTCCGCGGAATTTCGAACATGGAGGCACTGGATGGAGAACATCAACAACAAGAACAACAACGTCAACACAAGGACAACGGAGCGCGCAAATCCTCATCCCTCCCACCTTCACCACCACCACCCCCCTTAACCCGGGGAAGGAAAATGGGAAGAGAAGACGGGACAGCGGACGAGCACCAGCGCTACCTGTCTGTTGAAAATGTGTGTGGAGGAACAATCAGGAACGATTGTTGTTGCAAAAAAAAAACAAAAAACACAAATCCCTTAAAGAAGAATTAGTTTGATGAAGTCCACCTCTATGGCCGCATTCTCGCAAGAAACCAGAAAAAAAATTTCCTACATCTACCAGATGGCATTCGGGCGGAAGACTAATATTCCTCTTTTTGGGTGTTGTAGATGCACGGTGTTTCCTTCAAGAAGCGTGCTCCTCGTGCTATCAAGGAGATCCGCGCCTTCGCTGAGCGTGCTATGGTGAGTTCATCCCCTCTTCCCTCCCTCCCTCTCTTTATCCATGTCACCTCCGGAGAGAGAGAAAACAAAAGAACAACCACTAATACAAGATGTTCTCCCCCAACAGGGCACCACCGACGTCCGTGTCGACCCCCAGCTCAACAAGAAGGTCTGGGAGGCCGGTGTCAAGGGTGTCCCTTACCGTCTCCGTGTCCGCATCTCCCGTAAGCGTAACGACGAGGAGAACGCCAAGGAGAAGCTCTACTCCTACGTCCAGGCTGTCAACGTCAAGGAGGTCAAGGGTCTCCACACTGCCGTTGTCGATGAGGAGTAAATGATTCCTTCATCCACATCAAAATCTATCTATTCCCAAATGAAATGAGTCTCCAAGCATATACGGATTCTTATCTATCTTTCTGTCGTTATGATAGTATGATTACTTCTTAGGATGGGATAGTAGGGCGAGGGAATCTTTTTCCGGACGGGATGAATGAATGGGTTCAGGTCGGGTTTTGCGGCCTGGCGGACATTTATCTTTTTTCCTCAATTAAAAAAAGTTTAAAGGATCTGCCCTCCTTGATGTGATGGGTGACGTTGTAGTAAATGGTATCATTTTTTCATATCCAGCATGAAATGGAAACCCAGACATACAGTATTAGTAACCAGAACGAACCCATGTATTATCTACCTAATGATACAAAAAGCTTTGTGAGAGTGAATTAAAGCCTTGACAGAGCCCATGAGGGGCAAAGGAACATGAAGAAAAAGACAATTCCATTTGCAAACCAGAATCTTCGAATCCCACTCGCTATGCTAGATGCGCCTGTTTTCTGGTTGGGCAGAGTGAACAACGACGCTACCGAAGATGCAGCTGCAGTAAGTTGCAAGATGCAAAAAAGAAAGAAAAAAAAGAAAATTTTACTTACACATGTTCTTGTGAAAAATCGGGGAAGGGGAACCGATGCGGGTTTTGGAAGGGGAAACGAACGAGACACCAATGTTCAAAGACCAGTCGCCGGTGGGTGTGAGTGGAATAGACAGGAAAAATCAGGATTTGCTTTGGCCCACGTAACCGTCTGGGTAGTATCATCCAGTCCCAGTTACATGCAAAGGGATTTCTCTGGCTGTAAAGCCGGACAATTGAGTGACAAGGGACAAAAGAGGAAGGTCTTCAGCAGTAGAAAGGTAGCGGAGAAAGAATCAGAAATCGAGCAAAAAGCACACCATAATACATCGCCACTCAGACGCCTGCGAAGTCCATCATCAAGTTGTGTTCAAATGCATATCCTATGTACCACATCCAATCGTAGCAATCAATTCTTTGTCTCTTCCATGGCCGCGCAGAGACGTTCGGCGTCCGCATTCGTCTTGACCCGGAGAGCCCACAGTTGAGGAGGACCTTCGGCTTGAGGAACCATGAACTGCACGCTGTTCTTCGCGACAGAGTACTTGATTTCATTCATCAAGCGCGCATTCAAGATGACATTGCCGCTCGGGTCAGCCCGGACAAGGATCCGACCACGAGACGTAGTCCGATCTTTCAGAACACGCAGGAAACCGACGCCTTGACTCTCCCATCCCCCGGCAGTGCTATGCTTCATTGCACGAGCGCGGCTCTCAGCCACAACATCTTCGTTCTCCTCTCCGGCGCCGCCCCGTGACAGATCGACCTGGGGTAGAGACTCGGCTGCATCACCATCTCCGGACTCCTCCGCCCCCGTGTCAGATGCGCCTCCCGGAGTAGAGGAGCGACTAGGAGTGGCAGAAGTAAGGATTGATGGAGCCAAGAGAGATGGTGCTGATTGATTCGGGGCCCCAAAGGAGAACCCAAGGGACGGCGTTGTGGGTTTAGAGGTAGAGGATTTGGTCAGGGATGGCGGTGCCCCGAAAAGGTTGGAGAAGGGCTTCGGGGCTTCCGGCGCCGGTGTCGCCGACCCAGAGTCAGGCTTGGACGTTGAAGCGCTAGCCGAGTCGGTCGCAAACTTGATCGGAGAGTTGGGTTTCCAGGTGTTATCCCCGGCCGAGGTGGTGGTGCCTTGGCCAGCGCTAAAAAGCGACGGGGTGTTGGTGCCAGAGCCCGATAGAGGAGTACCAAAGATGCTGCTGCTTGTGTTCGCAGCGCCAAAGATACTGGTGGTTGGGGGTTTTGAGGCAGCTTGGCTGGACTCGGAGCTGCTGGCTGGAGTAAGGGACGTAGGAGTGTTGAAAGAGGATGAGAACTTGGAGGAACCGAAGAGAGTCGACATGGAACCCTTCTGCTCCTCTTCACCCTGGCGCTTGGGCTTTCCGTCCTCGTCGTACTGGACGCGATCAAAGAGACTGCGACCACCACTTTCAGAGTCCTTGGCCGACGACTCTGCAGCATCCGCCTTCGCATCAGTGGTGCCTGATTTCGCAGGGCTGCTCTCCGTCGTATCATCCGACTCGTCACCAGGAGTGGAGGCTTCTTCGGTGTCGTCCGCCTCGTTGTCATTGTCGTCGGCCTCAGATGGGGTCGCTGACAGGTGACCAAAAATGTTGCTTGACTTAACTGCAGTGTTGTTCTGCTTAGCGAAGACGGAAGTTTCAGCGCTCGATGCAGCAGCAGAGGCTTCCTCGGATTTCTTTTCGGAGGAATCGTTGCACTCGTCTTCAAAAACGAATCCTTTGCCGGGGACGAATTTCGCACGCTTCTGGGTCTGACTGTCGAAGGACTCCTGTTTCTGCCGCTGCTCCTCGGCATCACGGCGTTCCCATTCGGCTTCGTCTTCTTCCTCAGAATCGAAGTCCTCGGCCTTGCGCTTTTCCTTTTCTTTCTCGGCGTCCTTGGCAGACTGGGCTTTGAATTGAGCAAAGAAGTCCGTGCCGCCTGTAGAGCCAAACTTGGGCAGACTCGAGGCGCCCTCGTTCCCAGTAGGCTTCAGCACAAACGGGTTCTTTGGGGCGTCTCCGACCGGTGCTGCTGATGTTGAAGTAGCACTAGACATGGAGGATGAGAAGAGTGGAGCCGGAGCCGAGTCTTTCTTGCCCGCTGGTGGGAAAGAAAATGAAGGCTTGGCGGGTGCTGTGGATGGCGTCGTAGAAAACAGAGCAGGTTTGGTAGATTCTGGGGTGGACGGTCTGACTGAGGAAGACTCAGCATCGACCGACTCATCAGACTCGGTCTTTGACTTGGAGAACGACTGCGCGAAAATGCTTGCGGTGGTGGAGTCCCCATTGACCCGCTTGGCAGGACTACGGTCGTCGCCATCATCAATCGACTTTCTCTTTCCACTGCTGGGAGCAGTCTGGCTTGTGCCAAATGCTTTGAATGGAGTGGAGCTCGGGGCAGTCACGGCCGGAGCAGTAGAGTTCTCCTTGGGAGCAGCGGCATGCCCGAAGGGGGTACCGAATGTCTGCACCTTCTTCGCGGGACCGCCTTCAACATTGTCGCCCGCAGCCTTGCGCTTGGCACCAACCGAGGCACCAAGGGTGGCACGAACACGCATGTAAAACTGGACAGCGGAGTCGAAGTTTTGGGTCGACGGGTCCATTTTCGCCATTTCACGCTTGAAACATTCGTTCAAAACACGCATACGGTAGAGCATCTCGGCGTCCTCTGTGGTTTTCTTATCTGCCTTGTCGGAGACCTTGGGGGTCTGGATTTGCCCAAAAGTAGACGGCGCAGGGATTCCATTGGTCTGAACGGGGGGCGTCGACTTCACGCCATTCACCTTGAAGGGACTTTCAGCAGGAACTGCAGAAGTCAGAGGTGTCTGTGCCTTGGTCTCAAGGGCAGGAGCCGGCGATGCTGGGGGCTTGGGTGAGAAGAGATTCGATGTTTGAGAGAAGCCATTGGTCGAAGGTGTGAAAGATAATTGACCAGGAGTGGATTGCTTTTCCGCTTCGTTTGTCTTTCCTGCATCACTTGGTGTACTCGGCTTGGAAAAGAGACCCTGGAATGGAGTTGAAGACGAAGGAAGTGGCTGCTGCTCAACCGCTGGCTTGCTCGGAGTCGCGGGCTTCGCAAATAAGCCTCCGAAGGGATTTCCTGCCGCCTTCGGCTGTTCTGGGGCTGCGGTTGCGGCTGGCTTGGGCTCGAAAAGGTCCTTGGTAGACGATGTCTGGAACAAGCCAGCAGAAGGAGCTGCTGGGGCGGTAGTTTCACTCTTGGAGAACAAAGAAGAACCCGTGGTCGTTGTAGATGGGGTAAATTGGAATGGAGACTTGGGCTGCAATTCAGCAGGCTTGTCTTCTTCCTTCTTTTCCTCGGCAGGCTTTTGTGCGGTTGAGGGAGTACTCTGAAACAGATTTGTAGACTGGAAGGGATTCACAGATGGCTTAGCTGCCGAGGCAGCGCCAAATATCGAGGATGATGCTGGGGTAGCTGTAGTCGCAGCAGCCGAGGCTGGTGTCGACGCACTAGGAGTGGCTATAGAAGTGGTTTGGGTAGTAGCACCGCCAAAAAGCGATGACGAAGGGGTACTCGACTTGAACTCGAACACGGGCTTCGAGGGGGTCTCTGCCGCCGAGGATGTTGGCGCGCCAAATAATGAACCGCCTCCAGTGCTTGAAAAGCTCGTGTTGCCTCCGAAGCTAGGCGGAGGTGCAGGAGCACCGGCGAAAATCGATGGCTTCGACTGAGAAGCACTGCCCTTGGCGTCGGGGGAAGTTTGCATCGAGTCACTGCCGAATGCCGTAGATTGACCAAATGGAGACGGCTTCTTTACGCTAGATTGGCCGAAAACATTCGTTGAAGGAGTGCTGGCAGCTGCATTGTTCTGGCCAAAGATACTGCCGGTGGTCGGAGTAGCTGCTCCAGATGAGACAGGCGGCCCGCCGGCTGCGTTGGTGCCAAAAAGACCACCGGAGCTAGCGTTCTGCTGAGACGGGGTCCCGAACATTGAACCTGACGGCAGAGGTTGTTGAGCTGGAGACTGGCTTCCAGCTGGTGGGGCATTGAAGAGTGAGCCTTGAAACCCAGAAAAGCTGGCCGGCTTAGATGACTGGTCGGAGCTAGTGCTAGTAGTGTTCATGCTGGCAAACGGATTGCTCGTCGAGCTTGTACCGCCGAAGGATGAGGAGAAATTGAATGAAGAGGAGGAGCTTCCGCTTCCAGAGCCGAATGCAAACGGCGTGCCTCCGTTTTGATTCGACTGGGCAGGTGCTGGGCTAGCTCCTGGGAAGCTTTGGTTTTGTCCAAAAGTAAACCCGTTGGAAGGTGGTTGAGGATTAGCTGGAGTAGATGAAACTGTGTTAGGGTCGATAGAATTGAAAGGACCTCCTCCGAACGATGGCGCGGGAGCACCCGGAGCAGCACTATTGGGACGACGCTTCCGAATGTCTCTGATTCTAAGGGCGGTGTCAATGAAAATGTCGAGGTGGAGAGATGTGCAAATAATGGCAAGTAGCGGAACAACGATAAGAGACATGGGGGAGGGTACGTGAGACTGTGTTAATAAGGAAAGGAAAAGGCTGGGAGAACACAGAGTACAGACTGGGATCCCGACATGGGGTCGGATCCCAGTGAATATGAAGGCTGCAGGAAGAGGAAGACGTTGCATGCATAGGGTTGGTTGGCCGCAAAGGTCGGTCTACATTCACTTACTTTCTGTTCGCCATCTGCGCCGCGGTTGCCCGCTGCGGCTTATCGTCCGGTGTGCTCGACATGTTGAACGCAAACAAGTCGCTATCCTTGTCCCCTTGAGGACCCTGGGCCGTTCTCTTAGACATCTATAGTCGAGCCCCCGATGTCGTCAGCGGCGATATCTTTGGCCTTTGAGACAGCAGTTGACTTCAACCCCTTCTTGGACGTCCAATGTCACCCCTTAACGACCGTCCTTCATGCACAGTGGGGAAATTATCCAGTGCGTATGGATCGCTTTCGAAGCCGGCTACTTGCTTTTCGAGTATATCCGGTTGTCTTGATGCCCGTGATCTCGAGGGCTTGTCAAAAAGCACGCCGGGTGGGGGCCGCTGAGAGGAAAGATGCGTGGGCGAATCTGCGAATCGAGCGATCGAGGTAATTCGCGCCGTCGTCGTTTCGAATTATGGCGGGGAATCTAGTAAAGTACAGATGATATCCAAGTGCCGACCCGTCAAAACAGTGAAGATAGGGCCGTTGCGCGATCGTTCTGAGGATGGATGGTCGCGCAGCGCGATAGCCGTGAAGGCACGAGACAAAACGGAGTCGAAAGGAGTAGGCTGAAAAGGCAGAGCAGTAGGAATTAGGAACTGCTCGAAGTAGGTATTGGGAGGCGCGCCTCCATTCGATGCGCTCTGCCTTGATGAGGATGGGGGGTGTGCTCGAGTGAGCTTCTTTTTTTTGGCCTTCCAGCGTCGGCTCGCGACTTTTGCCGGCAGGCAAGAGGAACTCTGCTGGCAGAAAAAAATTACAGTCACGTGAGCATGGGGAAGGTCAGCATCTTGGCAGGATGTCATAAAGGAGCCTTCGCTTTACGCGGCCCAGGCGAGATGGCCATGAGCCATGGTCTACTTTTCGGGCAAGGGGTTTCTGGTCGAGCCGAAACGCTTTTCGATCCCTATTTGGTGGTGAGGTTGAAAGAAAGGTTGTCTCTTTCTTTGCTTGAACCATATCCATGTCTTCCGCATTCTGTATTGTTACCGCCGTTACACAAGCATAGACATAGGCGGGCGCCACGTCGGACCGTACGAATACGGGGTATTCATTTTTGGGGTCATCCGCGACCCTTCGTTTCCATGGCAGGCCCATCAATTATGCAGCAGCGGTGGCCGACGCCCACATATGTATGTACCTACAACATGTACGGTCGGTGACAGCCAGTTGAACATTATCTATCTCGTGTCCTTGCCGAAATCTCCGGCTTCCATATAATTCCCTACGGCGGAAAATGCCAGCCTTCTTGACATTCTCACGACAAACAATCAGTAGCCCGGCAAAATATGTCATGACGTACCGGCCCCATTTTATAGACTCACCAACCTTGAATCTGCGATTGGTCTATTCAGTGAACAGCTTTCTGTAGATTAAAATGAAGCGCACTCTCGATAGAGTTTACACTGCCTTCCCTCTTCTCATGTTCAGATTGTGTAGTGGTTCATTCACCCCACTAAAGTGGGATCCTGGGTTGTGATCCGTATTACATTCAAGCTAAGGATAAGTCCCAATTTTATAGTAATTCCATGCTAGTAGCTGGAGCCTATAAAGTTCGAATCTCTAGGTAGTCGACTGATCAAGTACTCTTAGATCAAAAAAACACAACCAGTCGTTATAACTAATCAACGCACCTCATCGCTTATGCTGGGTAAGGTCGACTCCGCAGGAGCTCTCCGGGAACCGTCTACGGAACCAACGAGACCGATGTTTCCAATATCCTACGATGCAATAATAGCACTACGCCAACTAAGGACGGCAGAAGAACGGGGTGATGTCCCAGTATCCAGTCAAATTTGAAGAATTACAAAGAAAACAACAGGAATAACAGGGTATCTATAGCTTGGCCTTGGCCTGTGCCTTCTTCAGGACGGGCTCCATCTTAGTCGCCTTCATGATGTTGCCTTTGATCTTGAGCTTGCCTCCCATAAAGAGCCGCTGAGCATTGGCCTTGCCGCTCACCAGGGCGCCGAAGTCGGCATCCGACAAAGAGAGGGTCACTGTAGTCATATCGATATCTCGTCAGCCATCCATTCATCTTGACAGATATTGTAGGCCCGCGGAACCACAGAAGCAAGCGGACTCACCGTCAGCCTTTCCGCCCGGAGGTGCACCCTGGCCGACGACACCCTTCTCCTTGAGATCGAGATACCAGCTCCCCTCTTTGTTTTGGCTGTTCTTAATGTTGAAAGCGATGACGGCCTTGGCCTTATCGATGGCGTCTTTGCGCTCAGCCGCATCAGCCTGTAGAGTGGCGTTGATGGCGTCGAAGGCGGCGGAGGAAGGGAAAGCGTCTGCAGGTGCGTCATTGCGGTCAGCCGCCGCTCACGATTAATTGGCGATAAGAGAGTGAACGTACCGTCTTTGAGAGTCATGATGATGGTGGGAGAGAACCGAATGGGGTGTCAGAAATGAACGGAGGGGAGAAGGCTAAAGAATGTTGATGTAACCAGAAAGTGAGACAGAGAGAGGATGAGGAGGGACCAGTATTAAGTATTAATGGAGCCAGCCCGGGGTTGGGGTCTATTATTGCGGCGAGCTTCCCCGGAGAGTTCGGCCATGGCGCATGTGAAATGGAGGCGGTCGCGCGATGTCTGGGCCGAGGCTGCCCGCGGCCTGTTCCTGTGATCGTGGTGGTTCTTCGCTTATGAAGTAATATTGCGCAGGATTACCTCTCGACAACATGCTTCAGGCATGCAAAAGAATTGTCCGGGTTGGTCCCCCTTGCCATGATCCTCGGAAAAATTCCTGTACTGAACTCTATGGCTTGCACAAGCGAAATTCTGACAAAAACTTGATCATTGCAGCATCAAAGCCTGCCAGCAAAGTTTCCCCCCAACAACATTGCATAGCTTGGTCAATGTGATCTACACAATCCACGATATTAGTTCTTATTTTACTCCGCCGACCGCTTTTTATGTAACCCTTTATAATAACCCGAGCGAGGTCCCTTTTGGAAACCGGAGACTGATCTCCACATGCGACCACTTTCCCCGTGTGACTATCTCCCCCACAGGTGACCTAGAAAGAATGACAGTAAATTATATTTCTAGCAAATGACATCACAAGGCATAAGGCCTTACTATCAGAAGCACAGTCTCATATATTGCTCTCGATTCTTGATCTTGTTCATCAGGCTCAAATCCCGCCGCAAGGAGCTATGTGCAGACACTCCCAAACATGTTGGTTATCATGGTCAGGAAGGAATCCACCAGTTACCCGCCTCCAAACACTGGTCAGTCACACGGGAATAGGGGCTTTGCTCTTCCTGCGCCGGACAGCGATCCTAGTTGTGACTGGTGGCAGCTGGAAACGACCCCATCCTGTGAGTTTAATCAACACAATATCTGGACGAGATCGACGGTCCCACAATACAAAATAAAGGAAAAGGAAAACACTCACTATGAATCCTGGGACGTACTGGGATAGGTTGAATGTCATAATTCAGAAGCATTTCTGCGATAAACACCTTGAAGATGTGGGCGAAGATCCAACGTCCGGGACATTGCCGACGACCGTGACCAAAAACCACAAATTTATCACTGGTTGTGGTCATTCCATTCTGATGTCTCTCCGCAGCAGTGGCATTTGTCGTGTAGAAGCGGTAGGGATTGTATTTGTCTGGCTCCGGATAGAATTCCTCGTCACGGTGGAGGGCATACTGGGGGATCCCAACCTTGGTCCCGTAAGGTAAGAAGAGGTTGTTCGCCAGGGTGACCCCGTCAGGTGCAACCACCTACGCGGTAAGTGAGCAGCCGAGACAAGACAAGTTAATATGGGAAAGATTCAGGTTTGGCCCACACCTTCCTTGTAGGGCTGGCAGCATTAATGCCGTTCAACCGGAGGCTCTCTTTTACTGCACTGTCCAGAAGCGAAGCCTTTCCCAGGTTGTATGCAGTCCATACACCGCCCGAACTGGCAGCAATGCTTTCAACCTCTTCCTGCAAAAGCTTAGTGAGCTTCCCTTCCACTGGGTGGCTCAAGATGTCAAGAAGAACGCTGGTAGCGGAGACCGCAGTCGTGTGTACGCCCGGGAAATTAATCATAAGATTCTATATGCTAACCACATCGACGTGATCTCCATCGGCCATTTACTACGGAGCCCAGTCTGGATAAGCAAGTCCAACAAGCTGCCCTGAAATAACGTCAGCACCAAGCAAAAACTCCAAGGAAATATTGACACCCCCACCTTGGGCTTCAGTGTTTCCTGCCGACCGTCCAAATACATGGCCTTCTGCTGCTCATCGACCTTCGACTCGATGATAGGCTTCATACGGCTATGGAAGACTAACTCAAAGTATCTGTTGACCAATCCAACGAAGGGGCCGACGATCCTAATACAAGGCATAGTCAGAACCAGAACGGCCAATATAAGGAGGGAGGGAAGGCATACGGATGAAGAAATGACGGGAAGGCTTTTATGATGCTTGCCCCAAAGACGATTGCATTTGAGCAATGTGTCATGGCGCTCAGAAGAATATTGTCGCGACTGTGGCCTGGGCCTATCGCAAGCACATTGATCATCCGGGATGCCATCTTCTCCATTGCGGAATATAGGTAAATCTCATTCTAGTTATCTGTGTCCTCGCTCTACAAGTCGGAGAGACATGACTGGGCCTCCTCAACGAGTGATATTGCAACAGACTCCGTTTTCAGTGTTTCAGTGAGGTCTTTGCTTATGACCTTGACATATAAGTCGTACTTCTCCGAGAACGCCAGCGGCCAGCTGGTATATTTAAGCTGGAAGAACTCCATAATGTTGGATTTGAAGCTAAATTTGGTTTCTGCGGCAAATAAAATGGAATTGGACTGATCTGTTGGGAGCAGAACTTCATCGCCCTCGGTGACGCTGGGCAACACGAACGGTTTCTGGTACTTGGAGTACTGAAGAACCCCAATGTCAGCAATGATATCAAAGAGCTAAGACCTGCATCAGAGACAAGATTTTAACCTTCTGGTACCCTTCGTGAATGAAGCCGACTGGATTGACACCAATGAAACGCTCTGCAGCACGCCCCAAGATACCCTTCCTCTTCAAGACCCAGGGAATGTCATTTGGCACTGGACTGGTCTCAAAAAGTTTGACAATGAGACATAGAAATACCCCTATAAGGCCAATCCATAGCCAGGAGGTGATGTTATTACAAAGGAACATGGGTTGTCGCTGAAGAGATGCGTTATTTGCTTAGAGACACAGGTACAGACGGGTAGTGAGGACCATCTACAGTGTGGGACAGCATAAACACCAGATATCGGCGGAGCTGGACATGATACAAATGGACCTAGCTCCTTAAGTAAAGGGAGTCCTAGTAAATATATGGATGCTGTCCTCTTTCATCCTCCCCTGGAAATGTTTGAACAGCCAACAGGACAAGGTACAATACAAAGAGACCAATCAGTCTCACATCAGAGCTCCGATTCGCAGATCCTATAGACAGCCAAGTCTATCACAACTCTAGTGAGGGGGTGCTGCCTGATGGAACCATAGGCTAATTGAATTTTCAAGTGACCTTGATCTTATAGATACTGGAGTCACTGCAACCATTCGAGCCACTGAAGAGAGGAGATACGGCCTCAGTCCACTGGAGCACCGGGCCTCAGAGCTATATGCTGCCTGACTGAACCATCATGGTCACTCACAATGCCCCGAGAATTGAGATACCAAAGGCTTGGATTGCTGCACAAGACATTCCGTCAGTCTCGCATCTTGGGCCTGGGGCCCGTCTCGTACCAGATGCCCGGCTCCCGCTGTAATTGGAGGGTCTTGAGATTCTCCATCGCTGATATATCCAATCACAGGGAAATTCCGACCCTTATCCAACGTCTCAGTACCACATACTATTTTCTGGCACCTAATACTCGGTCCACTGAGCCATGTGGTGGCCACAACTGCCCGGAGAACTCGGGAACAGCCGAGATAACCAGCTCAGCATCCTACCGTGGTCTCTTAAACTAGACTGCTTCTGGATGCACGGGTCAGCGTTGTGAGCTCATTCGCAGGTGTAGAACAATTTTAATGCCAGCATGGCTAGCAACTGGGGTCTGTCATGGCTTTTGACTCTAACCCATGGCCATTCGACCCGAGACATGGGGACGGTTTGTACTACGGTCGTGCCTTGTCTAATTCTTGGAAACTAGGTCGTCCTCATGTCATGGACCTGTCGGGCCATTTTTAATCCCCGAGTGGTTGCAACGTGCGATGTGAAGGGATCCTTGTATTGGTTGATTCGTTCGGAAAACATAAGGAGCCTTTGCTTGGAAATTATTTCCCAGCGCACAGGCACAGAGACCTGGTACAAGGCATAATTGGAATGGGAGCCCAACGAATCCCGGCCTCAGGACATGCATGGAATGCTTTCCTACCTGACATTTGGTTGTTGGGTCGAGTACAACGTCCTGTCCGACGGAACTGAAATTTTGAGCTGGCAGATTTGGCTAAGTGATCGGGCCCTTTTGACACATGATGTTTGCCTGGTGCCTCAGAGAGCTTTACGCTGCACCAGGTTGGACGACTGAGACCTTCCAGTGAGATCTTGGTTTTCTCATACCCTGTATGAGTGGTGTCGCCTGACTTATCATGTGGCTTTTCTACAAGGGTGCCTGCAGTACTCTGAGGTGAGACACTGCCTCGCATTGACTGGTTTAGAATCCAGCCAGATAAAGTGGTATCATACGTGAACACCAGCATCGGAGAGAGCCAAGTCCTGGTTTGGAGCAGCTTCCCTCCTACACGGAACTCTCCTTGAACTCGTCCCTCGTCTTCTTACGGCATATCCCGGGAACGGTTTGCCCGGACTGTCTCCCATGGAATTTTCAGTATCACTCCCACCATTGGCCCACTTTCTATAACCTCCACCTACCATGCTGTCAGTGCTGACTCGAAGGGCACATACAGCCCAAGTATCCTAGTCTCAAGACAACTGGCGTTTGTCCGCTTCTTGTCGCATGACCTCGGTGTGTGGCTAGCAGATATCACCTTCATGCCCGCGATAAACCCCTCCTGCAAACTTCTATATGCACACATATTGAGCTGATTTATTCGTCAATGTAGGGTGGTCCCTAGCATCTTGTTAAGTTTGATCTCTTCTCTTCGTCTTTTGTGCATTGCCTTGATGTCAAATGCCTTATATAGGCTGGGAATTGGCCCCATCTGTGGCTGTAGGGAGCGGCGCTGACCTCCTTTCCAATATGCGATTTTGTCGATAGAATCCGTAGAGATAGGACTACTAGTATTTACGTCGAACCGCTTCTAGTTCGTCATGACTATCCATGGACTTTCTTAGTGCATGATTTTACGTATATATCCGTGATGCCCCTAGCTATGAAAGAAGGAATGAGAACATTCTTCCCATCGATTGTATTAGCTGGGAGTAGCACCATTTTAATTACGAGGTCCTGTTGGGACCTACAGTCGTTTCACTTGATGTCGGAAGAATGGGATGTGAGTTGGTGAATTGCCTCGTTGAGCCTATACCACTAAACGGTGGCCGTCAGTGCCTCAGGCACAAAACCTGATGAAGACCCGAATACAGAGTACAAGAAAGGGGGTTCCCGTCAACGAGTGATTTCAGGGACCATGACTGTGGTGGGAATGAAAGGCAACGGCTGGAAGAGGGGTTATTCCGAAGGTGATCGATCTTGCATCCGGGTTGCGATGTGGTTCCTGCAGGGGAAGGGAGACCCAGAAGGAAATCTGCGAAAAAAGACCACGGAGATTGCCACCATCAGGGAGTACATAAAGGCATGTGTGGCCCCTTCACTTTTCGTCATCACTGGGAATCTGCCAATAACACTGACCAAGCCTGAAATCATTCTTTGTTCATGATGCTGGGTGAATGACGAGCACTAACACCAACACCAAGCCATCCGTGTTATCGACCGTCCTATCTACGTATCGCCCGCCAAGAGATCGCGACGTTGCCGAATCAAGTCCACCAAAACGATCAAATCCACCCCCCGTTTATCGACCGCTCCCGATTTGCTCCCCTCGTTTGACCAGCTCCCTGTGACAATCCCTTTCTGGGCTTGAATCTGTGTCATTCTTGAAGTCAGTCGAGGGATACACACGCCATAGCCCTTCATTGTGGGGGAGGGAGATCGGCCGATCAGGTTTCGGAGTCCTTCGGCGGTTCGCGAGTCCGGAAAACCAAACCAGCCATCACGATGGCCTCGTCGGCCGACGCGTCGATCGCGGAGATCCTAGAAGATATTCAACTACATGAAGTGATCCTTCAGAGTTTAGAAGAAGATCGACCGGATGCAGTTGAAGACAGACAAGATACTATAAACACCATCAAAGCCTTGGAAGCGCGCCTACAGCAGCTTGGAGGTTATCCCGCTGGGACCCGGTCCGCTCGTTCTCCGTCTCCCCCGCGAGAGTCAGCCAACTCCAGCCTATCCGCGGCCCAGCTAGATGGCGCTCCTACTTATAGGAATTGGAATGCTCGTGGTTATTCCCTAGCGAATTCGCCCTCGTCAGCGACTCCGCGTCCCCGACCTCAAAAGCGTCAGCGTCCTGATGACGATGACAATGACGATAGCGATGACGGAGACTATGGTAATGACGGGAATGAGGAGGAGGAGGAGGAAGAAGATGAGGAAGACTCAGATGATGATCTGGAGGCCCCGATCAGACGATCTAATGGACGAACCAAGCGACCGCGTCATACTGGCCCTCATTCTGCGTCCAACCACATTGTATCTGACAATGATCTAGAAGATTTTCTCGCAGGCAATGACGAGCTACGCCAGCTCTTGGGCTTTGATAGCAGCGAGACTATCCGGGAAATCCAAGAAGAGCAGAGAAAGGCAGAGAAATGGCTCGAAGAACGCCGGGAACAAGAGCGTCGTGACGCTGAAATGGCCCGCCGACTCAATGGCTATGTCCCTACGCCGCCTCGGCCGTCCCAGCCGTCGTACATGCGGAGCACTATCTCTCACTCCTTGAGGTCTACTCCGCCCGCGCATAGGGCCCGAGAAGAGGAGCGGAGGGCAGAAGAATGGCACGATGATCGGGCGCGTCATGACACTGTACTTGCTCCCCGACTAAGTGGCCACGTTCATACATCCTCTCACCCGTCATCCTCGCGAAGCACTAATTCTCACTCCTCGAGGTCCACTATGCCCGCATCTGGGGCTAGTTCTTCGTCCGATAGGACCGTTGTAAGGGACACGGTCCGATACCCCCAGATTCAAATGCGGCCCGCGGCATCAGAATCTTCCCACTCGCGCGCAAGCTATGCGACTGGCTACAGCAGGATAGTAGCGCAGCCTTCGCATGATGGCGATGACAGTGATATCGCAGAGATCACCTCGGATGATTTTCAACGTGGCGTCCAGAATTCTCCCACTCGTCGAGAACGTCTTCCAATGAGCTGGGACCACTCCTGGTCCTCTCGGGCATACCAAGGACCTGATCAATATCCTCAACCTGCTTCAAGAGCGCTCTATGTCCCATCATATTCGCCGAGTGGTATGGAAAGACCTGGGCCTGTGTTTGGACCCCACGTGATATCCAATACAATGGCGAGGCTCAATGCAGGCAGAGATATGCTACAACAAGCCGGAAGGGCCATTCTGGGCAGTCATCCCTCATCTGCAAGTAGCGCCACATACGTCGATCTAGATGATTACCAAGGTCCGGGGGGCTACGATAGAGCCATGGACTACCTCAGGTGAGTAGCAATCCGATAACCCCAGTGAGTTACTCCAATACATTAACGATTGACGCTTCTAGTGACTACTACGGCTCCACCGAAGATCCCAAGAAGACACAGGAGGAGCTTCAAAAGCTGCTCGAAGTCATTCGGCCGGACGCTGAGATCTCTACGGAGAATCGCGAAGGGACTCCCGCAGGTCTCCGGTACACGCTCATGGAGCACCAGAAACTGGGGCTGTCTTGGATGAAGTCGATGGAAGAAGGCGAGAATAAAGGTGGAATTCTTGCGGATGCCATGGGCCTTGGGAAGACCATCCAGGCCATTGCCCTTATAGTGTCCCGGCCATCGAACGATCTCGAGCGAAAGCCAACCCTGATTATTGCCCCAGTTGCTTTGGTGCAGCAATGGAGGCGAGAGATCGAAAAGGTGATCCGGCCAGGGAGGTATCAACTCTCAGTCTACGTACTGCATGGTGATAAGCGATCCCGCAACTACAGAGATTTGAAGCGATACAATGTAGTCATCACCACCTTTGGCACCCTGTCGGCGGAACTGAAGCGAAAGCAAAAGTACGAGGAAATGGAGAAGCGCGACCCTACCTTGGCCAGGCAATACATGAAGGACCTGCCTTGTCTGGGGCTGGGCAGTAAATGGCATCGGGTCATCATTGACGAAGCGCAGTTCATCAAGAATCGGAATGCAAAATCTGCGATTGCATGCTGCCAGCTCAATACCACCTACCGTTGGTGCATGACAGGAACTCCGATGATGAATAATGTGGAAGAGTTACACTCCCTGCTTAAGTTTCTACGCATTCGTCCCTACAGCAATCTTGAAACATTCAATCGTGTGAGTATAAGTCGGCCCCACTCTTTGTACTTTTGAATCGTTACTGACCCCGACTTCTAGGACTTTACTCGTCCATTGAAGACCGCTGGTACCGAAGCACGTCAGAAGACAATGCTGCAACTCCAAGTCCTCTTGAAGGCGGTCCTCTTGCGACGGACTAAAACCTCAACGATAGACGGCAAACCGATTCTACAACTGCCGGCTAAGACCACCGAGATCGTGCATGCTGTTTTCAGTGAGGATGAGCAAGAGTTCTACAATGCATTGGAGACACGCAGTCGACTTGAAGTCAATAGGTACCTCGAGAGAGGCGCTACAGGGCGGGACTATTCTAATATCCTTGTGCTGCTTCTGCGGCTTCGACAAGCATGCTGTCACCCTCACCTCATCAAGGATTTCAGCATTGACGTTAGTACAGCCACGGAGGGTACGGATCTCATTGTGAACGCGAAAGCATTTAGCCCCGAGGTTGTGAATCGGATCAAGAACAACGAGGATTATGAGTGTCCAATCTGCATTGATGCCGTCGAAAACCCCGTGATCTTCTTCCCTTGCGGCCATGGAACTTGCGCGGAATGTTTCTCAAGAATCTCCGATCCAGAAGTGGCCGTAAGGAACGGGCAGGATGCGGCCGAGATCAAGTGTCCGAACTGTCGCGCCAAGGTCGATCCCAAAAAGATCACCGATCATCGGTCATTCAAGAAGGTACATTTTCCCGACCCGTCCGACGAGACAGATGAAGCGGGCACGGCCGATCCTACGGAGGACGATGCAGATGACAGCGACGACGATAGCGATGATGATAGCGACGAGTCCGGAGGCTTATCCCGTTTCGTTGTCAAGGATGAGGCCGACGATGGAGAAGGTGCGCCCAAAGCCAAGGAGAAGGGGAAGGGGAAAGAAAAAGTCGCCAAGACAAAGAAGACCCTTGCCCAGCTCAAGAAGGAAGGTTCAAAGAACAAGAAGGCGAAGCTCAAGTACTTGCGTCGTCTCGAAAAGACCTGGATCCCAAGCGCCAAGATCGAAAAGACCATGGAGATCTTGCGAGGGGTCCAGAATGGCGAAGAGAAAGAGAAAATCATCATCTTCAGCCAGTTCACTTCTTTGCTTGACTTGCTTGAAATCCCCATCGCGCGTGAGGGATGGCAGTATCGGCGCTACGACGGAACCATGAAGGTGGCCGATCGCACCGCGTCTGTGGTGGACTTCACGGACGACCCTGACTGCCGGATCCTGTTGGTATCGCTGAAAGCCGGCAACGCGGGCTTGAATCTGGTTGCTGCATCGCAGGTGATCATCTACGACCCGTTCTGGAACCCCTATGTCGAAGAGCAGGCAGTCGACCGAGCTCATCGCATTGGCCAGACCCGCCCTGTACAGGTTCACCGCATTGTCGTGAAGGACACCGTCGAAGACCGAATTCTTGAGCTGCAGGATCAAAAGAGAGAGCTTGTCGAGGGTGCTTTAGACGAGAAAGCCTCGAAAGACGTTGGCCGACTGGGAGTCCGCGAACTCCGTTTCCTTTTCGTAAGTCACCCACCTGAAATGTCCCATCGAGATCGACACTAACTTGCCTTCTAGAATATCCGCTCGTGATCCTCTTCTGCGTTCCTTTGTGCCACGGCGTTGGCGGGTTCTGAGCTTGACTTTCCTGGCCCCTTTCTGCAAGATACCCCAGCCCTAGACCCTTTGCCTTTCTCCCTTTATGTCCCCTCATGTTTTTTCGATCTTGCTAGCTGCCCCCCAGTTGGATTCTTCCAAATCTTTTCCCGCCATCTCCCCAGTTCTTGTTTAGTAGCATTCTACGTCACCCAAGCACGCTGTCGCTCCCCAATCCACCCTCAGCACAGAATTCAGATAAATCGCTTACAAATAGCTAAAGAATTGATTGAATTCCATTTCAAACTCAATCTGCACTCTTCAGCCCACGTATAATCTATTTGATTCGATCAAAACTAGGAAAGAATACACGATCACAAACCACCCAATCCCCATCCCTCCATCCTTACCGACTCGAACGACGATACTACATAGTAACAGTAGTTACTCAGTAGGATTACTCAGTAGTAGTGGATAGTAGTACAGTCATTGAAACCCAATCTCAACCCAACCCAACCCAACCCACACAAACACAGCTGATCATCCCACCGGTGACGTCACTGCCACAACCCCATTTTTCCTGCAATTTTTCCCGAGGGCCAAGGATCAATTTGATTGATATGATTCTGATTATCATGGGATAATGATTATAGAAGAAAGATACGATTTCAAAGGATTGGCTAATGGGAACGTTCCTACCTACCTACCTACTTGGATTTTGGTAGCTAGGGATTGAATTGGGTGGAATACAACTGGAAGGTGAAAACAAGCCTGGTTGGCTTTGCTCAAATGGTATCCGTATCCTAGGGTATTTGGGTATTTGGGTATTTGTCCTTCTCCTGGAATGATTCGGTAGGCACTGAATGAAAGAGAGGAAAGAAAACATGGAACTTTTTTGTCCAGCAGCTATCGCGTGATAGTTGATGGGCGGTAAACAGTGTCATCGTTTCAAAGGAACTTTGTAAAGATAATCAGAGTCTAGACTACTAGTGGTAAATATTGCAAATGCATAATCATGCCGACCGTTCTCGGGCTTATTTCCTCCCACCGCTATCATTGTATCGTGATTCGAAATCTTGCATAACGTACCCAGTTATTGGGACAGAGCAACTGCCACGAGCCCGTGGCCGAAGCCCCAGCCCCAGCCTTCATTGGCCATGCGTTTACAAATCGGGGTCCTCCTCGTCGGGCAGGGGCATCTGGGTGGCGGCCTCCATCTCCTGCTCGTACTTGGCCATGAGCTCCTTGTTGACAGCGACCTCGGGGGGAGCAAGGGCGGGGGCAGCAACGAATTCCTAGAAAACGATCGTCAGTCAGGGCCATAAGTCAAGGAGCCACAAGAATCGACTTACCAGCTGAGGGTTGCCGACCAGCTTGCGAGCGAGCCACAGGAAGGGCTTCTCGAAGTTGTAGTTGGACTTGGCGGAGATGTCGTAGTACTGAAGGTTCTTCTTGCGGTGGAAGGTGATAGTCTTGGCCTTGACCTTACGCTCCTTCACATCGACCTTGTTACCGCACAGCACGATGGGGATACCCTCGCAGACACGGACGAGATCGCCTAGAATTTCATCGTCAATCGAGCGCTAAACGTGCCGAGGGCTGACGTGAAAGCACTTACGGTGCCAGTTGGGGACGTTCTTGTAGGTGATACGGGAGGTAACATCGAACATGATGATACCGCACTGTCCGTTGATGTAGTATCCATCGCGAAGACCACCGAACTTCTCCTGACCAGCAGTGTCCCAGACGTCGAACTGGATGTTACCCAGGTTCTGGCAGAAGGGTTAGTCGGACCGAGACAAAGACGGCGGAATGGACAAAGCGGGGTTGCCGGCGGGGCATACGGTGTGGAAAGCGAGAGGGTGCACTTCGACACCGAGAGTCGCAATGTACTTCTTCTCGAACTCGCCAGTCAAGTGGCGCTTGACGAAGGTGGTCTGGAAGGGAAATCTCAAAGTCAGTAATGACGTCCCAGTCGGTGAGGTGGAGGGGCGATGAAGTTTTTTAGTTGATAGGGACGACGGGAACAGAGAGGGGTAAACACGCATGACAGGAATGCAGGCGAGTATCAACCGGCGTCGAGACAGTGACAAGCCGCATTCGCCAAAAGTAAGCACAACGGGAGAATCCATCTAATAAATTGAACTTGCCTTTCCAGTACCACCGTCACCGACGAGGACAAGCTTGAAGGTCGGTACCTCAGCAGCCATGGCGAAGAGTATGTAGGTTGGGTGGACACCACAGAGGAAGAAGAGAGAGTAGAGAGAGGTCGAAAAGATTAAAAATCGACAGTCAGATGCGACAAGTCGATGGAACGCAGGCAAGTACCAAGGGTGTTCGATCGAACGGGGGGGGCAGTGAGGAGTTTAGAGAGGAAGGTAACGCTGATGGAATTTTTGCCCCGAGTCGGTCACCAAAGCCTGCGGTCACGTGGCTCTCGGGCCTCAGGCCGTCAGTGCCCCGCAGGACCGCGGCAATGCAGTCGATTCGCGGGCATTTCTCGAAGACTCTAAAGTAGCTACTCAGGGCTATTCAATGGTGGAGAAATTGTGGTCATCATGGGGCAATCTCATACATGGTGCCTAACCGCAACGCCGTCCTGGATGCTTCCCTAAAGCATTCCTTTCAACAACAAACAGACTTAGTCATGAAAACATGTCGCATTCCTCATGAAAGTAAGATAGTAACGAGGATTATTCCCAGTACAGTAGATCGCATCATCGCCACTATTAGAGCGGCACCAGATGGCAGCCCAACAGGCCGCGGCCGCCCCAATCACGGCGGGGGACAAGTTCGAGGGATAAATCGACGCTGCTGGGAGAGTTCGGTTCTTTCCGGGCAACTCTGACCACCACAGGACGCTGGGAGAGGTTAGTCTAGGATATTTCTCCGCGCGCGCAGCATTTAAGGGCTTCCATCAACCTGCAGATGACATGGGAATCTAGAGCAACATACCCCTTCACTTTGCTGGACTATCTCGGCAACCTTGGAGAGACGTTCATGATTAAGCCAGTTCGCGCCCCCAAATCCCCGGATGGTATCACCGACCCTCAGACCTGCCTGATCGGCAGGGCTTCCAGGCACCACGCTATTGACCTTCGCAAATGGCATACCAGTCGCCCCAGTATCGGATGCATTGTGCCCTGGTCCCGACGTAGCACCTATATTGCCACTGGATGGCGCAGCCGTCTGCGCACGCTGCAGATTCGCAAAATGGTTGTGGATACCCTTCTCTAGATGTGACATAACCTCCTTGTGATCGTTCCGCAGTCGAATGATCCGGGCTCGGGTGGTGCGTACTAAACATGACTTAGCAATTTCCTTGCGGAGCCAAAACGGTGACTCACCTTGGGCAACGTCGATATCGTCTCGTGGAAAGCCATCGAAGGTTGTCAGAGATGTGTTCATGTTAACGCCATGCTAGTGGGAACAGATGATTAGCCAGCATCTCACAGAGTGGCAAGCATATTCAGGACCGATAGTCGACTTACCGAGCCGAGAACGCTGCTCAGAGCTGAAAGTTCCTCTTCGATTCGTTCCTTTTCTTGCATCAGGTCGACCATGCCGAGCTTGGACAAATCGCGGGGAGGGGCCCCTCCGGACGTAGGGCCGGAGGCTACTGTTGGAGCATGAATATCGCGGTCCATGGGTATTCCCATTCTAGAGCGAGTGGGTGTTGGATTAAAACATTATTGGTGGTACGTGAGATGTAAGAAAGGACGGTCAGTGAGCGGCGAGAGCTGTCGCAGGCAGATCGCGCGGAAGCGGCGGTGGGTCTTCCTTCGGTGGGAAATCTGGGGGAACTTCTGCTTCTTGGCGGCATGCGCTTTGTAGGTGCTGCACAACAACAACCTCGAGAGTCTCATCAGGACGCGTGTTCAACTCCTTAAAATGCTCCATGGTGGCGAGTCTTTTGCCCGGTAGTCACTATACCTCTTAATTCAAGTCACAGGACTCATGAGAGGAGTCGACGGGCTGCCCTGCCCCAAACGCGCGGTCTAGATATACTGTGACCGCGGACGGACATCTGCTGTCAAAGGGATTAGCAACAGGTATCACTTTTGTGAACCGTTGGTGCTAATCTGTATTGCCACTTCTGCGCCTTGCAGTATGACCAGCCTGAAGTCTGGGAGCACAGATGCTGTCGGTAAACTTGGACCCATCGGTGAGAGCACCGGGGTAGCCTCTACGTCGTAGGACCAGTCCTTCAAGATTTAATTTCAAACCAGGTGGTGCAAATTGTACAGGAGACTTTACTTCAGCAGCAGCGGTGGGATAACCTTATCGTCCGTGTGCAGTGCGCTGGTTGCATGGGATTTGCTCCTTTCTGCACCAGACGTCTTGCTCGGCACGTGAGATCTTCCGACGGAGGCAGTATATCATGCTTTCCCCATGTGAGGATCTGTGCCGGTCGTGGCTTCCACCGAATAATTAGCGCCACTGTCGATAAGATGAGCGAAACCGAAGCATGGCCTGTTTCCTGCATCCATGTGCTACTAGTCCGAGGTTGACTCTGCACCATACTCATCATCATGGAGGAATCCAAGGATATTGCCGAACCTCCCTTACTCATCTTTGAAAAACCTGAATTCGAGGTGGAAATCACTGGAACACATGCTGTCGCAGCCCCGGTGGACCACGTGGCTGCATTCAAGCGATGGATGAATAGCTTCCGTTCCAGGAAGGGCTGCCACCCTTCCGAAAGATATATTGAAGGCTGGCCAGAGGACATCACACAAGATAAGCGGGACCTCATCCCTGACCTGTCATCCTTGCATGAGATTCAGGAAGTACAAGAGAAACAGTGGGAATGCTTATCCCGCCATTCATCAACCCTGGGAACTGTGAAGACTGCTACCCTAAGTATTGCTAGTCAAAGCGTTGTAAGATCGAGGGGAACTACACAGAGCACGACAAATCAGAGTATAAGGTCCGATGTTCGTGAATCCTTGGACAGCCTAAGGCCCACGTTGAGCTCCCCCATCGATGAGGAGGCTCAGCATCGGGCAATCAAGAGGCGCCGTGTTCTCCGAGAACTGATTACCACTGAATGTGACTATATTTTCGGCCTGAAGGCACTTGCTGATGTATGTTTCAGATCTGGTCTACCAGGTCCCTCATATTTCAACTCGCTGACGGCTAACGGTTTCATGATCTTTAGGCGCTCTTCATCGTATCCGTCAGACCGGAGATCTACCATAATATTCAGCAGATCCGCGAAACACACGAGCACTTTCTGGCAAAGATTCGAAAGTTGACCTCGATCTCAAACCTTGCGGGGGCTGAGTTCGATAGTTTGATGCCCCAGGGGCTCCACAAGCGCCTAAGTGCAATTGACTTTGGACTCCGAGCCTTTCATAACAAGTCTCTGAGATCACGCAGCTTTAGGGCTTCAGTGGACTCCCGTCTTAAGGCGTTGGCTGCACAAACCAAAGAGGCTTTGCAGGTCGCGCAAGAAGTAGGGAATTTGGTGAGTACTCCTAACAAGCCTCCTAGTCTTCAGCTGTTGACTTATCGATGCAGTCCAAGTCTTTCACGGCCTACAAGTTATTCTTCAAGAACTACAACTTACTGACAACGGATGTCTCTGTTCTGCGCAATACTATACCAAATTGGCGTATCTTTGACCAGGGAATTGAGGCTCTTTCGAAGTCTGTTGCATCAGTGGAAAGGCAGACACAAGAGGGAAACAAGGCTATGTCTTTGAACGACCTTGTTATCAAGGTTTGAATAACCGAATCCATTGGGTCCATGGATGCTGACAGACCCGCAGCCAGTCCAACGTCTGTGCAAATACCCCCTGTTACTTGAGGAGTTGCTACGCTGGACGCATATCCAAGACGACCCAACCGCCCATGACGGTATTCGGCAGGTGCTCGAAGGGGTCCGTGTGGTGGTGCGTGATATCAATTACGGGACTGTCAGTCCTATCGACAATGGACTAGTCAACAAGACTCTGTCATTGCAGGGATTCATGGATCTATCCACAACGGTGAGATAGCACACATATCCTACTCGGGAACATGGTCACTAAACCGAAGATTGAATCTGCAGAACGCGGTCAGTGATGCTTACAAACAGCTGGGCCCATTGACCCTTTGCGGCGTTCTGCATATTACATACCAGACCTCAGCCCATATTATCGGTGGCTACATGGTCTGCATTCTTTTCCCTTATCATCTGTTGATTGCCAAACCGACCGATGATTACCGGAAAATCCAAGCAGTGGCGTGCCTGTATATTCCCGACATGAAAATCGATTCATTGAGGAACGGAGAAGGTAAAGCACCTGCCTTTCTGGACTAACCGTACGCTAAGTGCCAAAGTAGGACTTCATTGTTATGGGTGCTTGTTTTCCTGGAAGTTGACGTTTCAACACCTCGACGAGAATTTCGAGTTGGTGCTTAGTGCATCATCGGCATGCGAGGAAAAGAAATGGAAGACGGAGATACTCAAGTCTGCTGCCGCAATGGCTCATATACAGAAGCCAGTTTTGGCGAAGCTCAAAGAGCACTCATTTTTGTCTCTCGAATTAACTCCATTGACCTGCGGTAACGGTCCAACGCCTCCATTGCCTCGTCGGCCGTCCATGCAGGTGCTAGCCACGTCACGAACACCGCCAGATTCGCAGAACATCATCATCAAGAAGACGCATTGTCCACAGAAGCTTCAACACTCCAGCTCACTGGATGGTGAACTCGAGCGGCCAAAGATGTCTGCCTTGTGCCCAGCGTTGGTACTGACAGCCAACAGGCAGGATCGGATCCTCCTGGAGCGTGCCATCTCTTCCCTCTATACACGGGATGCCCTGCCATACCCTGGCATGAGTCTGGGAACAGGCGACTATTTCAATCCTGGATCCATTATGAGACATTTGAGCCTCCGGCCGGGATTATACCGACGCTCCAGCTGTGTGACTCTAAGCACAGGTGGGGTTTCTACTGTGTCTAGTATAGGAATGATCCGTACGGTTGAGAAAGACAGCAAAAAGCTGGCCAAGAGCCAGGACAGAACGCTACGGAATGTGTCGAAAGGCAAGCCAGCCGCAACTGACCATGAGAAGGAATCGGCCTTGCCGCGATATGGCAAGGGAGTAATCAACCGATCCAAGACATGGAAGGTGAAGGTCACCAAAGGCGAGACTGCACCGGTCAGTAAGGGAAGACAGGAGTTTGGCGAGGGTTGTTCCTTGAAGGCATCCACTATCCGCAGGATGTTCAATTCGATGTCATCCAAGAGATCGAAAAGACAGGTTCGCGTGGGGCTGGGGAGTGGAGCGTCGTGAAGGTGATGATGCAACTTGTTTGAGATTGCCTGCGGAATTGCATCAGATGGAGAGGCACAAAATGCATGGAATATGTTTGTTGTTCTTAGGGATTCGTATTGATTCGAGGACTGTGGGGGGGGGAGGGGAGATTGACCGGGGCGAAGCGAGACGTAATTAGTAGCATTAGCGAAAATGCCAGATGCGTTAGTGATTGGAATGATGATGATGAGGGAATTGAATTCCATAGCTTCTCCACCGAGGGTCCAGAAGGGAGGGACTGAGGAAGACCATCAGTCGATGATGACGTCGGTGCTCGGCCGGCGACCAGGGCATCTCGCAACCACGCTGCGTATTTAAAGGGCGGCTGCACTCGAGGAACGAGTCTCATCTTTACAACTCCAACTCCATTATCAGACGATTGTGAATAGAACCATTCATCTTCCCTGCCCATTTTTCTCCCATTCCATTGCTCTCCTTCATCTCTCTCAGTCGGTGCCCGCCTTTGTCCCTCCGGTAGCATCGTGGTGACGTCATTCCCCATCACCTCACACGACCTCGACTTGATCCAGCTCGACTTCTTCTCTCCCCATCTTCCCCTCTGAATCTGCGACTGCCTTCCTCAATTCATCCCATATCTACTTTCAGCACCAAGAATCCCACACATCAACATGCCTCGCCACAACGACCCCACCTCCAAGCTGTTCTACAAGGGTGCGTCCGACGACTTCATTGTCTTTGTCGACGACCACGACGTCCTGAACAGATGGCGCGGTGACCGCTCAATCCCCTTGGCCGATGTTCTTAACGGCTGGAAGATCTTCGTGACCCACAAGTGAGTGTCCCAATTGCCTCAATCCTGCTCCTTCAACCCTCACAAAACCAGCGCTATGGATCTACGAGAGTAAAGCTAACATGCACCCAATCAGGCACGGAGCCCAAGGTGTCCTCGACGGAGCCAGCAAGGCCAGTCTCGAGAATGAATTCGGGACTTCCAATGAAGATGATTGCATAACCCAGATCCTGGAGAAGGGTGAATTCCAGTCGACTATTGTATGTGCTATCCCCCCCTCCCCTTGACTCTTCAATGTTTTTGAGGAATGATGATGAATGCTGACTGAATCTAGGCTCGTGAGCAACAAGGTGATACCAACTTCCGTAATGGACCTGCTTTCCGGTAATTTCGTGCATGCATGCCTTGCTGGCTGGCGGGCTGGCCTCTTCCCATCATTGTCATATCATGGTTGAGTGGCCTTCCCTTGATGGGTAGGTGGATGTGATGTGTTGGGCAAGGATAATAGCATGATCTCGATTGATTGACCGAATACACTCATGAATGAGTATGCTTTTTACTAGCGGATGAATACGATGAAATAGTATGGATACATATCTAGTACCGGTTCTACCTAGAGGTAGATGGAATTTTAAAGAATAAGGACGGTCAATGAATACTGTGTCTATTTCTATCCTTATCCTGAATTCGTAGTTGGAATCTATCGCAACACATCGAATTATATACCACCACCTTTCTTCCCCTTTCTCTCTATTTCTCCCCTCCGCAAAACAACCCACCTCCCCAACTCCTCCCAAACCCTCCTCTTCTCCTCCAACGACATCCCCGCCGCCAACCCGCTCGTCGTCGTCGCCACAAACACCCTCGCCCCCTCCCACTCCTCCCCCCGCCCCATATTCTCCCCCTCCCCCTGCCAGCCATACCGAAACTCCTCCTTCCGAATCCCCCTCCCATACCTAACCCTCCACACCGCCTCCCAAATACTCTTCCCCACCAAACACACCACCTCCGGCCTCATCGCCGCCACCTTCCCTTCCAACACCGGCACCCCCGCATCCATCTCCGCCTTGCTCAGCATACTCGCGTCCCGGGTCGGTCGTTCCACGATATTCGTGTTCCCGATATTGTAGAGCTCGGGGAGACGGTATGTGTCGGAGGGGGGGTGGCGGATGGGGGTGATCCCGGACCAGTGGAGGAGTTTCCAGAAGAGGTTGCTCGGGTGCGCGTAGGCGTAGCCTGTTGTGCCGGTTAGGATGCCGGGGTTGACCCCGACGAGGAGGAGGGTCAGGTTGGGAGGGATGGTGTCGCGGAGGAGGGAGTCGGTGGGGGTGGGTGTTGAAGGAGTTCGGGGGATTCTTTTGCGGGTGCCGGTTGAGGTGGTTGGGGTCTGAGAGCGAGAGATTGGGCTCGTGGATACGGATGAGGATGAGGATGGGAGAGATCGGGTAATGGATCGGGTTATTCGGGTGGTTGGGAGCATGGAGATGGAGGTGTCGCGTTTACGTTTTCGGGGGGAGGTGGTTTGGATGTTGGATTCGTGTTTGGTTGAGGTGATGGGTTGTTGTGTAGAGATGTTCTTCGCCACGTGGAAGTATTGATTCAATCGGCCGTTGAATGTGGTTTTCTTGTTCACGGGGACGTCGTTCTCAGCCTCATGCTCGAGCTCGTCCTTGTGGGTGCCTTTTGTCTGGAGGTGGACTTCATGCGCATCCCCTTGGGGATTGTCGACGAGAGGGGACATTTGCTTGTTGGCTGGCCAGGTAGTTGGGTTAGTGAGTACAGGAACTAATTGTCTGGGTTAGTGGTTTATATATGAGTAGCAATTAGGAGCAATCATTTAAGGGCCGTGATTGGTGCTAAAAGCTTTTCTTTGGTTCGGGTTGCTGAGTTGATTTGCCTCATCTCTTGTTCCTCGGTCTGGAGCGTTCCAGAAGCTTAACTCTTTTGGGTTGTATGGACATTTAGCACGTGATTTATTTTTGCCTGAGTGGCGAGGTGTCTGTGAGGCAGATAAGGCATCAGTGTCAGGGAAGAGAGACTGTGTACTTTTGGGCTGTAACGCGTGCTGGCGTGCGAAAAGTACTATTGAGCATTGTTGAATGACTGAACAAGTTCTGTTACGTATAGGCGATTGTATATATTGTACTGGTTCAGATGAAGAACTCTCTAGACTGCTCTTTCTATTCAAGTAGCTAAATCTATGATACATCACAGCGGGATTACATTTACTCGCAATTTAGAACCACCAGAGTCCTTGATTGCGCGATCCAGGTCAATAGCTGGAGAGTCATTGCTGACCCAATATGATTTGTCTGTCCAACTCCAAAACACGGGTATTATTGCCACAGTAGCATTGTCGGGCATCACTTCATAATGTCGTATCGTTTCGTGGTCGTTAAGTGCGGTATAGATGCTATACCTTGTACTCGCTTCGTTTTGGTAGGGTCCATGGTACAGGGCAAACCACCTGTTTCCGTCAGTCCATGCATCTGAGGAGGTATTGGGTACATACCTCGCCTTCACTGTAGGCCCAGAAATAAACCCCAATTCCGATAAGGTAGTACAGTGCAGGATCGGTCCCTTGATAGAGGAGCATTGAGAGTAGAGCGCTGAGGGGATAGAAGATCAACCGGAACTCGATGCTGCGGTGTGCAAGGGTGCCGGCAAAGTATTTAAAAGGCCATTCCCACGCAAGACCCAGCAAGCCCATGAGAAGGTTGAGGATTTGAAGAACCGGAACCGGGTTCACAGCGCCGTTCAAATTATCCGTCATAAAGTCCCAGAATACCTTGGGCCAGATGAATCCCTCGATCGCACCGCCGATTTGGTCTGTATATCAAGGCACTTCGATTAGCTGTCCTGTTGCTAGGTCAAAGGAACGAGCGCTGTACATACAAGCTGCGGCCGTGAGGATAATGAGTCGCGCCCAGTGATTCTTGATAAGTCTTCCCATGATAGGCAAGCCTGGGAAGCAGTGGCAGTATCAAGCGTCTTCCGTCCTGCGAAAGAGCCCTTTACTCAACTGGAGGTACAATGCTGTGGCTGTCTCATAAACACACAGATTGCGTTTTTCCGATAAAGAAGTCCTCAACCATCCACCTGATCAATGAAATTCATACGCGATATGCTCGTCCCAAATGACATGGCAGGTGAGACTAGTGAAGTGCACGGTTGCTCAAGTCTTGCCCGGCAGTTCGCTTGGAGGGACAGAGAGTGTGTAGAACGAATAAGCTTCACCACAATCACATCACATGAACTCAATGTAGGAAGGGCGATGCAGCGTTGCTTCGAGAAGCCATGTAATGCACTGCAGAGCAAACCAGTGATTGACAATGTCGTGGTGGTCATGGAGGGGGAATTGCCAGGAATACATAGCTTCCGGCGCCAAAGGAGGAGACCACCTGATCGCCATCTTCTTCACGATAGGCCGACGCCCAGGTATCTCCGTCCTCCTCTGTTCCCCTCTCAACGCCTGTGATACGTGGATCCTTTTTATCAACCGCTCTTTTTACGAGACCAATCATGAACAAAGCCCTGGGGGAACGAAAATAACCACCCTGGACTTCTTCATGGCTACGGGTCATGATTGGACCTGAACGCACGGCGGAGCGTGACAGCGCAAGTGATCCTGGGAGCTTTGATGCTGGACGCCCCAGCCGGGCGCTTCGAAGTCCCGGAGGCCAGCCACTCAGCGCCAGCCGCGGGCCAGACGGACGGGGTGTGATGCACTAAGTACTACGGAGTAGCGACTTGACGGGGCGTGACGGTGGAGCGGACGATGCAGGAGATTTGCGGCAACACACTTTAGCGGCCGATGCATCTCTGGCAGGTCCACGTTCCGTCCTTCTGATTGCTCCAACCAGGCCAGGTGCGCCTTTGATGGCGAACCTTCTTGTGAAGACTCGAGAAGCGGGGAAGTCGGTGTCCTGGTGGTCGGTTGATTTTCGTTCCCCCGTCCTTCCCAGAGCTTCAGCGGGCGCTTACTGATGCAACACAGATTGTTACACAGCCTTAAATACCCGCTGGCAGGCCAACTCGACCTTGCTCACGAAGCTCTCGTCCACTCGCGGGGGAAAAATAGCAAAAATTACAGAAACTGGCCAAAAAGGCACCGAAACAGGAAGAGTGATGGACAACTCACCGTCTTTTCGACGACCACCACCACCCGGGAATAATAATAGCACCGTCCCTACTACCCACACGGTCCGAGTGCCAATCTGGCTGTCACTAATTGTGATGAAAACCTCGACCGTGCAGGGCCAAGAACTTAAACTGTGCCTCGGCTTTATCGCCTGATCCTTCTGCCCATCCTACGCCTGTGCTTCCCATAAAAAGCATCAGGGTCTCCTCTCCCGACCCCGGAGATGATTCTAATTTGGACTAGTACCTGGATCTTGGCTGTCTTGGCTCAAAATGAGAAGCCTATATTTGGTAGCAGACGGACTTTAATCTGCAGTCCTAGTCATTTCCTATCCGCCACTGAGGTACACGGTCAATCTTGATGGCCGCTCGGACCGTGTGTGACGGGATGCGCGCTTGCACCAGGCATCTCATAGGTCGAAATTGACCGAGACTCCACCCTTCCTGACGCCAATCAACGGAGAAGTGAGAGAAATATAGAACAGTCGATGAGGGGTTGACGAGTTGTCGATGGCAACCCTCAATCCTGGTGCCACATGGTTCAGTTGGTGGCGGATGCCGGGAGATGAAAATACAGGCAGCATGCTAAGAGAGGGGTCTTGAGCCATTTGACTCGCCAGGCCCTATCATGGCACTATTGAGCGCACCAATCGTGATAACTTTACGAGCACGACAATGGGAGACTTAGAGAGGGTGTGACTGACTCTCACCCGATAGCGAGTGGTCTTGAATACGAGCGGAAGGATCGTCTCCTCAACGTAACAGAATTTGACCCGAGCCAAGTGCTCTTGATCGAAGAACCACGCATCATGCGATGAACTATCTCCTGATGCTCATAGTCTACAATTCTTTTCCGCCTGAGCATTGCAATCGGCAAGCTCGGGGAAGGTGTCTAACCGGGCGATCCGCTCTCTGCAGGCTACTTTAGCGACGCCGTAAGTCCGCGCAGAACAGGGGTTGGGGTAAATATAGCAGCAGGAATCCTGATCATCGCGTCTCTCGCCAGCGTCTCCCCTCCTCGCTGCAACCAGAACCGTATCTCTGGGTACCAAGACGCTTAACGGAGAACCTCACCGGCCAAACCCCACACCGAACTACTCGCATTATTCATCCTGGTGGCCTAGACCGTTTTGAGATAACAATGCTATAATCGGGTCTGATTCGTGTTTCCCAATTGGCCCCCAGCCCTCTGCGTTCATCGGCATTTCCCGCATCCTGAACGATCTCGACCACGGAATCCGACACATGAAGCCCGTCAATGTGCCATAATATTCGATAAACGAAGGAGAATTCAGGAATTGCTGTCCGTGCCCTGAGGTCACCAGCGTGTCTGCATCCCTTTAAAACGATCAACAACATCTTATCTAACTTGGCGCACAAAGTTTCTCGCTCTACGCGGGCTAAACGCATCGCATGCTCCGACGAAGCGTGTTGGCTTGCGAAGGACAATCTATTTATGGATTCCTAGACCATTTGGGCTGCACCGATCTCACTCCTTTGATATACGGTACCGGCATCGTCAGAGAAACGCCCATCGAAATACGCGCTCACAAATCCTTCACTCCTTTCAGGTACTGGTCATTGCAGGTCGATGACCGCGCCTTCATTTAGAGACTTTTCCCGTTTGTATGCTCATCTAATCCTGCTATCACCATGGTTCATACTTGGAGCTCATTTTTTGCCGCATCAAAACTTTGGTTCTACTCGGTGTTCTGGGGCCTGCATATTGTCATATTCGCAGTAGGGTGGTAGGTCGATAACCCCAAATAGCCGCCAGTGCAGCTACTGAGAATCTCTAGGTACGTACAGGTTACAGACAAGAAACTGGATGCCCTCAATACTCTGAAGTATTCCGTTTGGATATCAAGAGGCGCTGGTCTCGTCCTATCTTGCGATGCGACCCTTCTCTTGTTGCCTATGTGCAGAAACGTCGTCAAGACCCTAAGACCCCGAGTGCGATGGTTACCGTTGGATGAGACGGTATGGTTCCATCGTCAGGTGGCCTATGCTCTCCTTATTTTCACCATAATCCACACGGCCGCTCATTACGTGAAGTAAGCCAGATCTTCTGGAAGAAGGGGTCATTGTTCTAACAACAAGCAGTTTTTACAACGTCGAAAAGGATCATATCCGACCTGTGCTGGCTGTTCAGATTCATTATACCGAGGCTGGCGGGATAACAGGCCATGTGATGCTCCTTTGCATGATGCTCATGTACACCACTGCTCATCAACGGATCCGGCAGCAGTCTTTTGAAACCTTCTGGTACACACACCATCTTTTCATACCGTTCTTTCTGGCACTATATACGCACGCCACGGGCTGTTTCGTCCGGGACACTGCAGAACCTATCTCGCCTTTTGCGGGCTCTAGGTTCTGGAACCACTGCTTAGGGTACGAGGGCTGGAGGTGGGAACTAGTCGCTGGAGGCTTGTATCTGCTCGAAAGGCTGTACCGCGAGATCCGAGCGAGACGTAAGACGGTGATCCTCAAGGTGGTCCGTCATCCATACGGTATGTTCTAATCATGCCATCGCTGTTGTCTGGAAACTAATGCCACAAACACAGACGCAATGGAGATCCAATTTCGCAAAGATAGCATGAAATATAAGGCAGGCCAATGGCTCTTTATCCAGGCTCCCGACGTTTCCAGCAATCAATGGCATCCATTTACTATCACGTCTTGTCCATTCGACCCGTACATCAGCATCCACGTCCGCCAGGTCGGAGATTTCACTCGCGCCCTGGGCGATGCACTAGGATGCGGACCAGCACAAGCGAGAGACTTGGAGGGGCTTGACCCTATGGGGATGTACGAAGTCGCCCTCCATAATGGACAGAGGATGCCCAGGCTCCGTGTTGATGGTCCATACGGAGCACCAGCCGAGGACGTCTTCGAAAACGAAGTGGCCGTCCTCATCGGAACCGGCATTGGCGTCACACCCTGGGCTTCCATCCTAAAAAACATCTGGCACCTACGTACCGACGCCAAATTAGCTCGTCGTCTCCGTCGTGTCGAATTCATCTGGGTCTGCAGGGACACTTCATCTTTCGAATGGTTCCAAGCCTTGCTCTCCTCTCTTGAACTTCAATCTGCCACTGAGGCAGAATTCAACGGCAAAGCCGAATTCTTACGCATCCACACCTACCTCACTCAGCGGTTGGACGACGATACAGCCGCCAACATCTACCTCAACTCGGTCGGCCAGGCTGTCGACCCACTTACCGAGCTACGAAGCAGAACGAACTTCGGTCGTCCAGACTTCAAACGTCTCTTCACTGCCATGCGTGACGGTCTACAGGATCAAACATACCTGTCCGGCGTGCATGTGAATACAACCACCGAAATTGGTGTCTACTTCTGTGGTCCAAACGCCGCTGCCAGACAGATCAAGGAGGCAGCCATGGCGACCTCCACAAGGGACATCAAGTTCAAATTCTGGAAGGAACACTTCTGAAGAAGTTTCCAATCCTCTCGCCTTGTCTTTTTATGAAGACTAAATGGTTCAAGCAGTCCATCGGCTTACCAATGGACTGAAGAAGACCTCGATCACGGAAGGATCAATCCTTAGTATGTCAACAACAAAAGGATAGAAAAGAAAACAAAGAAAGAAAAAAAAGCAAGAAGCTCCATGACACGAATGTTGATGACTTATGACTCTCTTCACGTCTCTTTGATTATTTGTTGTCTCTGTCTGTCGCGAACTGCAATATCCTGTACAATACTTCTTACTGTCTTTACACGGCTCATAAATGTTTAAGGGAATACAATGCGTCTAGGCGAATCGTACATCGCGTAATAAGCCCAATGCATCATTACCAACGCTAATCTAATCTACCAATACTACCCCCCCCCGGGCGCTCCATTAACCTATCTGCATCCCCTCATCCTCACTCTCGGCATCCTCAGGCATATTAATCGGCAACTTAGACGAAACACTCCCACCCGCACCCACACCCCTCACCACAACCTCATCCAACTCCATCTCAATATCCAAATGAACCCGTAATCCCTTCTCCACCAACACATTATACACATGTCTCAACTCGTCAAATCCCATCCCCTCTTCGCCCTTTCTCGACTCTCGCGGCGAGATAAGATCAGCCCGCAGATGCGTAAATGCCAACATGATGAGTTCTTTCGACCACGGACATGCGCGCATACCCCGGTAGAAGACGTCCTTGGCGCGCTTGATCTCGTTCCGGGATAGTTCGAATAGGATGTAGAGTTTCCAGAGGGTGATGCTGGAGTGGGCTGTAGAGGTGGAGGTGGAAGTGGAAGGGGAGGTGGTGTCGCCGATGGCTTTTTCGAAGGCGGCGCGGACGGAGTGGAGGGTTGAGCCGGCGTAGATGGGACGGTTGAGTTCGGTGTAGATGGAGAAGAGGTGGGTGGTTATGGGGATTTGGGTGGGTGTGGATGTGAGGGGGTCGGGGTAGGAGGAGGTTGTGGTGGTGGTGATGTCGCGGATGGTGTCGCGGACGCGTTCTTCGATGCGGAAGCGGGATTCGTTCCAGGCGAAGAGGGAGAGGAAGATGGTGTTGTGGCGGAAGAGGGAGATGCTTTCGGATAAGAGAGCGCGGATGTGTGAGGGTTTGTAGACGTTGCTGGTGCGGATGTGGTAGTAGAGGAACCGGGCGCGGGATTGATGGAGGAGTTCGGTGGTGAAGGCCGTGAATGGCTTGGATTGGTCGGGTAGGGAGGCGAGTCGGGCAAGTGCGCTGCTGTAGGCTTCTAGGGCTTTGTTGAGGTCTTGGGAGTGCGAGAGGTAAGATAGAATGGCTAGGCAGTCTGTGCAGGCTATGAAGATGTTGGCTTTGTCGTTGGCAAGACCGATTTGCTGGGCTTCTGATAGGTACTGCAGGGTTGTTAGAGGATGAATTGGGGTGAGGGCATTGAAACTTACGCTCTGTATCTTCAGCAGATTTGTCGGGCTGAAAGAGGGTTGGCTTGAGGCATCGGGAAAGTCCTTGAAGTCGACGCTGTTCTGGGGTATGCAGGAGAGCAGGTAAGATGCATGGGCTACATTGCGCGTCTCGAGAAGCTCCCAAATCCAGGTCTGCCAGAGAATAACGCTATCCACTCTGTCGCGATCGGTGAATGTCTTGCTCATAGAGAGGGAAGTTGCCCAAACATGGTCGGCAGCTGCGTGATTGCCGGAGCGCCGTTCCATGAGAGCATAGGCATTGTAAAGTCGCAGGTTAGCTGATCGCTTTTTGAGCAGCGATTTCGCATATTTCCGAGCATCCTTGGCATTGCACGCAAACTCCACAGCAAGACCATATTCAGCCAGATCATCATTGCCAGGGTTCGCTTCTATCAGCAGCCGAAGGGTTCTGCGGACCCACGCAGGGTCAATGTCGGATTGTGAATCCGACGTGGCATTGCTCCAGGTTTTCAAGGCCGAAAACCACGTGGTTGGCTCGGCGAAAAGAGTGTCTAGTGCGACGATAAAGTTGTGATGAGGGAAGAGGACGGGGCTTGTCGCTGTAGGCTCAGTGTCAGCAGCCACACTTGGCAGCCAGTCCGCAAGCGTTGCATAAAAACTGCTGGCAAATTCGTTCCGTATAAAGCCGTCTCCATTCCAACGACTGGTTGTGCCCAAGCTTTGGACCGATGAAATCGGTGGAAGATGACAGAAATGAAGAAAGCCGTCAATCAGCATATATGCTAGGTGTGTCTGCCATGTTAGCGACAGGATTTCTTCAAGATCAGAAGCAATAATGACACGGTAAGGGTCATCTTCCTCCGAGTCATCGATACTGCGAGCTGGTAACCGAGCATTGACAATTCGCTCCCTTTCGTATGGTGTCCAGGATGCGAATAAGGCTCGCGCGTCAAGCTGGAATCGAGGCTTTTCGGTATCACTCGGTTTTTGAAGCACATTCTCTGTGCTCGTCCAGCCTTTGGCGCCTGCTTCACCAACACGCGAGACCTCTGATTCCCAAAATTCTAGGAAAGCCGACATCAAATCTTCTGGGCTTTGGTTGTCGTCAACCGAGTCGGGTCGGAAGAAAGTCAGCTCGAGAAGACCTTGCCAGAGAGCTGCTGCATGCTCCGTGAACCCAGCTTCGCGGATGAAGAGCGTCAACCGAAGAAACAGATACAAGTGGATTTGGACCTTCTCAGGTTTCTCTGATGTAGACCTATTGAGCCTCAGACACTCAAGGAAGGTAGCAAAGCATCGCTCATAAGTAAAATCTAGAAACTCGGTTTGACGGAAGTCGAGATATCGGATCCAAAGGCTTATGTACTGGGGATTTGACTTCAAAGTAGTCTGCCACTGAGCGGACAGCTTCTTGGTATCCCATAGTTTGGCACCCTCCTCAAAAAGGCCAAGTAAAAGGCGATCCCTCGCAAAGTTCGGTCCAACCTTTTTCAGCGCCTTTTCGTACAGCGATAGCTTAATATCGGCCAAGCCCTTTTGTTCCGCGTACGTCAAAGAGCCAGACTCTCTCTCGGATCCTCGGAGAAGCGATTCTTGGTGGTCAATAAGAGTGAGCCATGCGATAACATCGGTAGGATGCTTTTCAATATTTCTTAACAATTCCGCATTGCGTTGTTTGATCTCCTGGTCAGGGTCACTCCGGCTCCCCTCTCGGTCCGAATCCGTCTCAGAGACGGCTTCCACATCGCTGGGCAAGTCTTCGCCTGGTTTTGCTTTGCCATGAATCGATCGATATGCGTATTTCTCGTCACCCGAGTCGATTTCTAGAAAGTCATGGCGCTTCCCATTGCCGGAGGCACTCAAAGGAATGTAGTCCAACGTTTCTGCGGCTGCGTCAAGCACAGACTCTGGCCGTATCCGAAGTAGTCGCTCTTTGCTCTTATTAAGACCTGAGAGGAGATTCTTCGCTTTCGCCCTGGACTTTTCCGTTTTATGTTCGCTCGTTATAACCAACACGTCCTCGACCGCGCTCTCTCGATCGATTTTGTAGCTGGGGGGCAAGCCCAAAACTCTGCCACGACCAACTCGATGATATTGCGGAATGCTGTATCGATGTAGGGTTCCATATATGAGATTGTACCGGTCGCCCTTGCTGTCTATGAAATACAAATCTGAGGCTTCCTCGGTCGGGGGCTTCACGGTGCGGCTCGGTGCAGATGTTCGTGGATATTCGGGGGTGGGCTCTCGTCGGCGATGACTAGCTTCCTTCTGAGATGGACGATGTTCCCTGTGTTCCTTGTGACGTTCTCGAGACCTGGAGCGGTCATGATGGCTCCTATGTCTTGAGCGGTGCTTGGAGCGGTGCCTGGACTTGTCATCGCGGTCGGAGGTGTCGCGACTGGGGCCGGGCGGCCGATCAGCTTCGGGCGGAGGGGCTGGCCGAGGCTTGAAGCTGGCGAAGCGTGGGATGGATTTCTTTTCCTGAAACAAAGGATTAGTCTCAAATGAGCCCAGTTCAAGCGACTTCCGAGCGGACATACCTGGGAGCCAGCGGAATCCATGCTCCTGGAGGTGAGGCATGGGGAGCTCTCCAAGGCGGCGGCGATGGCTGGAAAAACTCCGCTCCCGCTTCCCGCACTTTTTTCCGGCTTGGGCCATCGGCCTCAAAAAAAAGTTGCTCCGAGCCTGGAATTCAAGATCTCCACGGTGCCGGGGAATTTCTGCCCGCTAACGCTTGGGGTTTGTCATAATTATCGGAGACGACAATTGAGGGATGGACGTCTTTTGCAGCACACGATAAACGAAAATTTTACCATACCAACATGGCCTCGTCCCTCTCCGCGCAGCTGTCGCAGATTGCGGCAAAGTCGACCAACCAGTTGAACCTCAAGGCACAGCGCATAGCGCACTCGCAGTCCCTCATCTTTGACTGGAAGGTCGCCACCACTCAGGATTTTGATACCGTCTACCAAATATGTTTCGAAGGTTTTCAGGAGTTATGTCAGCTGGATCCCCGTTTCGCGCCGTTCGAGCGCACCATCTTCAGCGAACAGAGCAAGGCGGAGGACCGTACGGAGATGAGTGCTGCTCAAAATAAGGAGCTCAGCACCGTGTTGGAAGCTTTCCTGGCTCTGGTGGGAGGTCATTTGCTGCTCAGTCCGGCCGTGAAGGCCGTTGACTGGCTGATTAGGCGTTTCCGGTACGATTCACATGTCGATTCGTCCCTCATCCACCAGGACTATGTTCGATGGGCTAATGAGCTTGCAGGGTGCACGAATACAACACCGAGTTCACAATTCTCACATTTCTGCCTTACTATACCACCCCCCTTTTCCTGAACTTGTTGTCGATACTGCCGGAAGATCTGACCCCGACCTTCAAAATCTTGAACCCGTACAAGAAGAGCCAAATCAACCCCCCACGCCATCCACTCGTGCACAGTGCGACGACCAACAAGCATTTCTTAGCAGCCGTCAACAGATACACCCTCCAAGTCAGCAAGCAGCGGGCACACCATCATGCTCTTCTGTCATTGTGGGCGGGAATTCTTACGGAGGCAGTTGCTGGCATGTTGGACTCCGCGCGCTCGGGCCGACGCGATCTTGAGAAAGAAAAGCACGAGGATGTTATCTTGAAGGTTCTTCCGGTCCTGAACGATGGCTTAAGTATGAAGGATGTCTCTGAGCTGGTGATTGGTTGCTACATGGTCTGCGTGGTTCTTGCACAAAAGGCTTCTCTTCAAGACAAACTTCTCGATGGGTTGATGGAGGCCGTTGCCGGATCGTGGACCGAAGAAACCATGGAATCGGGTTTGATCTGTCTGTCTGTCCTGGCACAGCAGAAGCCGGACATGAAGATTCCCAAGCGGGCCTTCAAGGCACTGCTTCGCCTGGAAGAACCCGTGAAGCAGCTGTCGGCTATTTCCACACAGTATCCGACATCACATCTGCTTCTCGGCTTGGTGTCCGGGTGCGTCGACGATCTCTCGAAGCAGAAAGATACCGCACGCTTGGATCTGCTATCCCTGTTGTTCGAGACCAACCTCTTGGGCGAGCCAGAAGCGGCTAAGGCCATGGCAACAATCCTTCACGCTATCAGCCATGCTCATAGAGAGGGTGTACTCTCTTTGGATGCCCAGACACACCTTGCAGAGCTTGTTCAGCATTTCAGCCAGTCCGAGTCTCTCCGGCCCATCTTCCAGAAGACGATTGAGGAATCGTCCATCGATGTTGCGGCACTCGAACACAACCTGCAAACGGTCATCGAATCCGTGCCCGCCACTCAAGCCATCAAGGATGTCGAAATGGGAGATGCACAGCAGGAAGTTGTCGACGATGGTTTCGCCTCAGCCCTTGAGTCGGTGGCAGGGAAGAAATTGGACGCTTCGGCTCTCAGTGCGCAATCGATTTCCGCCTTCGAGGGCCTTGTCCAGACCTTTGCCCTTGCCGTTGGCTCTCAGGAGAAGTTGGAAACTTTTGTTGAATTGCCAGCCCTTGGAAAGACCGATGCTTCGAAATCCCCGCAGTACCTGTCGTTCTTTGTCCGGACTTTCTCCGGTTCATACCCCATTGGCACAAGGGCGACTGCGCTGAACTTGGTCTCATCACTACTCAATTCCGTGTCCCTCGATGTCGATCTTCAGGCCCTTCTGCCTTTCTTGCTGGTGGCTCTGGCAGACCCCTCGGAGAGAATTCGGCGCGAGGCAGCGGGCGTGCTAGCTACAATTGGAAGTTTGTATAAGAAGAACAAGAGAAGTGAGGCTAACGTCTGGGCTCGCGATACGATCTACGGTAAACATTCGAAGAACGTTCAATGGCTTGCCGGTCGTGATGCGCAGAAGATTGTCGAGCGCGCGTTGTTGCCAGGCCTGGAGGAGTATGTCCTTGATCAGACTCACATTGGTCGGGTTCTTGAAGCTACCTTGCGAGGATCTTCGGCTCCCGATTCGGGCGCCGCTGAGCTGAAGAAGCCACTTCGCTTGAGCCTGTTCACCTTCCTCTGCTCCCATGCCGTCCAATTGCCTCTTTACGCCCCGAAGTTGTCTCTGCTCAAGCTTCTCAACCGTGTTGATAGGGCTGGCGGAACAACTCGCACGAAGGAGCTTGGACCATTCTTAAAGACGTGGCGGGATCTGAACGACCAGGAAGCCAAGGATACTTGTGAACGGGAGCGTGTCTCTGTGGCGGAAGTGGACCAGCAGGCCGTTCTGACGGTCACGCCCAAGGACAAGGATGCTCTCACCTTGCTTCTGTCCTATGTGAGCCCGTACTCGCAGTCTCTGCGACCCTCTTTTGTTACGGCCATCTTCAACCGTATGAAGGATGTCTGGGCTACCGTTGCGGAGGAGCTGCAGGTTAATGCTTCAGAGAAGCTGTTCGAGATCTCTCTCAGCGAGACCGAGTCACCGCTGGTTCACGGTTGCAGGGACATCCTTCGCAGCGTTGAGCTTACCGGCTCGGTGCTCCTTCAGTTCCTCCAGAAGATCCCTGTCTCTATCACGGACATGGAGTCTCTCGGCCCTGCGCCCAAGAGGAGACGCACTAGTCAGACTAACATGGTCGCCATGACCATCAAGGATGAAGCCAAACTCAGCAAGCTCATGGAGAAGATGACGTTCATCTTGGAGCTGGTGGACAGCTCCGCTCCGGAGGCTCATCCCGAGTTGGCTGATGGTTTGTTCCAGACCCTGGCTGCCCTTCATCATTTCAAGTCCCAGATCCAGTCTGGTTTGAGCTACCTTCTGAGCTTGACGCTTAGCAGCCTCCTTGCCATCGTCAACCGGTCCAAGGGTACCGCAAAGGCACGGTTCGATACTTCGGTTATCCGGGCTGACTTGGTTGTGGATTGCGTCCGTACCACTGATAGCCCCCAGGTTCAGAATGCAGCTCTTCTTCTTGTGGCGGGCTTGTCTGTCATCGCTCCTGAACTGGTCCTTCACAGCGTGATGCCCATCTTTACGTTCATGGGTTCTAGCGTCTTGCGGAAGGACGATGAGTACTCGGTCTCCGTGATTGATCAAACGATCGATCAGGTCGTGCCAGCTCTTATTCAGTCATTGCGCAACCAAAAGCGCGACGTCGTGTCTGGGACTTCGGAGTTGTTGCTCAGCTTCACGGCTGCCTTTGAGCACATTCCTTCCCACCGCCGCCTGCGCTTGTTCCATGCTCTGGTCACCAAGCTGGGAACTCAGGACTTTTTGTTCGCTGTTCTGGCCATGCTCGCGAATCGTTATGCCATGGATAAGGACGTTCTTATTTTGATGACCGGGTTGGTGTCGGATGCTAGTGCAACGGTTGAGCTTAGCACATACAGCAAGTTCTTGGACTTGGTCAACGACTCGCTCAAGTCCAAGCCCGGTATCTCGCAGGTTCTGCTTGGCATCGGAAGTGATGACGGCCGCGAGCCCCAGAAGGTTGCAGTCGACTTGCTCCGGACGCTGGCTCATCTGTTCAAGCACTCGTCGCTTAAGGTCAAGATGGCCAAGGACTTCGCCACGGAGGGAGACGAGGTGGTTGGACAGATCCGCACACTCTTCTCTCGGATCTTGGAACAGGTCCTGGCCATTGGTGAATCCATGCAGAACGTGAAGCCTGTGAGCCAGGCCAGCGGTGATGTCCTTAGCGCACTCTTTGGTACTCTATCGATTGTGGACTTCCTCGACACTATCGAGGTCCTGCTCCAGCGCCCCAACGACGAGCTGCGGCGTAAGGTTCTCCGGCTGTTGGAAGGCCGCCTGCGTCAGAACCCTGAACGCGACGGTGCCTCGCAACACCGCATGCTCGACTTCCTGCCTACCTTGGTCAACATCGTCCAGTCCTCGCCTGATATCCTGCTCAAGCACGCTGCGGTGGCCTGCATTGATCGCATCGCCGAGAAGTATGGCAAGAAGGAGCCTTCCAAGGTCATCCACGCTGCTCAGGTGGTTGCTAGCGAGGCCTGCATTGGACAAGACGATGAACGTATTCGTATCATGGGTGTTTTGTGCCTTGCATCTATGGCTGAGGTTCTTGGAGAAGCGATGATTCCCGCGCTCCCGAATGCTCTCAGCCGATCCTTGGCGTTGCTGGAACAGAGTCTGGAAGAGGGCAAGGAAAACGCTCGGTTGCACGATGCCGTTTTCTCCTTCTTCTCTGCCCTGTTCATCCACCTCCCGTACATGATTTCTGCATCTCACCTGGACAGGATCCTTGTCCTCTCTTACAAGTCTGCCATTTCTGAAGGTATTGAGGATGAAAGCCGAGAAGAGGCGCTCCAACTCATGGCACGCAAGGTTGACGTGGCTGCGACATTCGCTGCGGTTGACCGTAACTGGCAGCATGCTGTCCAGGCTGGCCCTGATGCTACACGGGAGACTCTGGGAGTCATGAGCCTCGCTATTGAGAAGCACCCCAAGTCTGCTACTGTCAACAACCTTGCTGTCCTCACGAGTATCCTGTTCAAGGCCTTTGACCTGCGTCGGGAACAGGTCTCTTTGGATTCCAAGGCTACCTTCGACTTGTCTGATGTGGACGAGATCGAGGACATCATTAACGAGGTCACGATCAAGATGGTCTACAAGCTCAATGACACTACCTTCCGCCCTATCTTCACGAAGCTCCTGGAGTGGGCGACTTCCGGTGTTCCCAAGAAGGATGCCCGGGGCAGCCTAGCACGCCTTACTACGTTCTACCGGTTCCTCCAGGTCTTCTTTGGTACCCTCCAGGTATGCCCTTACATCCCTTGCCAATCCTATATGTGCTCTGTACTGACCAATCTAGTCCATCGTCACTGGTTACTCCAGCTACATCATCGAAAATGTGGTTTCCGTCCTGGGCAAGGCCAACCCATCCAACCAAGACACCAAGAGTTTGTGGTTGGCTACGATGCGCATGCTCAAGAACTCTTTTGAGTATGACCAAGACGGTACGTTCGGCCCCAAGTCTTATCCTGATTAGTGACTGACCTTTCTAGAATTCTGGCAATCCCCCTCTCACCTCACGGTCATTGCCCAACCCTTGATCTCTCAACTTGCGCACGCCAAGAACGCATCCACGGCATCCATAGTAGTTGCTGAGGCTGTCCCCGCTCTCACAGAGCTGGCCGTTGCAGCTGACTCGACCGATAATTACAAGGAGCTCAACACCGTGCTGATGCGTCTGCTCCGGCCCTCTGCTGGACCCAGCGGCAAGGCTGCCAGCGGTGAGAACCCTCACACGCGTCTCGCCGCGCTCAAGGCCCAGCAATCTCTCACAGAGCAATTGGGTGAAGAGTGGCTTGCGCTGCTGCCAGAGATGTTGCCTTACATCAGTGAGCTGATGGAGGACGAAGATGAGAACGTGGAGAGAGAAGTCCGCAAGTGGGTGAAGCAGATTGAGGGGATCTTGGGTGAGAGATTGGATGACATGTTGACCTGAGCTTACTTGACTTGACCACGTTTGGATGCCTGGCGTATGTTGGTGCTTGTAAATAAAAAGTTACAGGATCGATTTGCGGATCATATACCTGATATAGTGTTCTATTAGACTAACGATACTTTTTGAGTTTTGTGTGTGTTCTCTCGGCAGGCCTGCCATGGGCAGTTTTTAGCTCTCGGCAACCGAATATGGGATGACAGGGGTCTACATCTGTACACTTCAGACCAATTTTATTATGTCTCAAGGCATCATCTCAACTGTGTTGACTGGGCCGGTAAGCGACCTTCGTGTGGACAGGACTGGCATCGACTCGAAAACCGGGCCAGCCTTCCTCCAGCAATCTTCCCATACATCGACCTCTCAGCCCTAATCCCAGCTTAATCAAAGCGGTATAATCTGTTGACATACAAGAACTGACCACACCCCAGCCCCGCTAGGATAACCATAGCTACCCTACTCCTTATCACCTAAATCATCAACTTTTTGCTCTCCGCCTTCTTCTCTCATCAACGACACCACTCGGCAGCTCAGCCCTGTTGAGATCTAAGCGGACGATACGAACTCTAATCCACTCATCTCTTCGAGGGTTCGCTTTCTCAACAGTGGTACCTCTCCAGACAAGTCCGTAGCATGCTTTATGATATCAAAATATAATCTTGGCGATAGTTGAGATGATCTCTATGCCTTGTCCAATGTCCCAGTGTATCTGCGGGCGGAGTACTACCGGTCATTAATCTTCCGGAATTCATGCAATGTGTATGCGAAACTTACTTTCGAATCCTTATTTAGATAAAGGTATTCCCAGTCATAGCTGTCAGTCTGTCCTCTCCTCTGCTGTTCTTAGCTTCGCAGGTGAGGAGGTTTGCGTCCATTGTTTTGGGATATTCTAATTGATGTGAACTGGATTAATTTGTTCTTTAGGGATATGGTACTCAGGTATGTGATCTGTATGCTTGATGCTGCTTAGGTGTGATAGAAGGGAAGGGTTATTGGGGTTGTATATATCGCTTAAATATAGTAGTGTATGTGTCGGAGGTGGTTGTTATTCGTGTGAGTGTGGGTGGAGTGTCCTCTTTGGCATATATATGTATATATTTCGTATTTATTAAAGGGGCCGAGGTGGTGTCTATGTCCGAAATGAAGATGCCCTGGGTTGTAGCGTAGTCAGGGTAAGTACGAGGACAGGGGCTGGGCTGTGCTGGGCTGTTGGTAGGAGAAGAAGGGGAGAAGAGAATGGAGGGATGGAGATGGTGTTTTATCCTAGATATAGTTGCAAGAGTGAAACACTATAGTGATGAATTCATCAACATGGTCACTGCACTATCTGATCATTCAATCCTTGGTCTTTTATGTTGTGGTCATAGGGCTGAGAAGGGATGAAGTGGTGGTGGAAGTGATGGGGATTTGATTCATCGATAGCCTGGATTCGGGAAATTCTAGGCCACTGAGTTGTATCGTATTATATGTAGGGCAAAGACTGGGACTTGACGACAATGAATGAATGCCCAAAAGAATTCCCCCGTGTATTAGAGTCCACTCCGTCAACAAATATATCTTCAGTTGTCTGGCCGTTGCAATTAGTTAGTATGCCTTGCCTGCCACTATATTCCCACCGTGATCGGTAGAGTGAGACTATCTATGACAGTACCTCCATCATCAATCTATACCCAACCCGAAATGTCTACACCACCACCAGTACATATCACCACAAATCTTCTGTTGCCTACACTTGCTCAGTTTTGGGTCTTATATATTGTCAATGGAATGTCATATCATAACAACAGGTGCTGTGGTCTAGTGGTATGACGTCACGTTGTGGCCGTGCCAGCCCCGGTTCGATTCCGGGCAGCGCCAATTACATATGTCTTTTTGCTTTTGGTTTTTTGTTTTTGTTGGTGGCCATGCTTGATAAGGTGCGGCTGTCCCGATAAGAGATTGTTAGATTTTGGGTGTGTCTATGCAGGTTACGTTGTAATTGCTTCTGAAGTGTGGAGTAGGGAGGTTTACAAGGTAGGATGTTGACAAGAGTAAAACAGGTTATTGTAGCACGAATACAAATGCCTATTCGTCTGTGGTTTATGATCTTGTGTCTCATCGTAGGCGGGAGATGTCGTGTAGGGAGATTTTAGCTTGGTGAGTTACTTACTGTAAAGGGTCGTTATGAATCTTATCAGTCTGTTGTACTCGTGCGTAGACCAAGAGGATGTGAGAGTCGTTTGTAGGAAAAGTACTCTGTTATTCGCATGATTGAGGTTGTATGTTTGATTGAAATTCACTTAAAAAGGGATCCTGGATACATCAACTAGATGGTGGCCTGAGTAATCCGGGGACTGGGGCACCGGAGGCGTGTTTTTACCAACACGACAGCCTTCTTGGAGGAGATGCTAATTCGATTGAAGATTAAATCCTGGAATATAGGAAAAACCATTAGTTCAAAAAGGAAATGAAGGAGATGACTCGTTTACATTAAAGATTAGGTGAGGTCGTGGATCGGATGCTGCCTATATCGATCTCATATTTGCCTATTTGATATCCGGAACATGCAATTATAGACTAGACGTTCTCCTGCAGAACATCACAATCCCTGGCATATTCGTATATATAAACTGCACCTTTACGATGATTGTTTACTGCACAACCCCCGACCAAGAATTCTGCTGCTTCGAATCCGACAGATATGGCACAAGAACACACCAACCTTTCCCTAGGTGACAACAGCGAACTGATCAACGCCTTCAGGTTAGGCCTCTCACTCACCGACAGCACAGGCCTGGGATGCGAAGACGTGTGGGAGATAGACCACGAGAATGCCAAGACCCAAATATCCGAGTATTTGCGTATGTATTGCCCATCGCAGTTCATAAACAGACGGAGTATAAAAGCTAATGACTGCAGAATACCTAACAGATAGTTTCTGTCTGGCGCTTGATTCCAAGGTCTTGGGAGAGGGTGAGCGGCTGATCCGAACTCGAATGGATATTATCTTCTTCGTGCTGCTGGCCACGGTGAAGATGAATATACAGAGCAGTGGAAGTCATGGTACTGGTACCTATGATGCCAGCGTAGCTCCCTGTTGGGTGAGTCCATATGATCTCACGATTGGACAGATAGATGGAGAAATGGATCATGTCACGAAAGAATCTCCTCAGACGACCACCCGCGTGGATTATCTTCTTCGGTATGGACCGGATATTGGGTTGCACACTAATCTGGTTGTGCTCAGAATGAGCACCAGCAAGCCTGACAGGGGCTGGGGAGTCCTGGCAGTTCTGGGTTAGTCGATCCATGCTTGCTAATATTGAAGTGAGTCGTTCGCTAACTCGAATCAGCGTCTATCCATCGTAGGCAGAAGAAAGCCGGGATCAAAGCGGATGTATATGGCATTTGTACTGATAGCCATAATTGGATTTTTCTCCATGTTGACAACACTGGCAAGGTCTGTCGTTATTGTCCTTTTCTATCGGATCTGAACTGATCTCATGCAGTACTCCAGATTGTATCTTGACTGGGCTGAAAGCCACCAGCAGATTACCAATCACCTCTGCCACATTGTTGGCCAGGCGGTGACCCTGGCTAAAGAGGTCGGAGGATTCGAAGAGCCTGTTTAGTGGTGATGCCCGGGGTTTCAGAAGCGGGATGCCAGCTCGGACTTGACATGATTCAGCTAGGTTCGTCGTCTCGTGACCACATATTGTATCGTCATAAAGTAGTAGCTTGCTTCTATTTGGCCTTTCGCAGATGTCATCAAATTGCATCATTCTTAATGGCTTCCTCACAACCAATGATTCCGTTACTATATGACGGAATTATATAGCAAGATCAGGCTCCGAGCCTAAACCAATCATGGTTTTAGTGTAGATCCTGCGGACTGAGGCATTAAGCGTCCTAAGAAGCTGGTCTAGAACAGACAAGTCGCCAATCCAAATGATCCTTAGTCCCCGTGATGCCTGCTGCGCAATTTAGTCTGCAGGTGGTCTGATATAGCGTACAATTACGCCAAGGGTCCCCGGTTTCCATTACTCATATACTTCGATTCTGAGCTTAGTAGGACGGGCCGAACTGCGGGTGGTACATTATGCTGTTCAGGTCTATCCGTCCATCATTTGATCGACACAGGCTTGTTATAGTATTTGCCAGGTCATGATTCGTGTATCTGGTTGCTGCATCTTGGCTGCCATAGGGCGTGCATTGCTCAGGATGAAAGCTCCTTGTTAGGCTTCATAAGTATTCCGAAGTACGACATAATGAATGACGATTCTCGGAGATATCATAGGTACGCAAGTAATGCGGTCGTAGATCGTTGGATTCTCATGACTACTCCACAGTACGCGCTCAAGTAGCAGCTGCTCGGGATCCCGCCGATGGGCACCTGCCACATTGGATAGTTCCGAGTTTTCATGGCAATGGGTCCCTGCCCCTGACCCCGTGCCGATGATGATGATATATGGACAGATATTTTGCGTGTTGGCCGCGGAAAACAGGGTCGGAGGCGCAACCGGCCCGTTTCTAGGCGAGCGACAACCTCAGGAGGTGGAGGAATCGAGATCCAGAGCGGGTATCCTGGCGGGAGGTCCAGAATTTTAAGCCTTATAGAGCTTGGTGAGGGTAGCAAATCCCTGGGTCCCGGTTACGGGCGGATAAATCTGGAGCGACCGGCAAGCAGGTCTCGAACCCGCCGCGGTTATTCTCGTTTGGTGCCGGCGGGCATGGCCAGCCTCCCGGAATCCAGGAATTCGCGATCTGATGTATATGAGTTCCGAGTTCGCCATCATGAATAGTCCTATTTGGTAGCAGAAATTGACGGGCCAGTTCGGTCGAGAGTTTGGAAGGCAAGCGATAACGGCCCCAACCTAAAATCGCAGGTGCGAAGAGAACCCGGCAGCTGCACGGCGGCTGCGGCCAATGAGAAGCGACGGCCACCTTGGTGGCTTGCCAACCATGTCAAAGGGCGTGAACGGTAGTTACTAGTACATAGTCTGGAGTCAGACTCACCTCCAGCGCGGATCATCCGACGGACGATGGGGGATTATTGGCCTCCTGCTTGCCGTAGTCCCGGGCACGTGGGAAGCAGACAGGCCGAGAGGGCTAGAAGTACGGAGTAGAAAGCCCAAGAAGTCAGAACAGGCTTGACCAGCAATCAGACAATTGCTATGCATGGAATCAGAAGATCCGTAACTCAATGGTGTGAGATCTTCAACTATATCACGCGAGGGACGGTGATGATTGTCTCGTCAAGAATGTGGGAACTAAAAGCGGAGTCTCATTGGCGGACGAGGGGAACTCCTAAAGAATTGAGCGACGCTCGTCGTCATTGCATTCCTCCTGACCGTAAAAAGGGAATGAATGGACCATCAATCTACTGTAGGGCGCGGGGCTTTGCGTCGGACTTGTCATCGAAGGGCGTCACGGCGCGCCCGCCAATCACGTCTTCGTGGTCGCCGCCGGCTGAGTTGGCCGCGGACTTAATTCCATGGACTGGTTCGCCAGATCCTATCAGACGCCCCCAATCCTTCGTATTAGTCCCTTTTCTGCATGTTTCTGGCCCAGTTTCCAGCACCCCTTGGATCGGATATCAAAGCAATCACCACGTGCGCTAGGTGGATTTTTCAGCATGACTCACGGAAGGGGTTCATGGCGCAAAAGCCAGAGACAGGCTTGCGCAATGTTGAGTTGGAAGGAAATATTAATACCAAGTACAAGCCGGGTTTTGAAGGGCATCAAAAAGTCTCGAACATCTGCTCCACCGCAGCTTTTCCATTACCCAACCGCAACTGCCATCACCCCATCCCGACATTCACTCCCTATCGGGTCCATTTATTTGATTTTATTCGATTTATTTTTGGGGACCTGATTTTCTTTTTCATAAAAAAAAAAGGGATTATAATAAAAAGCTATACGCCGTGTGCCGACCTCCATTGCTTCTGTTTATTGTTCACATACTATTTTTCCCCGTCCTCTTGCAACTCACATCTTGGGGTGGTTGGTGATCACAGCGCCAATCCCACACTTCTACCGGGTCCTGGCTATACTTCATCTGACCTCTGCAATGGCCACCCCGTCCATCCTCACGCGTGGCTCCAGCTCCCTGGCAGCACTCGCGGTCCGCGGCCGGCCCAAGGTCGACATTGTTCTTGCCAATCAGCAAGATGGCTTGGTCCCTTCGTATACAACCGGAGATACCATTGAGGGCACGGTCACCATCACGACGGATCATGACACTCGCTTTGACGAGCTCGAGATCACCTTCGAAGGTAAGCAACAGGGAACACGAGGGATGGACTGACCTAGTCGGATACTGACCTGGTCAGGAACCTCGAGAACCTCCGTGGAGCGCCAATCGATGCCCGGCCGGACTGGGGCCTACCATACCTTTCTTCGTCTTCGACAGCCCATCGATGACACGGCATATCCCACCCCCCGGGTTCTAGAAGCTGGTCGCAGTTATCAATTCCCGTTTACCTTTGTGGTTCCCGATCGCCTGTTGCCTCACATCTGTAACCACACCAAGACCAATCTGCATGTTGAACGCTCGCACACGCTGCTGCCACCCACGTTTGGTGATCCCATGATGGCCAACAACCGCAAATCGGTTCTCGACGACATGGTCCCCGAAATGTGCCGGATCTCTTATCTGGTTCGTGTGACCCTCCAGCGAAAGCCGGCGGCCCAGAACGCCTCCCCTATTACGCTTGTGTCCGTTGGGAAAAAAATACGGATCATTCCTGCAGTGGATGAGGAACCGCCCCTCAACGTTGCTGATGACGAGGCTCTCTACTGCATGCGCAAAGAAAAGGACGTGAAGCGTGGCTTGATGAGGGGTAAGCTGGGTCGATTGGTGGTGACTGCCGCCCAGCCCAAGTCGGTGCAGTTGAGTCCCCCCGGCGCTGAGGAACGCGATTCGGTGAGCACCGTGGCAACGGTCCAGCTGCGCTTCGATCCGGTGGGCGACGAGCAACCGCCTCGCCTGGGCACGGTGTGGAGTAAACTGCGCGTGTCGACCTTTTACAGCGCCGACCCCTGGGGCGACTATCCGTCCGCCTCGTGTATCAGGACCTGGGCACAGATGGGCCGCGGGGCGTACACCGAGGCTGTACCACTGTCCACCATGTGTGTCGCCTCGGCGCAATGGACCAAGCACACCGACACCGGGCTCGACCGCCGCGACTCCATGCACTCGACCTCGTCCACGGATTCTCTGCCCGGCCCCTCTGCCTCGTTCGCGGGCAATGCCTACTATACCGCGTCGGTCGTTGTGCCCATCACCCTTCCCAAGGACAAAGCATTTGTGCCGACCTTCTACTCGTGTTTGATCGCTCGCATCTACGCCCTTGAGCTCAGCATCTCCTACCACGCTGCCAACGCTCGAATCTTGACCCCGACCGCATCCCTGAAGGTTCCCATCCAGCTGACCTGCGAGTCGCGGCCTGGTGCAGGACCCAAGGGCACCGTGATCGAGATCACGCAGGACCAAGTCAATGCGGAATTTTTCAGTCCTCGCAGCATCGCGCCCCCATCGGTTCCCATCTCGCCGCCTGAATATACGGCCGTCCGCGTTTCAAACCTGCCTCCTGACCGTTCACGAATGCTACCACCGTCATCAGGGACCACCACGGGGGGTGTCAGAGTCTGAAGAGGGCTGCGATTGGGCTGCGGCAAAGCAACGCAAATTATCGGAGACAGAGTGGATACCATTATTGGCTTTCTATTGGCGTTTGGATTTCACAGGTTACAATATACCCAGGTCGTTTGAACAGTTACAAGTTGCGCGAAAAGTTTGTCTAGCATTCGGAGATACCCGATATTGCACATACGGATACAGTTTTAATATTGTCATAATAATGGATACAGGAGATTTTACATGAGCCGTTCGTAGACTGTAGTCTGAGCTGTATTGTGCCTGGCGGGTTAGCTACAAGGCTGACGAAGGCCGTTGCGGAGTTATGGTTAGTCAGGGATCCCCACTCAATCCGGGGATAATAAACTTCCGAGCAAAGGCGGGACCTGCAGTGGCTACCTGATTCGGCCCGGGCGAGGCTATTCCCACTTCATCGCCTGCGCCGAGCATTACACAAACTCAGCCCGCTTCGGATCATCCACCCAGCCTGGCGGATGCCTTGCAGCACATGATACATTCACGCTGGATCAAGCTTTCCACTTCGTCTAGAGTTACTCTGTCATCGAGTATGGTACACCACGATGTCTCGATGCTCGTATATGAACCCTCCAATCCCATCATTTACTCGTGAGTGTGTCAACACAATCGTAGCACATTAATAAACCTGGGGCCAATTCTGCGCCCTGAAACAAGTCACTGGCCGGAAATGGCAACCGTATCCAGGGTCAGTGGATACCAAAGCTGCACTCTCAGCATCATGGGGCCTTACTTGTGAATCGAATCCTCAGACAGAGTACGAGGACCGAGCTGTTTGGTGAGATGGTTGGTGACCACTTTGCCTTTACTCACCTGCTGAGGTTACATCCATGCAGGCCTGCTTTCACCGCTGCTGACTGAGGCAACGCCCGGTGCACGAGTATAAAACAGCTGCAGATGACCTCCTTTGTCTGCATTATGAAGCTGCTTTCTTCTCGATCTTTATCATTACTTGACTTGTTCTTCTTGAATATCATCTGTCACTCCTTATTGAGATATTCTTACACTCCTTCAACATGAAGCTCCCATTTCTTCTACTTTTGGCCCTGTTCTCACTGGTCCATGGCGCAATCGTCCATTCCCACCATCTCGGCCACGCAGGCACTCCTAACCACCGGCTCCACCGCGCCCTGACAGCACAGAGCAACAGTTCTGGGTACAAGTCTGTTGCTTACTACGTGAACTGGGTGAGTTCACACCAGTATATTTCCTATCTTCTCCCTTCGCTTATACTGATTTGTCAGGCAATCTACGGCAGAAACCACAACCCGCAAGACATTCCCGCCGAAAAACTGACCCACGTTCTCTATGCCTTTGCCAACGTCCGCTCCGATGGCGAAGTCTACCTCTCAGATACGTGGTCCGATATTGAGAAGCATTACCCTGGAGACTCGTGGAACGATGTGGGGACAAATGTGTACGGGTGCATCAAACAACTATACCTTCTGAAGCAGAGGAACCGGAAGTTGAAGGTGCTCTTGTCGATTGGTGGATGGACATACTCGAGCAATTTTGTTGCTCCGGCGAACTCGGAACAAGGGAGGAAGAAGTTTGCATTCTCTGCGGTGAAGTTGCTAGGAGATTTGGGGTTTGACGGACTGGATGTCGATTGGGAGGTTGGTCGGATACTTCGTGCTGGTGGATATGCTGTACTGTGCTGACGGTGACTAGTACCCTGCAAACGACGGTCAGGCTAGCGATATGGTTGCGCTTCTGAGCGAAATTCGAGCGGTTTGTTCTTCCTCCCAGAATCAACTTCACAAGTTGACCCAAGTAGGAGCTGGATAGATACAGTCGAGAGCGTGCCAACGGGAAGCACTTTCTACTAACTATAGCCTCTCCAGCAGGCAAGTCCATGCCGCCCACCATACCCACTATTTCTAATCACAATCTTTAGGCCCCGCAAGATACAGCACCCTTCACCTAGCCAGCATGGACGCTCTGCTCGACTTCTGGAACCTCATGGCGTATGATTACTCCGGCAGCTGGGACACAAAGGCCGGCCATCTCGCCAACCTCTACTCATCCTCGGACAACCCTGCCTCGACTCCTTTCAATACGGAGCAAGCTATCTCCGCCTACCTGGCCGCTGGCATCGCCCCGAACAAAATCGTCCTCGGCATGCCACTCTACGGACGTGGATTCCAGAACACCGACGGACCTGGGAAGCCGTTCAATGGCGTTGGGGACGGGAGCTGGGAGAGGGGAGTGTGGGATTACAAAGCTCTTCCTCAGCCAGGGGCGAGTGTTGTCGAGCTGAATAATGTCGGTGCGAGTTATTCCTATGATGCTACCAAAAAGACCATGATCAGTTATGATAGCCCTGGGATTGCCAAGTTGAAGGCAGAGTATATTAAGAAGAAGGGACTTGGGGGTGCGATGTGGTGGGAGACTTCTGGGGATAAGAAGGGGTCAGAGAGTTTGATTTCTACAGTGAGTCGCCCATCTCACTTTCACAGGTCATAAGCTTATATAGACAGGTTGTGGATGCCCTTGGGGGAACTAACGCGTTGGATACCACGGAGAATCAACTCGAATATCCTGGTTCGAAGTACGATAACCTGCGGAAGGGATTTCATTGACTAGAGGAGATTGATGACTACCGCTGTTGATTAGATCTGTGAGATGGAATACGTTCTTGTCAAGATGTCATGAAATGGATCAGAAGTCTGTTTCCGCATGAGAACATTGATAAGTGAACTTCAATGATACACCTATCAACCCCCCCCGTTTCAACTCGTGCAAGTTCCTCCCTCATGGCCCGCTATTATCCGCCATACTCGAGGCTCAGCTATTCCACCAATGTCTTAGCACCAAGCCATTACCCATTCAAACAAGCAATGGCCTACACCACAACTCCAACGAAGCAATCTCTTCTCTCCTAAAGATTCCCGTAGAAAAAACGTTATAGAAAGGCCATGTCTGGTTTATACGTCAATGGCTACGGGAGTAGATACTATCCACTGACACTAGTAGTGACTAAGTGTTCTCTGTTCTTGGTTACTTGAGTGTTTGGGCTGTTTGATTTAGCATTGCATAATCCCGTGCCCTGGAATTGGGAAGCGCTAGTCCCGGGCCGGCTAGGGTCCAGTTCTGGTTATGGTTCTGATAACCATGAATCATGTTTGATATATGGGTATGAACACACGTTGGACAACACGTCGCCGCCGTCTCCGTCACCGTCCCATCATAGACAATCCCACTCGCCGCGATCTGATACCCACTCGGACATAGGCCCGGAGAATAGTAACTGGAGATTTGCCAGCCCGAGGGGAGACATTCGGCGGTGTGTGCGGGACCCAGGTTCATCCAGGTTTTGGTGCTGCTGCTGACGAGCCATTCGTTGTGGAGGCATGTGCTGGGTGGGGTGAAGGTGGTTGTTAGGGGGAGGGGTGTTGCAGCGGTGGTCATGGTTGCAGCATTGACTGTGTGAGAGTGTGAGTGTGTGGTGAGGGAAAAGGGGCGTAAAACATCAGAGGTTGAGAATTGCAGCCAAGAATCTTGCACAGCCTTGCGCATTTAGTAGGATTCTAGGATGATTAGCGTGCATGGGGCGGGTTGGGACTGTTCGGTTGAAAATGAAGTGGAAGCTGTTTTCATGCTGATTGGTTGAGTGGGGGGATATACTGGGTCGTTTGGAGGCCCGAGCCTTACTGCTTACTGCAGTGACTCGGTTGACCCTGCCCCACCGGGGATTTAGTTCCGAGACAATCGCTGCTTTTTGGAGTGATATGGTCTCGTGATGGTACTTTCAGACATGATGGGCTATTGCTGAAGCTCATAATCATAGACAATACCATACAACCCAAGTGGAGTACCCCTGATTGGGCCCCTCACATGACTCTGAATGGGTTACTGGTACGATTCACTCTCAAAGCGCACTTTGAGTGTTTCATGACAATCAGCCACCGAAAGCGGCGGCGGCGCCCGTACATAAATGACACCACTACTTGGTTTTGCTCAATCCACCCGACTCCTTTCCAATGGTGCACAAAAATTACTTACCCTCCGATGCTCTCCGCGATAAGTAAATGACATGAAAATTCGCTCTATCAGTGCTTCAGGAAAACGGTAGCACCTGGGAACATCCAAGGATTCTTGAGCGAGAAAATCTAACAGTGGTGGGTTCAACTGATGTCCCCGTGGGACCTGATGGTTATGAGCCAGCAGCTGATAGACTTTACACAAAGGATCATAGATTTGCTTTATTACGCAACATCCGATTCGCATCAGAAAAGCATGGGAAGGGTGGAAAAAAAATGAAAGATTCTGTGTCAAGTCCCTCTCAGCGAGGCTATCCCAAGATTTTACCAGAAATCTCCAGAATAACCCCGAGGATATCAGCTTGCTCTCATCTTGGCATCTTTGATGCTCAGTGTGCTTCTGATGGGGCTGGTAAGACCTATCTCTCCATCCATGGATGAGTGGTTGACGGTTAATATTATATCCTCAAGATGTGACCGTCATCACAACTATGGTTCCAGGATACCAGGTGGGTCATGATTTGACAAATACTCATATCGATATCCTGGCCCTCATACATGGTACAGATACATTGTTGGTCACAATGCATACTACAACGTCCAGGGCTCACGAATACCCTCTCCATCTGAGTTCACAATCTTCACTCCCGGCCCTCCTGCGTCGTATGCAGAAATGCCGTGGCTGGGCCCTGGATATGACCGCTACATAGACTCATGTAATTCTCCCTTCTTCTGGAAGTGCGCATGTTAATAAGTGGGAGAACGTGCATGGTGAGTTGCAGGATGGCCGCATGTGGATTCCGTACGGCAAATACCCATGGCCACCATCTTATGAAGTCACCTGGAAAAGAATCGGAATCGAGATAACGCGTTTCTGCCACAGGAAGCCCCTCTATCAGCCAAGCCGAAAGAGAAGAGGAGCCAAGGTTGCTGGGAGCGCCCCGATCCGCCTGTCAGCACAGTGGGATGCTCCGGACAAGTATAAGCAGGCGGGACACCACATCCATCCCACATATCCCCTCCCTCACCACAGCCCCATACTCAAATCAACATGACCATTAATCAATTGCCTACTGAAAATTGGCGCACGATCGTCGCCCAGCGACGCAAGGATCTCGACTCCAAAATCCCTCAAGAATGGCGGCTCAAGGAGAACTTCCTCTCCTCGCTTGCCCGCCCCAACCATCTTCTGGCATCGAATGCAGTACGGAAGAGTGGAATCCTCACTGAAGCCGAGCTAGATCTTACTGAGAACTACGACGCTGCTCAACTGCTTCAGAAGCTTGCCACTGGCGAGCTGAGTTCGGTGGCCGTTACAACGGCGTTTTGCAAGCGGGCTGCCATTGCGCAGCAACTGGTGAGCCTGCAAAACGTCTGCGTATTAGTTCAGAAGACTAATATCTGATAGACATCCTGTCTGACGGAGCATTTCTTCGATTTTGCTCTAGAACGTGCCAAGTACCTCGACGAATATCTCAAGCGAGAGAAAAAGGTCGTCGGGCCGTTGCATGGACTTCCGATTAGCATGAAGGATAGCTATCATGTAAAAGGATACCATACTACCATCGGGTATGTGTCATTCCTCGAGCAGGGGCTCGCAACGTCGAACTCGGCCGTGGTCGATATGCTACTGGACCTGGGCGCGGTGTTGTATGTCAAGACGAACATCCCCCAGACGATGCTAGTAAGCCCCCTTCTCATCACCCTGGCACGACTAACGTTGATAGACCGCTGATTCCGATAACAACATCTACGGACGCACCCTCAACCCCCACAACACAACTCTCACAGCGGGCGGCTCGACTGGCGGCGAAGGCGCGCTTCTTGCCCTTCGTGGCTCCCTCATCGGCGTGGGCACCGATGTCGCAGGCTCAATTCGTATTCCTGCGCTCTGCTGTGGCATCTACGGCTTCAAGCCAACGACAGCCCGCATCCCATATGGCGGCCAAGTTCGTTTTCTTTATGAAGGGCCCCCATCCGTGGAACCCTGTGCAGGGCCGATGGCCGCTACCTTTGAGGACCTCGAGCTCTTCATGTCGACCATCCTCGACGCGGAGCCCTGGCGCTACGACGTGACGACTCTCGCCGCTCCAAGGTCCCGTCCATCCGTCGAGCCTCTCCTCACCATCGGCATCCTCGCCGCAGACGAGAAATACCCACTGCATCCTCCTGTCAAACGGGCCCTGCAATCCGCTATTGAAGCGTTAACCCGGAAAGGGCATCGGATTGTCTACCTCGACAATGACACCAACAAAGACCTCGACATTGCCTACGCGAACCGTCTGTTCTGGCAATATGGCACCTACTCACCCCGTCTAGACCATATCACGCCCAGCGGCGAACCGCTCGTGACCTCGGTCGCCAAAGGCCCCTCCCCTATGGTGACGGGGTCGTTTCCCATTTCCAAAGACCTCGGCATTTTCGAAACGATCCACGAATTACATCACAAGAGACAGCAATACCGCGATGCCTGGCGCAAGGTATGGGTTGAGACAGGCATCGATGTGATCCTTGCTCCAGGCGCGCAGAATACCGCCGTGTCGCATGATACCTACGCGTGGCCACCATACACGGTGGTGTGGAATCTCCTCGACGTACGCTCTTCCAACCCTTTCATTACTAGCACTAATTGTGTATATAGTATCCGGCCTGTATCATCCCGTATGGACAAGCGTCTAAAGAGCTTGATCCGGAACCGATGGCTATAAATGACGGCATGCAGCCTGGTTGTGAGTACCACCCTCAACAATGTAAGTCATCAAAGCAATACTAACAGAGGGATAGATGACCCTGATGCAGTTGATGGTGCCCCCTGTGCTTTACAGATCATCACTTCGCGATTTCAAGATGAGAAATGCCTTGCTGCTGCGCGAATCATTGACCGAGGTATCCGGGAGTAGGCCAGACATCCATGGTATCTATGAGAAATTACTACATCGATATCTCTAAGATAAAAGCTGTTGGATCATCAATAAATCACGAAAGATCAGTTCCAAAGGCAGACAAATTCTTTTCCCTTGGTCGAAGGACCATGTATATATTCTTATGAACACAAGATCGACTCTGGTCTACCGATTCCATTTACCCTTCATCTAGTCCACCATTCCACAACAGCCCCTCTACCTCCCTATTCAGCCATTCACATGATAGACTCATCCCTCAACCGGTTCCTAGCACCCATATCAGCAAATACGCCACAAACTCTCTCCAACCTCTAAAGCCACACAATGCAATCCAACCCCCCAATCCACCGCATCAATCCCACAACCAACCCCCACCCACGAGCACCCTCCAAACTTTCTCCATACCCCACCAATACCTTACACACCTCCACGTTCCATTTCCCCGCCACAGTAAGCACTTACGCCTTTTTTCGTCCCACCCCTACTGAAGTCCCAAATGAAGAATTCCATTAAGATAGCCCCACCCCACTAATCCAGCCACGCCTCCTCCACATTCTCATATCTTACCGCTGAATATTTGACTCTACTCAATCTCTAGCAAGAAGCGTACAATTTTTTCCTTAACCCCGTATACTACCAGACTTAATGCAGCACCTGAAAAGTTCCTATGCTGGTAGTTGCGAGTGAGTCATCATCCGTAATGACTGTTTATTATGAGTTGCGGGGCGAGCGGCGCACATCGGGATGTAAAATCCATTATTCTATCTGGGCGGGGCGCATGCGGAAGTCCTCCCTAAAGGCCAACTTTATCATACTAATCTGGATGGGATTGTAACGTGTATGACAGCGTGTGTAAGTAGACTGGGGTGTGATTTAGGTCTAGTGGGCTGGAGGTTGTCATATGGTGGATGTCTGTTTTGGGGTTCTGGTGTTTTGGGGGGGGGGGGTGGTCTTCAGGAGACATGAAAATAATATTTATGGTAACTGGCGAGAAGGTAAGACAGACTCACCACAAGCTAAACGCTAGAATCGAATCGCCAACCCCCTCCTCATCTGCTTTGGCTTGTGAGGCTTGGTGTACTGTGGATATCACACTGGCCTGTAGGCAGCCTTGCCGCAACCGGATAACCGGACGGCCGTGTCTAGCCTGCTCTGTGGGACTTGTCCCTATTTGAGCCCGGCTTTCGGTGATAAACAGGTCCAATTAGTCGTATAGAATCACTCTTAACCATTCCACAATTATCCAACAGAATATCAAACCACCCACCTCCCATTCCGAAACATCACCCCCGGATTCATCAACTCATCCTTCCTCCTCACGGCATCCCACTCCCCACCGACATGTTCCCCCGCCTCCTTCAACCACTCCTCCCACTTCTCCGTCGAAGGCACAAACTCCCCATTCTTCACCCACTCCACGCTCCCCGACAGATTAATCACCTGCCATAACGTCTCGGTATAACTCCCGCCCAGCCTGGACTCCACGAACTCAATCTCATACCGACTCATATCCCACAGATCGCGCGGCTCGACTAATAATGCTAAGAGCCAGTAGAGACTGTTCAGGATGATGTACGCGACGCCGATGGCGATCTGCATCTCGGAGCCACAGTTACTGAGGAGGATGATGGAGGCCATGAGGAGGACGGTGCTGGTGCCGAGGAGGCGATGGTGTTTCTTGCCTTTGTACATGTATTCGCAGTCTTCCAGGCCTTCGTAGAGTTCGCGGATCACGTTGTCGTCGCCGTAGACGAGGATGAAGGCCCCCGAGCGGGTGCGGATGATGATGTCCCCGCTGGGGACTTCGGCGGAGGTGGTCCGGACGGAGAGGCGTGGGTACCAGCGGGCGGAGAGGCTCGCGACGCTGGTGGAACAGGACATGGTGGCGAGGCCGACGAGGGCGGTGCCGTCGTGGATGCAGCCGGCCCAGATGAAGAGGCCGAGGGTGATGAGGATGGAGATGAGGGTGACGACGTTGAGCCAGCAGAGGGTGCGGAGTTTGATGGGGATGCGGTGTCGGGTTGATCGGTGCGGATGGGGGGTTTCGAGCTTGGAGGAGGGTATGTTCAAGTGCATTCCGGCCTCGGAATCACTCATCGCGTAGCGGATTTTGTAGACTCGGAATTCGTACTTTTCCATGTCTTCGACGTTGTGGATGAGGTTGGCGAAGAAGTTGAGTTCGTCGAGTTCGATGCCGGATTTGACTCCGATGATTTTCACGTCTTTGACGGAGGGGGGTCGGGTTGGGCGGTCCGTGTCGAGGAGGGATTCGGGGGCGGGCATTAAGCGGGGGAAAATGGCGAAGGGAGAGGCCGTGATGGCTTGCATGTGTTTTTGGATGGCCGAACTGCCGATCACGGCCAGCAGGGGGATGATGTCGAAGCGCCATTTGTTTTCGTCGCCTTCGAGGCCGACGGGGAACCAGCCCATCTTGCTTTTGGGGTAGTGGTAGTTGTTAGAGGTAGGGGAAGGAAGTGAGAGGTGATGTGAAGATAGGGATTGAATTACTTTTGAAGAAAAGACATAAGAGCGGTGTAGATAAGTCTAATCACTTTTAAAAAACGGATTCTTGGCTTAAGACATCAAATGTGTTGCCAAGCATGACTACTTGTTAGTGAGGTCCACTGACTATTGTGAGATCAGCCCTACTTTAGCTTCAAGGGATGGGATATCCGTCTCATGATTCTACCGGATCACCGGGCTTCCCACGTGAACAATTGAAGAACATTGTACCTTGAATTTCTGTATCCATTTCATGCAAGGAAGATGCTCCCGTACAAGTCAGGTAGCAGCATCGTGCGGGTGTCTGCAGGAGAATCGCAGCTAAGAAGCGACTAAGTTGCCGATCCTTCTCGAAGGCCCACTTCAGTGCCACTTTAGCGGGACATGCCACTCCCGTCCCCACTGTGGCTGATGGCGTTTCATTTACAGTGTCAGTGAGGTATCATGCCATGACGGTGTCAATGGTCGAGATGATTTTTGGACAATACGTGGCAGGCTTGTCGGACTCATTAGACCACGGGGACAGCTGTCATGGCTGTAAAGGTGGAGGATGGGTATTGATAATCCGGCCCACTGAGTGGGGTGCAGTGATGGATGGTACAGAGATCAACATGGTGAGGTCCACTTTCATCCCGTTCGTGGGGTCGACATGAGTCTGACTCGGTTTGTGGGATGCTTTTTATCGCTGAGATGCAAGTGTTGTTTTATCGAGCTCGAGCATTGCCCAAATTGAAGGTGTACGTATTAGGACTTGTAGCTCACCGACACAGAATGAAGTGTTGTCCGCTCCGCCTGATGTAATGTGGGGAAGAAACTGTTCGATTAGCAGTTTGATACTTTGAGAATATCGGGAATGGTTATAGAATGTATATATGGATGATATTAAAAGGAAGATCGTCAGTGCCTATATAGACCTGGAACACCCTCATCAACGTATTGTTCAGGACATCACTCGACTGGAGGTCAATAAGAAGAGAAAGATCAAAGTATAGAGTCAAGAAGGGATGAAACAAGAGGGGCCAATAAATCAGTAGAAGAGAATGGCGGTAATCATCAACCGGGCTTCCCTGAAGCCCATACAAAATCTGATATGTGCGCAGGTTACTCTCCAGACGAGATAAATCCAGCACTCACCGTTGAGGACTCAATTCTTGAGGCCAGGAAATTCCTCCCCAGAATTGCCATGTTAAAGCCAACGCGACCCACACTGCGCTTTGCGGATTTAATCCGCCCCTTTATACCCCAAGCACAGATTGCGGAGTACCCCATTTCCAGGCCGATGCCACCTTTACAGTGTCCGGATGTTTAATTGGGGAGAAGCTGGAAGAAAGGCGAGCTATGAGCTGTCGGTATCTCAGTCAAATGGCTCGCTGACCACTGTGTAACATCATGCATAGTACCACAGAGACAAATATGCTGACGTGGCTGCACGCTCGAACGATCGTGGGTATTCTGTAAAAATCGCGACTGTACCAACCATCCTGATAACTCCATGCAAATCCTGTTCATCACATAGAAGCATATCACTGTACTCGGAACTACGTGTCATTCATCGCCGATAACTCAGCCGGATACCCACTCTCCGGCCTTTTATACTTCCCCGGTCCCGGCACCGCATGGTATGCATCCGCCGGCAACTCGGCCGTAAACTCCCGACCATAATCCTGCCGATACTGCGGCGGCGAGAACGCATAAGGCGGCTGCGACGACATCGACCCCGACCGCGAATGTTCACTCGGCGATACAGGCATCTGATACGACAACCGTCGCGCCCGTTCATCCGGCGACATCATAATAGAGGTACTTGTTCGATCCGCGGGATTGAAGGTCCTCAGGACCCCATCCTCCATAATGCCCTGCAAGACACCAGCATCCAGGAGTTCCGCTTTCTTGATAAACCGATCCACCAACACCTTCGATGCCGCCCGCAGCTGACTCTTAACGAAGGAGATCAGCGTCAGATTGCATTCGATTTCGACATCCTCGCGCAGATACAATCCCTTGTTTTCCTCCGATGAGTACGGATCCGGTGGCTCATTGGGCTGATTCCCCACAATGCGGTAGGTGTTGCGCAGGTCCACGCCCATTGGGGCGTAGGTGTGGGTTTGCAGACCCCACGGCTCATCGTGGAAGCAGCCCTTGAAGCTGATCGTGCGGGGCACATAGCGGACGCGCTCGGTAATTTCGTACCAGGTGGAATAGTATTCGTCGGCGGGAGCATTGCGCGGTGCTTTGACGGGATGATGGGAAAGGACGAGCGGATTGAGGGAGATGATCTCGCCATGGCTGTGGAGGATGTCGATGGCGAGTTGACGGGGAACCTTGGAGGGGATGAAGATGGTGTTGGTGTAGGTTTCTTTCTTTCGCAACATCTTGATGGACCCCGCTTTGGGGCTGGAATGGACAGGGGGGGCTGACGACGTGAGCAGAATGAGGGGGAGGAGGGAGAAAGAACAAAAGGTGGCATGTCAGCCGACCTCGTATTCTCATCTCACAGCCCCGAGTTTATAGATCGGGTTAGTCAGCATGACGACAATCCATTCGCCTGAGGAGATGCTTCTCTACGCAGTACCCAGAAGATATCTGTTGGGATGGTTTCTGCAGTATCGTCCGGATGTCTATATCACTGCCCAATGGAATCCCTAGATGGCAACAGATTGTGTGCTGGAATGTAGAAGGAAGATCCCGACAAATCCACTGAAAGAGGGGTACCTTATCCCCAGCCAGGTTGATCTGGGTGCTATTTCCGAGATACCCACCCATGTATATTCTAGCCAGGGTGGTGGCAGAGACGGTCCACATGGTGGTGACTTGATGAATGAAGAAAGGAGGATTGTAGTGATACATAATGCAACAGGTGGACTCTTCTTCTTATATGAAGAGTCTGTTACACAGTGGATATCTTACTAGGTATGCTAGGCGCTGCTAGCATTATCTGATTCCAGCCTAGCGCTATCCATACCAACAAGGCAATCAAGTTCAAATATACTCCAACAGGCAGAATAGATCCATTGCTGCCTGCCGTAGCCTAGCGGTCGACCTACAAAGCTCTAGTATTCAGGCACCGGCTTCAATGATACCTAGACTAGGTTGTAACCTGCAGTCACGCATAGCTCAAGAATTGCGAAGCGTTTTGATAAACATCGCCTGTCACAACAGATCTCTAAAGGATCTAGTCAAGACTTGTAGAGCTCTGAAAGGACGTTATCAAATGTTTCCGAGAAACTCCGTCAAGCGTTCTTCGAGGATTTAGATCTACCCTGTATGAGAGAGCGCTAGATGGACTGAGGATGCGGTGTGGATGGGGTCTTGATTTATGCTTCATTTTGGTTTCTCTATTTTGCCAAGTATGAATATGATGCTCATGATATCGAATAATAGGAGTGATGAGGAAGAGGTATATCCAAGAGATTATTGGTCGGGGCTGTTTAGTAAAAGCTGCACTCCAAGTATCGAAAAATTTGTTCAATGGGATTGTATGTACATATATGCCAAAAATATTTACCACTCCAATCGATCATCACACATCAACCGAACATCGAATCGTTCCTGTCCGGTCCAGACCTTACTGCCCGAATTACAACTCGCAACGATGGTTCGCAGGTCACTGATCATACCGCCGGGACCGCTGGCGAATACCGTCGTTGGTCCCTGGACTGTCTCCTCTAGGAATTGGGAGACTAAGTTCCCGAGATCTGGATGCTTGCTGAGCCTTTCAGCGTCGTCGTTTAGTTTCTTGACAGGGGCATCCTGGCCGCATGGACAGGGTTGTGGGGTAGTTGGAGAAGACGATGCTGAGATTTGTGCACTCTTTTCGTCCATTGGAGCGGGATCTCTCGTAGCGAAGATGCGGATCTTCAGGTTGAGACTATTTTGGAATCTTTGTAATAGGTCTAGTTCGTCTTTGATCCATGCGGTGTCTTGGGTGTGGCGGATCATCCAGATGAGTTCGGTGGTTCGGGTTGGAGGGGGATTTTGTTGTTGTTGTTGTTGATGATGCTGCTGCAGACATTCGAGTAATACTGGGAGGACGTAGGTGATTCCGGTGCCGCCGGCGATGCACAGGATATTGGTGTTAGGAGTTAGGTGTTCGGTGGTGGCTTCGCCGTATGCACCGGTCAAGATGACTGGGGTGTTTGTAACACCGTTAGCTGCAAGACTGGCGAGCTTTTTCGTCTCCCCGCCTTTTGCTCGAAGGATGTACGAATGTCTCACTTTGCCTTTGGTGGCGGTTGGCGCGTTGAGAGGTGTGAATGGGTGTGATTGCCAGATGCTGCTTTGGGGGAAGCACAGATAGTAATGTTGACCCACGGCCCATGGATCTTGAATGTGGTCGATGTCGAGGCGAAGTACGTCGCCGTTATTGGGGTCGGGGAATTGGGTGATTGTTGCCTCGGCGGGTCTGCACCCCATCGTGCCGGCTTGGTCTGGTTGATAGTGCAACAGTGCAGTACGACAAAGACGAGCGGCGCGATCCAGGAACCAGAAGATTAGGGATGGGAGGAGAAAACATTTCAGTTGTTCCCAGTGACCCCAGCAAGCGCCAATGAAGACCATCGCAAGGATGTAGTGCAGTTTGCGAAAGGTCTCGTAGCCGGTGAGTTTGATACCCCATGGGGTACTCAGTGCGAATAAGAAGAGCAAAAGTATCATGGCGACAATACCCCAGACGATGTATGTCTGCTTGATGAACGCAATCCCGACAGACGGTTGCGGTTGATAGAGCCGCAGCTCAACGACACACCAACCAATGGTGTGAAGGGAGGACTGAACGAAGATGATATAGCCGAGCCAGCGGTGCAGGAAATTGAAGCTCTGGTACGGTAGGCCTGTGATCAGGGAGAGAAATGACTCTCGGCTGCTGAGCAGGACCGACAATGGCATTAGGGCGAATGCCAGAACACCCACTCGATCCGCCCATGGGCCTAGGCTTGTGCGAGTATTATACACTCCAGTCATGCCAGAGACGGGCGTGACCCAAGTGTTGTATACAATGCCGACGAAGCTGAATATAAGAAGATACCCTGCTAGGACGACGAGAATGAGGACTTGTAGTCGGGTGGTACGGCCAAAGATCCATCGCATGGCATCGGGAAGGAGGTAGCGTCTGCTGAACGCTGCTAACGAGCGACGGCCCCTTTCCATGCTGGACATTTTAATTGTCGAGTCTATCGTGGTTGCTCCTGAGCCCCGGAACTGATTCAAGCAAGCCCAGATCAAGAGGATGCCGCCAATCGTGGCCCAAAGGATCCCCGTGTATAGCATTCCTCGATCATGCGCCGCATAGTCGACATCGAGATAGGCACAAGAACCTGCATCGCTTGTGCAGGGCAGAGCACGGTCTGCATATCCCCAGTGAGGTTCTAATGTCGTTGCAGCACTGTAATTCTGGATATGGCGGGCGGCCAGTGGAAAGTCGCCCATGCTGTATCTGGCAGACAATATCACTCGAATGCAGATTCCGAGTTGCTCACACAGCCGAGCAACCTTCTGTCATTCTCAGGGGTGAACAAAACCGTGTGTCAAAAGCTCGATGGCTTGGAAAAAAGTCGGAAAACAGTGCCATTCTGCAAACGACATTGGAAACCCATCATATTCATAGCCCATGAGCAGCATCTGTCAAATCACGCGCGGGGAAATTTCCGATCTTGGCACACGATCTGAGCAGATTTGAGCAGATTTCCATCGCTTGCACCATCTCAACCGAGTGTCCGGTCCACTAAAACGAGCTCCGAAGTGGGGTGGTTGCGTGTCTTCGTGGGTGACTTATAAGTCGGCAGCTGGCGCTGGTCTCGACTACCCCATGTGGAGGAGGCAAGCAGATATCCTATACCATATACCACGTTATCTCCCCTGGACATTGCAATCACCGCAATCATCACCATGGACATGGACATGAACTCCAGCTCCAGCACGTCGTGCAAAATCTCAGTACGTGCCAAGCCCCCACGCGTCTTGGCTGAAACCTCCTCCCTCCTCGCTCACAGATTCCCACTCAGATGCTATTCAACTGGTACACCACCGACGCATGCTTCCTCTCCTCCGGCTGGCAAATCACCAACAACGGCATGTTCGCCGCCACCTGCATCGGAGTCATTCTCCTGGTGATCCTCGTGGAATTCACCCGTCGGATGGGCAAAGAGTACGATGCGTTCTTGGCGCGGCAATTCCAGCGCCAAGCCGCCGCCGCCGCGGTTCCATCCAGTGCGAAAGTCACGTTTCGCGTGTCGCCGGTGCAGCAGCTAGTGCGGGCGGTGATTCATGCGATCACGTTTGGGGGCGCGTATATTGTGATGCTCCTGGCGATGTATTTTAATGTGTATGTGATTATTTGTATTTTTGTGGGGGCGGGGCTGGGCAAGTTTTTGTGTGATTGGATGGTGGTGACGGTTGAGATGGGGGATGGTACTATTGGGAGGGAGGAAAAGGGGGTCGAGGAGACGACGGTGTGTTGTGGGTGATAGGACTCTTTATTCTTAGGGATATTTTCTTTTATATTGTTGAATATTTATGATTTTCTTATTTTGAGGTGTCGGACAGTGCATTACTTCATGATTGATGCTCGACTTGGTAGGTGGTTTCTTGATCATCGACTCTAGCTCATGGGTAGGTTATGATCGAATCAAGTGATGTGTACTTCTACTTACCTACTCCTATTTTACTATTTCCAGTCTCAATACACCGCTTAGGAAGGTCTACTAATCCGGCCGTGGCTCAGTAACGAGCCCTCAGTATTCTATTGCGGTTGGTAGAGGTACACCTGCTTTGAGCTATCTTCATGTGGAGAGAATAGGATTCATTTTCAAATATCAGGTGGTGTCGAGATGAATCCCCCAAAGCCGATCCACCAACCACCGGACAGGAAACCGAGCTGGTGAGATGCTCTCTGGCAAATACTGATACCAGTCGTCTTCTTTCACCACACTCATCGTGCGGGTGAGTGCCGTACATTCATAATACGCCGGATAGAAACCACTGAACTCCCAATCGATAATCCCAGAGATCGTGTAGCCACGATTGAGATCCGTACCTCGCTGCACCATGATATTGTCCGGCCTAACATCACCATGGGTGAAGACCAATTCGTGTTCCGAGGTCAAACTGTCCTGTCCGAGGAGCGAACGTAGGAACTTGATGTATGTCGTACTTCCATAATTGCGGGCGGAAAACTGCAAGTCGCTGAATTCAGTGGCAGTCGTGATTCCCTTGAACAAGGAACATTCCGCGACTCGGAGTTCCCTAGCCCCGTCGCCCGTGACCCCTCCCAACGCGCTGCCATCCGGTGCTCGGAGACTCCTCAGGCGGCGGAAGATATGATCCAGCTGGCTTTGGATGAATAGCTTCTCCTCGTGGGTCATCGTCGGCCATGCTTGAGTCAGGGTCATTTCGGGCATATATGACATGAACACGGCCCGGAATGGCTCGAAGGCAATCACACCATGGGGCTTTGGGACAGGGATATCAGGCAGGTGGTCAGCAAGATATTGCAGGCTTGTATACTCAGTATACTCCTTGTTTCCCATGATCACTTTCACGACAATCTCGTCGGTGCATTTGACCACAACTCCTCGACTGGGCTCCTCCCAAACCAGGGGTGAATTCCAGAGGAGATGTGTCAATGATTGAAGGAGAGTCTCGGAATTTCCGGTACTGTCTTCCGGAGGGGTGAGCAAAGCAGCCACTTGGTCAGATAAAGGAAAGACGACAGTAGCCGAGTGTGCCAGGTCCAGGCGAGTACGGAACTCAGGGAATCGAACTTTTGGTGTCTCGTGTGGCACAATTTTCGGACCTGTCGCCATGGTAATCCTGCGAGCATAGTTCTTCGGAAAGATCGACAGTAGGTCGACTTCTGGTTTATGCTTGAGATGGTTATGAAGCTGGTTCAGCGTCTTGAGATTGATTTGAGCGGCGTAGGATAGCTGCTTATATTGGGTGAGCTGATGTGCATGGAGATATGAGGAGGGAAAAAGGGACATCAAATCCGTCGCGGGATCTTTCTCTAGTGCAGTTTGGAATTCTTGCATCAGGTCTTTGTTCCATTGCACTGCCTCTGGGCTTGCGAGGGAAAGAGCTGGTGGGTGAAGCATTGCGATCGAGGATAAGAGTCAAGCAGTATTTGACGGAAGGATGGGAAGGAGGTAAAGGAGAGTTCTTTGAGGGTGTCTCGACGTGTTATTCAATGCGTCTGTTGCGCGTGCCGATACGGCTGTACGGGAAAAGACGTGTAATTGACCACTCGGCGGGGTTCTCGTGGGACGTCAGCCTCCTGGAACTCCCGGGAGGATATCAAGTATCCGCCGATTTCCATGGATGTCACCCTCTCGTTCCAGGAGAAGATCTGCGCTGGAGCAGGGATAAGGAGCTGGAAGATTGGAATAGCGGTCGGACTGGAGCAGGAGGTCGGGTGTCTCAACAAAGCAAGTGCGTTTTTAATGGAGAATTTGCTGAGATGAAAAGGTATGATGATGGCTGCAATAAGCCTTTCCTGTATGAGGCTGGGGAATGAGATGTTGTGAGGTTTTAATACCACCTTTGTGGAACGTCATACCAAATTCATTCCCTGGAGTGACCAGTTTTGATAACAAGGGAGTGAAGAGACACTGGCATAGTAAACACTCATTCACATCTCACCCAAGATGGTGTTGGATAGCTTATCTGGTCAGTAATAAAAAGAATTGACATCAGTCTCCAGCAGGATTGAAGAGAAGGAGGGATGTATGGATGACTGCTTAGTCTCCTGTCTCTCTTTCCCTCCCTCAAATTCACACTCCTCTTAACAATCAAAGGATAGTTCTTCTGTTCTATCCTTGAGGAAAGGTCCCAGAATAGTGATATAACATCCGTCACACATAATCCAGCTAATATCTCATCTGAGGGCAACCAGGCAGCGGACCAACTGGCCAATTCTGGGGCTCTACTTGCTCCGACCCCTGTCACGATCCGCTAAGTGCGCTTTTAAAGCGAATTGTACCTGGCCCATACTTAGACTCATTGGTTTCTATAGACGTTAGAGACTTGCTATAAGTCACAGGTATCTTCATAAGGATGAGATTCTGCTTTATATTCTTGCCACTCACCGAGATTTATGTTTAATGATATCTAAACCTGGCCCTTATTTCTTTGCTCTGGTTCTTTTGTTATATTTCTCTGTTTTTTTTTTTTTTTTTTTTTTTTTTTTTTTTTTTT